AGGACGCAATGGTGATCCTCAGCCACCTGTAGTTGGTGGTGCTAAAAAGCAGGCTGCCACGAAATCCAAAACCGGACTGATCGTAGGCTGTGTGCTTGGCGGTGTGGCTGGTATAGCTGTGATCGTGCTGGTGGTGGTTTTTTGCTGTTGCCGAAAATGATGCAAGTGAGTGAAGATGGCTTCAGTATTACTACAAAAAACAATAATTATTACTACGAGTATCTTTTGAGAAGGAGAGAATGCATTTGAATTCATAGATATTATAGAAAGTAGACGGCGTGCGTTCTTGTTCATTACAAGATCACCTTTTGGTGATTCGATGATGTTTGCATAGCATTTACTACTTAGTACGTACAGCGGGACGTGCCCCTCATATAGTGAGAAGAACTAGTGTAGGAAGCGAGTAGATCCTAGTGATCAAGCTCAAGTAGCGAAGTAGAAGCTTTTTATGTGTTAGTAAGTAAGTAGGTATTCATCTTTGAAAAGACAAATACGGTGATGCAGGGCACAATGACACTTCTCCGCGGAACACTACCTCATGCTAGGAGGTAGTAAATGAAGGAATTTATAGTGAATGAAGAATGTCGGAGACAACTACATCTGTGATTGTGGTCCTCATTCGCAATGCACTGTAAATTCCTTACCATAGTTTACCTCTGGGAGTGTAAGTTTTGCTTCAAAAACGGCCGTCCAGGGTCGGGCCTAAAGTACATGACCATGACCTCGGGTTGCAATGTATTACACGTAAAAAGGACTAAGGTTCTTTTTCTTAGAACATTATAGGCAGAGCTGATTATCATGGCATAGTGATAGATGATTGATATCATGTCGCCTCAAGAGAAGAAGAGCAGTCAGGAGGAGTGCAGGCAAAAGCCTTTTATTAATTTACCAAAGTCAAGATCTTGTTATTCAATAAGTCAAGATCAATGATTGACGATTGGTGACGCTGATGTCTTGCTCTTAGGCGAAGAGGACAGGCAAAAAACTGTTGGTACTAGTGCTAATTCTTCTATAATCTTCAAGACATATTTGAATATCTTCGATGATTGTTCTTGTGGACATGTTTTCAAACATGTTGAGCACAGCTAGAGGAAGAATGGCGTGTGCTAACGCGAGTATGCTGCAACGTGTTCATGACAGGAGTATACTTGAAGAACAGTCGGCATCTAACAAGACACGTGATATTCTATGTGTTTGAGAGAGCCGACATCACGCAGAGAACATCACGGAGAAAAACGAAATTGTGGATACGACTGAAAAACAAGTTGAAGTTGCGGGTTCATCTCTCCTCTAGAATTTTCTGCAAAAGATATCTCATAGAAACAGATACTACAAAAAGCTAGGAAAATGAAAGCGACGTATCTTTAATATCTTTATGTAGCTTGTTTGCTCATAAAGAAAACATCAAGATGTTCTCTACCACCAACTACCGTATCAAGATGCCCAGCACAGACAAACACGGTTCATACTTTTTTTGGGTTTACTTTTTAAGGCCTCCCTTAATCCATCTCTTCTATAGGGATAATCCCACAACCGTATGCGCACCAAAACAATGGGAATATTGTTGAGGCAACATGTCTACTCCACAGAGATGAATTAGGGGGAGGTCTAAATTTCGTCCAGGGAGTGCAGCGAATCGGATTGGTGTTTCTCAAAGCGCACGTAGTGTCCGAGTTACCAGGTGACACCTACCGAAATTTGGACCTCTTGAACAATCTGCTTCCCGGCATTGGATCCCTCGTTTGGTTAAGGCTACCGCTCCTGAAGCATGTCCATGTTCCTAACACCATGAACAAGATCCTTGGTGTATCTTCCTCCTAAGTACATTTTTATTATATATCCTTGTTATGTTCTTCTTGAACTTGTTCCAAGGATCTTCTTCATACTTAGTGAAGATTTTTCCTCTCGTCAAAGAGGAATAATATGCATTGGGGGGTCGCTCTAATTTGGGTTCTCAGACCGATATTTTGCGCATTAGCCGAACGTGCTGGCGTATTTGCTGAAGGGAGGCTTCATCGAAATTACGGTTGCTTTCTTTAAGGCTCAACTTTCAATGGTCATTGGAGTTGGTCACTGAGATCGAAGAGGCGACCCCTTCTTGAGAGAACCAACAGGGGAAAACGAAGGGAAAGGGGAGAGCCTTGAAGGGGGTCCCTTCCGTTCAGAGTCATGATGACCATTGAAGGCTGAGCTTTAATTTCTTGCGGTATTCTCCGGAATGATAGCACTTGGGTGGCTTCTTTTAGTACCGCATCTTCTGCTTGAAAACGAACATGTCGTGCGGTTTTTTTGGCTCTTTGTTGGTATCTCTTCATTCGCCTTCACGTGTCTTGATGGCGTTCTAGACGGAATGTGCTGCAAATTGACAACTGAAGATTATAGTCATAGAAGTGCTGCCGATAGAAGAAAACAAGCAGAGGACCAAACGGAAACGACCAGTCCGAGAAAAAGAACTGCAGAGCAAACGGAAACTTCTACACAGGATCGTGCCCAATATTCCTACCTCTGCGAAACCGGTCGCATGTATGGCTCTATCGTGGCATCTGTGACAGTGCAGAGTGGCCTAGTGCTCAACTGGCATGCCTTTAGCGCCGTTGGGATCGCCTGGGGTGTGCTGGCAGCGTGGATTGCGTGGATGGAGATTTCGAACGACAGTTTCAGTCATGTTCGTGAGAGTAAGGTGAGAACAAGTAGTGCCGAGTTCGTAGAAGCAGCAGATGAGTCCTCGAGGACGAAAATGACGCCCCTAAGCAGGTCAACATCTCCATCTTCATCGACTTCTTCATCTACACCTAAAGAAGGAAGCACCACCACGACTGCGGTTTCTCCTTCTGGCCCTTCTTCTGCCTCCTGCAGTTCTGACCCAACTAAAAGTTATATGGACAACAACAACAACGCTCCACGAGCATCCACCACCTCCGCGTCCACATCCTCAGCTCTGATCACTCGCAACAGTGCTACAGCGGTTTTGATCACATCTTCTGTCCTCTTGTCCCCAGACGTGGACTTTTTTCTCTTCCGAACTAGAGTCCTAGGATTTGAGTCACGTGGCCAAGCTCTAGCTAATAACCTAGGAACGGTTGGATGGGCCATTGGTCTGTGGATGTTTCGGAAAGTAGTTTTGGACTGCAAAGTTAAGGGTACTTACTTAGGTTAAAAGGGTGTCCTTGATGTTACCGTTCGTTTTGCCTTCCTGATTCTGAAGGGGGAAAGGCATAGCGAACGGGGTAAACGAACACCAAAAACCTACCTCTAACAAAGGTTTTCAACAACATGGCAATATAGTACCAACAAGGTCAACTGCTTCACCACAACCACCATCCTCTTCTAGACTGCGCGAACAAGCAAAACGGGCATTCACGATCTGGGTAGTGCTGTCCATTGTCCCTTGGATCGTCTACGTCCGGTTTTTTCCGATCTTGAGTACAATTGAGAAATTGTGCTCGGAAGCTGCGCGTGCCTGCACTTTCATGTTCTGTAACCTGTTGATGCAGCATGCGTCGAGGGGAGAAGTTGAAGATGTCTTGGGCATCAATAAAGAAGATGACGACAAAGACAATAAAGTTGCCACCAGCGACATCATCGAGGACTCCACGTCCAGACCTTCCACTGCTACTGCCTCCACTTCTTCGTCTTCCACCTCCACTTCTACTTCTTACGTTGCAACCCGTTTTGCAATTCTACAAGGGTCTGGAGCTATAGCACTTTTCCTTGCGCGTAAGATCGACCTTTCCCTTTTGAGTTATCTGCAAATTTCCACCTTCCAAGAACCGGAGTTGTTACAACTCGTCACTGCCTACAGTGTCCTACGCATCTCTGCTGCCGTCTTGATTGTGTCTGTTCTTGTGCCGAGAATGCGTCTGGCTGTCGACGGGTTGTGATAGTCGAAACAGGAGGTGGAAATGACCAGTGTCGCAAAACAAGTTGCTCGAATATTCGCAGTCGAGGTGTTCGTCAAAGAAAACGTTTGCTTCAAAATGCACGAGGTAATTTTCTTGTTCCTATTATGATGGACCATTTCTGATCGACCGGAGAGAATGCATTTGCATACCTAAATACACCTGCTGAACGTGCTGGTTAAGTACCTCAATATAGTTATAGTAGACATAAAGTCGCAGCGGCAACGCAAGCACATGATCTTGATCACATCTTTCTTACCTGACAGAAAATAACACCAACAGGATAAGTATGACTGACCTCCTTGTTTCTCAGTTTCATCGTGACGGCGTTGCATCGCATGTTCATAACATTTTTGCGGATTTTGCAGCAACGCCAGAGGACTTCCATCGGAGATATCATCCTCTCTACTCTTCGTTTCGCGAAGGGTGTCTACGCGAAGGGTCCTGGTCCGAAAAGCGCTTCAAGAGTCACCTTTTGTTGCCATGGCTACACGAGATTTTAGCAGGGAATGTTACGGCTGAGAATAAATTGAAAATTTTCTTTGGAGCTTCCGAAAATACTTCTTTTTACTTTTTCGACTCTACATTTTCGTTTTCCCATTCAAAAACCCAGACCAGCTCTAAATCTACCTCACTCAAAGCTTTGGGCCAAAGCCTGCTTGGATCCGACAATATCGCCATTTGGAGTACTGATTGGTGTGTGAAACCAGCAATACGCCCTTCAGAAGAAACGAACGGTATTGAAGACGATCTACAAGCTTCTGCTGCCACGACCTCACCACGAGCGCCGGCCTACTATTTCACTTGGCACCAGGATAGTACATACTCGCGATTACCGGATGGGATAACTGTGTGGATCGCGTTTAGCGACGTACAGGAATCCAGTGGACCTGTACTATTTTATCCAGGGTCGCACAAACTCGGGCAACTACCTCACAGTGAGGACAGATCTGATCCGAATAATATGTTGGCGTTTGGACAGCAGGTGACTGATGAAGGGATGGAGAGACTGTTTAGATCGTTGGTGGAAGACAATGAAGGAGATGGAGATGTTGGGGTGTCGGACGAGGTGCTAGGAGGAGATAAAAGAAGTAGAGCAGTACTAGGAGTAGTCGATCAACACTCTCCACCTCTGGTGGGAGGTGTGCCAGCCGGACGTACAGCAGGTCGTGATGCTTCGCCGGAACCACAAGAAGATGCTACTCCGACAACGACGAACAACACGAAAAAGAGGAAGATTTTTTCCGCCCATCCTCTTCGCCCTGGTGACTTGTCAGTGCATTCTTTTTTGACAGTGCACAGTTCGCAACCCAACAAAGACACGGACCGAGATCGCGTTGGCCTGGCCGTCCGACTTGTGCCTTTATCATGCGGTATCGGAAGAAGGGATCGGGTGACGCCATTCGTTGAGGATCTTCAAGCAAAGAGTCACCAGGAAGGTGGGTTTCAATTTGAGACCTTTATCCCGAAGGACGAGATGGGCCAAAGGGAAATGGAAGAATGGACTTTGTCGATGGAAAGGGAGAAAGAGCTCTACTTTGAAGATCATCAGGGAATGAGTTACAAATAGGGTCCTCTATGGCAGATTCACATCATGGACACTCATGGAGCAAGAACATTTTCGACATGATGTTATTCGCGATTTTCCAACTCGTCAACGTACCAATTTCGAACATGTTATTTCTGCTCCTTGAAGATGCCGTTACAACCGTGTTGGTAAACTCTTCATCGTGTGGGGCAATTCATTGTAGTTGTGTGCAGACCTGAACAGGCACGCGGACGCGCGAGCCAGTGCTGGCATGCATCCGACCACTCGTGCTCAGTGTTCCTTTCTTCACTGTAAATCTAAGATTGGATGAATGGCGAGAAGCGTTGAATGTTGCCACAGAAACGTAAACTAAGACCAACGACGACTGGCACTTCCTTGTTATTCGCTTATATTTCCACTCTTTTTGCGTTTGTTTGCTTTTATTTCCATCTACTCATGAAATTTACAACAAGCAGTCGTTTTAGACTCCTTACTAATCTCAATCTACTTAAGCAGTTCTACTCTCAGGAGCATTATTTACAACGAATTTCAAGTAAGAGTAACATTCTTCAATCTGATTTTTGGACTTTTTATTGAGTTATTGATAGATTTTGACTTAGCTTATTGGTACTATAGCGAATAGCACAAATTCAAAAATCAAAATGGCTTCCAACTCCGGCGACAACGAGTGCGACGAATTGAAGTCCAACACACAATTTGTCAAATTAAGCGAGCGGGGCAGCGACTTGGTGGATCGTTGGCAGTTGCGATATTTTCCAGAGACTGTGAATGCAAACCAAGGGAAGATAAGTAGAGACCTCGAAAAAGCCTCAGGTGACAAAGAGGCCCTTCTTAAGAGTGGTGTCTAAGTAAGTCGGTGCCCTTCGATGGTAAATTCCGTTTCCGCCATATTATTTGAGGAGGGGCCAACGGATAAGAATCTATGCGTAATATATCACTTTTTGAGTCAGGTCAGAGTAGGGAAATTTTGCCTCTAATTTTCATAAAGAGATCGCAATCGGCGACCATCATCCCGATTGTTTCTACCAGGAGTCGAAGACTGCGGAAAATATGATATATGTAACAAGCACCTACGGTCGCGGCGGGCGTCTGTCGCCCGCTGCTGTTCGCGTATTTTCTCGCTTTGGGCGCCGTGTGTGGTTTATCAGGACCCGGAATGGTCCGCGCTCGCGCCGCTGCGCCGGAAATGATGAAGATGAAGAGCGTTCGCATTTCAAGCGCGACTATATGTGCGCACTTTGCGGCTCCGCCGTCGATTTATGGCGTTGTTTGTAAATATCTCGACCCCGGGCCCGGCATGGGGGTGGTATCGACGACCCTCGACTACTATACTATTGACTAATATGCTCACTTCCAGAGCATGGGGCTAATAGAGGTAATCTGAACGCACAAGGCTAAGAATTTCGAGGCGTCCGCGTCATGCATGTCCATTTCAGCCACTCCTTGTGATCCAGAGAAGTTTGGAATTGGAAGGCTGCAATGGTTTCTAATCTGCACACAGGATGCTCTGCGGTTTGTGGCGTCATTGTTCGAAGACGTGACACAACCAGGCTGGCCACCTCGTGGGGTGCGATATTTCGACATCTGGAGCGGCGGGAGCGGCATGAAGCAGGGTAACGGTAACGGGCGCCCAAGGTCTCACGTAGTCGAAAACCATGTCGATCGAGTGACGAATGGGAATCAAGGATCTTCGTCCTCCTCTTCTTCCTCGTCATCACGCATCAACGCCAACAGACAGAACCAGAGTGCTCAGGTGCCAGTTGGTGGGGTCTCACGGCCAATAACCACGGCTAGTAGTAGCATGGATCATGTGATGAGCGATGCCGAGTTCCACTTCCAGCAGCACCACGCGGAGCTCGTATTAGAGCGACGTCGTCGTCTTCAACAGCAGCAACACCAAAGAGAAGCTTCATTTTTCGAGTCCCAAGAACAAGGAAATGGTGAGCAGCCTCTGGTCGCCGAAGCTCGTCGAGCCTGTGCGAGAATCTCCCACCTCGAGAGAGAGAACGCATTACTAAAACAAGAGGTGGCGAAACAAGCCAAAGAGAATCACGAACTCAAGCGCCGCTTGGGCGCGTCTTCTTCGTCTCCTGCGTTGGAACAAGACGGGGAGCCAGGGGTCTTGGCTAAGCGTCAGAAACACTAGGAGAGCGAGGTGTCTCGATGTGCGTAGAGAGGACGAAGATGACTGATCATGAGTATCAATTTCAACGTTTCCAGAACTAGAAAAGGCGATACTATGTATCTTCTAGTGCAGCAATGGCCAATGGATATGGAACAACTTGCAGCATCGAGCTCAAGAGAAGAGCTTGAGCAAACTCAAGTCATATTTGAATATCTGAAGCTGTGCCGCATTTACAGCACTGGTTCGTTGCGTTTTCCTTCGTATTATAGGATCAAGAACATTCCCATTCCCTGGCCGGAATGTAACTTTCATCATTTTAGCACTTCTTGTTCTTACAAATTTTCGAGACGCCGCAGGCACGTTTACCTTGACATCTAACGACTGCGGAAGATGCTGTGATTCAGCTTCAAGTGAGTGAGATCATAGAGTTAATAGAGGACAGAAAAAACGAACAAGATGTCCTTGTGGAGTATTTAGTTGAAAGCGGCATACAACGCATCGTCCAAGAGAGAGAGAGATAGAGTAATGAGGGAGAGGCAGAGTGGAAGAACGAAGAGGCGAAAGAGTTTACACCGTCTTGTAACAAAATGGCGAAAAGGGAAAATTACAAACCTCTTTGATGTCCTCACCGAAAGACCAGCTACTGAGATGGATGTCTAAAAAGTGCCAGAACCGAGTCACTTTATACCGACCACCACTACGTCTCCGACTACTTGTTCTATCTTCCGCACAACTGCTTCACCTCTACAACACTCATCTTATGCAACAACATAGGTAGCGCCAGTTGTAGTCTCATGATTTATGTTTCATCATATGAAGAAATTGTGTAGAGGAGAAAGTCTTGATGTCGATCTACTCCATGATGGTATGCGGAACGTGATTGGGGCAGAATGCCTCGTTATCGGCCAACCACCTCAAAGAGGGGTTGGGCCGAATTAGCAGACTCGCTTTTGGCTGGTGGAATTCGAGTGCGTTGAGTACAGCAAGAGAAGACATTCTCCACCGCCGACGACATTCGTTTGGTGAATCTGAAGGAAGCAACAGGAGGAACATTGATAGCAAGTAGACACCTGCTAGATCCACGTTTATTTACCTGCAAGAAGTACACCGAGAATAAATACTAGTCGGTAAGAACAACAAATTTTGAGCGGCCTCCTGCAGAAAAAGCACAATTCCAGGCTCTCGGCTGAATGCGCGAAGCAGGGGTCGGGACTGGTCTATAATGAATAGAGGACGAAAATCTGTCCTAGAGAAGCCCGCGCCATGTCCTGGGACGTTGACCTCGCATCGCGAGGACGATAAAGCAGTTGTATCAGAAGAAGCTGTCGACCACGTTGTTCATCTCTACTCTAGCAGGAGCAGGAGTATTAGACATTTTTTTCATCTGAACAGAGCAGGTTACGAAAATCTTCGCATACGTGATACCACTGATGCTCGCAGAAAGGTGAGGAAAGCAGGAGGACGACCAGGATCATTAGATGATGCAGCAGCAACTACTAGGGGAGTTGAGCTTGAGGCTCAGTTGAAAGTTACGAAAAATAGTAGGAAATTATCAATAGAAGTGAAGAACTCTGGTCCTGGAGGACTATGCGGAATAGCTGCCCAAGATCATTTTACAACATCTTCTTCTTCCTCTAGTGGTGCAGCTATTCTTGCAACCACACGACCTGTTAGTCGAGCAGATGATGGGGAAGCAGAAGAAGAGACAACACCACGAAGACGAGAGGGTGGTATTACCTTGGGTTCCTCAGCAGAGGTGACGAGTAAACACACGGCTTCTTCTACCTGCCAGGATGCTACAACAGGCTTTACTAGGCAAAGCTCGGGCGAAGTAAGCGAGGAAGACCAAGATGGTAGAGATGAAGCTGTTGACGTAGTACACAATGTCGATACCGATGTGCGTCTGCGGCGAATGCAGCAAGATCAACTAGAAGATCAGGAGAAACGTCGCCGCCGCCGAACAACGATGAACTTGAACGTAACTATTGAGAGGATGGAAGCCGAAGGAGCAAGGCATCGTTCGTCGCCGACAACAACATCTTCATCCCATGCATCAACAGCTGATCTTCAGCGGGACTCTTACTCTTTTAGAAGTTCATCATCTCTCACACTCACCGCCCCTAGCCACCAAGAACAGACGCTGTTTCTCTTGAAGGTGCCTACGAAAAACAAGCGTGCTTCATCTACAACAGGAACTTCCAATAGGCGAGGCTTGACAAAGCATGACCCTGTTTCAAGATCCCTTCTGCCATCGGCAATGTGGTTACTTCTTTTGCGCTTTGCATCAGGGTTCGACTTCTTCGGCAAGCAACGGGCAAATGACGGACACGCTCCTTCGAGCAAGCAAGAGGTACTATTCTGTCTGATTATTCAAAAGCTTTTCAGAGAAGATAGATGTTGTACAGTCTATCGACCTTCTAACTGAAGATGTTGAGTCCTAAAACCTTAATTACGAAAAGGTACATCCGTCCGCGGCATCGTCGTCCTCGCTGTTTTCGAACTTTTTTGGGAGTGGTGAGGAAAGTGGGGAAAAGGAAAACTATCAAGGCCACGACGAAGTCACTCGTAGCCGCTCTACAGCTTCATCTTCTGAGAGCCGAGATACAGTGACAGTCTCCAGTTCTTCAACCTCCAAGACGCAACTACTCGAAACTGGAAGTGCTATCCATAATGCTCACGCAACACTGAGTGGAACCAACAAGAGGAAAGCAACAAGGGCTACGAGTGCAAAATCAACTCTATCAACGTCGTCTGCTGGTAGTACTAAATCAGGAACAAGTGGAACGACTACTTATGCTTCTTCATCCACGTCAAATACCGCATCGACGTCAGCAACGGAAAGCGTGTCATTTCCATCTTCAGCGCCAGCTGATCGACCCCATCTGTCACTAGTGATCTTTGGGGATGACCCGTACTTGCAGGCCTACAAAAAAGAGCTAGAAACGCTAAAGTGCTACGCAAAAACTTGGCATTTTAAGGCTTCATCAGATGCTATGTAGTAACTCTCATTTTTCAGCATTCTCGACGTCCACAACGAAGCGAAAATCAACAACATGAATGAATCATGATCTTCGAACGTCATTTTTTCCCAGAGCTCTTACTCGTCCTCTGAGCACATACAAACCTGACACTTTATTCGTCCACATCTTTCTCCTCTAATGCCCACGGCCTCCACATTCTCCCCATCGCGTTTAACAGTGTCGATGCGCGCAACGGACGCTGCTCGCACTTGCGAAACGCACAAATCCTACGACACTGCCTGATGGCTGGCTTTCTAGAACGCCAGGCTTTTGATCCGCGTACATTAAGGCTCAGCTTTCAATGGTCACTGGGGTTGGTCACTGAGATCGAAGAGGCGACCCCTTGAGAGAACAGGGGAAAACGAAGGGAAAGGGGAGAGCTTTGAAGGGGGGTCCCTTCCGTTTAGAGTCAGTGACCATTGAAGGCTGCGCTTTAAGTACAGGCGTACGGTCAGCGAAGTACTCGGCTTCCGGTGGCTATACGGTACCAGACAGCAAAATCGATGACGATGAAGGAGGTGGGAGTGGAAGGAAGGGAGGTTCATCTTTTATGGAGAACAAGGCAGAACTGATGGATGTGAAACTGATACTAGAGTTTTAGTTGTACTTGTAGTTGTAGAGATCGCAGTCGCATTCGTAACTTAGAATTATGAACAGGTATTATTGAATCATCTTGGTCGCATTCGTAACTTAGAATTATGAACAAGTATTATAATTGAATCTTCTTGTATTAAGTACTAGATTGATAGTCGAATCTTCTAACACGCCCCCTTCCAAATCGGCATCAGCAGCTTCGAAAGAGTCTCAGAACACGAAGTTTTTGGAGCAATCTGAGACGAAGCCACGAGGGCGCATCTGGTCTTCAGGCAGTAGTCCGTTTGGCTTTGGCGGCTCGGCCTATTCCTATTGGTTCCACGGGTATGGGCGCGGCAATGGGCAAGAACACGAACACGCAGAAAATGAGCTGGATAACGACCTTAAGGCGACTGTGCGTGTAAGTAGTCAGGTTCAGGATCAGACGCATTGATTCTCAAGTAGATCAGTTGTCCTTATTTTTTTGCTTGGAGAACAACTCCCAGCAAGAATATGTTCCCCAACAAGGGACAAGATGCCAATAGGATCATATCTCATCATCTAATGAGGAGACTATCTACCTCTTGCTGGACGCAGAGATAGCAGCACATGAGGTTTATCCGAGCTTGTCAGCGTTCTACGAGGATCATCCTGGAGTGTACCAACTAGCAGACATCACGTTCTTCCAACGCATATGGGATCACATGGATGAGAGCGAAAGGAGAAAGCGGGCTCAGGATCACAGTTCTGTTTCTGGGGGAAATGGGAGTGGAAGCAGTAAAGATCTAGTACTTCTGCAAGATGACGGGGCAGAAGGTGGAGAACAGGTCCAAGGAGTTGGAGCAGTTGGAGACTGGAATAGTGCCAAAGGAACGCATGGAATTAAGGCTGCCCGCAATTACTTGTGAGACGGAGAGTCGACCTCAAGCACCCTCACTGTCTATTCTACAGATCAAGAACTGGGGTTGTTAGATGGGGTGGTTTGAAGCTCTTTACACAATATATTGAATACTCAAAATAAGCGAGTAAGTAACACAATAACCGAGTATCTGAGAATGTTTCCTAGCAAGCATACTCGGTTATAATTTGTATTTCAGTTTTTTGATTATCTTGAAGTTCCTTATTCACATCAGCAACCACATGTTTATATTTACAGCTCTAGTTTCTTTTTCCTGTTCCTCGCTCCTGAGTTGGATTCTTCTTGCTTCGAGAAAATGAGTTACGGATAACCTCTCCTCTAATCCAAGCGCCAGCGACTCGGATCCACCACCAGACGACGAGTTAAATAAGAGATTTAACCTGGCAGATCCGGGTGCCATAGTTGTGCCAGGTGGTAAAAGCGAAGATGCTCTTTTTGGAGGTGTCGAGGATGATGGCGGTTTCGTTGCGTCCTTGTTTGGAGGGGGTTCGAAGACTAAGAATGACCTGCTTATGAATGAAAATCTTCTCGGGATTCACTGTAGTTGGATCATTCTTGTCTACTACACCAGGATCATGGGTGAAAATCTTCTTGGGATTCGTTGTAAAGAGTTGCACCCTTCCAGCTACAGTTCGGTTGTAATTGAGATGTTCGTACTCATTTTCATTGGACGACTTGAATGCATTCTAGACTAGTGATGATGCTAGGCTAGGGTAGCCCAATGCTGCAGATATTACATCAACATTTTTACTTATAATATTATTTCTCTTCTAACATTCGACGCGGCGGACTGAGCAATTCGTACGCTCCTTATGGTGGCGGCAGTGAGATCCAAGATCCCTTTGCCGGAGGCGAAGTGACTAGCGGAAGCTATTTTTAAGGCTCGAGCCAATTCATTTCCACGACGTGTCATTCTTTACTGTTTCCACCTTCTTAGGACAATATTGAAAGAATGAGACTAACAAGAAATGAATTGTTTTGAGCTCTAATATTTTGTGCGGAATAACGTCAGGACGCGACGATTTTTGCGACAATGGGCCAATTTCGAGTTGCGATATCCGAGTGCAGGATTCACTTCCTACGCTAGCAATGGAGCACTGCATTTGGCTCTGTTGGAAGCTTTGGGTGTGGCGAGACCTGCAAATAGTGGTGGCATGGGGATGAGCGTCTCGACACAGTACCAAGGCTACTAGCTGATCACTCGATGCCTTCTAATTAGAGAAGAAGATTCGTCTTGAAATCTGATAGATTTACACATTCGCTCTTGTACGACCACTACACTCTATAACATGTAGAAAGTTTCCATCTTATTCGATACTCCAGGTCAGAGCATGTGCCGCATCCAGTAAGCTTGATCTCGGCTACTCGAGTGGCGGATATGGGACCTGTTGGGGAGTGCGAGAGTCGCTACGTACACCACGAAGATTCTAGTCTCATTATGGATAAAATCAGGAACACATCAGGAACAAATGTGTTGTACTACTTATATATAACTATCACCAGCAGAATCTTGACCCTTTTAGAACGTCATTGTGCTCACGGGCTTATAATAGGGCTCTCACGAAGACTAATTGTTACCTCTATACTGAATCTGAATGGCCTCGCAGACATATAGACGCGAAATGCTATAAAAGAAGTACCAAGTTGTTGACATGACATTTGAGAAAACCTCCTACCTCTAATCTCCTGGGCGCCTCGTTTCAAGAGGTGCAAGACCCTTACTCGCAATTTGTGGCTTGCACTCGAGATTTGCTAGCTCTAGGAGCTCCACCGACCACTGAAAAAGCAGAGCAATCTGGAGGACTGTTCTTGGTGACCAAGACACAGGCAAGCGCATCATGGTCGCACGAGGGGAAGCGGATCCACGTCAGCAGTCTGAATAACCCTGCTGCTGTGGAAAAGTCGGCTTACGAATACATGACTTAGAATCACAATCATTCAAATCTACTTGAGTAAAGCGAAGGACTATCTGCGATGTCTAAACTGCAAGAAGTGGAAGATTGAATTTCAAGAAGGGGAGATGTCAATGCAGGCTAAATCAAAAAGGATTGACTTATATAAAAGCCACAAAGAGAAGTGCATCAAAAAGGTTAGAAAATAAAAAGGTTAACTGCAACAATTAAGTCCTGCGAACGACCTCTTGCTAGGTAAATGAATGAATGAATGAGTAATCATACTTTTTGTTAACTTCAACACCTTCATCACACTAAGATCCTCCTTGTTGGTTCACACATTTTTCATTTTTTTGAATTTCCGTCCATCCTGGTCCAATGAGAAAACTTCCCTTCCTCGTCGCATCCACCTCTTATCCCTACTCTAACGGCAGCACGACAAGAACGCCGTGAGCAACCTACAGCTAGGCACCAAGTACGCGGTTTCTGAAAGACGCAACTGGCTATACGCCATTCCTGACCTAGCTATCCGATTGATCGGCAATAGCAACGCCTGGTCACCAGACCACCACCATCATGGAGGGAGTGCGGATGAGACGCCGGCCGTGTTGCAGTGGCTCAAGTGGAACCACACTGCTTTGGATCAGTACTGCTAAGGGAGCGGAGGCTAGAAGGGGTAGGTGAGGAGATGAAAATACAAGAACAATGCCAAGAATGGAGGACATGAGGGGTGCAGGTGGATGGGTAATGTTGTTTGAGATGGGATGGACATGGAGCGGGGCGTGTCCCGAATCATCATGGTCGCGGTGAAACTCCACAAGATACTATTAGAAGTAAAAAGTACAGTTTGAAAGGAGAAATTCTGAGCATGAATATCTTATAGGACGAGACGCTGGTGTTTACTACTCACTCAAGTAAATGGACAAAAAAATATTCCAAGAATGTTCCTAGATTTATCTTAAAATCAATGAAAATGAATCTCAATCTTCATGGTAGTATTGACATGACCTCACCAAATGCAGTTATTTACAGCTACATTTAAACTTCAATCGAAAACGAAATCTATGAGTTATATCTTCAGTTCGAAATTTAGAGAGTTTCAATAATTTTTTCTTTTTCAGCGAAATTACAGATTTTAGATGTTACCTATCTGATCACAACGTCATTTTTCAACCGTCTGAGCAAACCGCAACTACAACTCGACTATTAACTAATAGCACACTTCCACAAACAGGAGGTCAAGGTATAGCTACAGGAACAACAGTCAATTATAAGGGAACAACAAACACCACCACAGTCAGAAACAACAGCAATATCCAGTCAGCAGAACAACAACGTCATCGTAGCAAGTAGACCACCACCAGCAGAAAGATGTTGGTGTCGTGTAGTCGTCCAGTTTATTGTTTACAATTCGTCAGCAAAAACAAATCTAAGGACTACAGTTTTTTCACAATCAAATAAGCATTTATATATAATGTTATTATTTAGATGGAGGTTTCTTTTTCTTACTCTTTCCAAGGTTCGTTATCGTTGTACTACATCTTTCTAGGAAAAAGAAGATTAGTAAGTAGTTCAATATTGAGTTTCTGTTTCTTGTTCAACACTGAAAATATCGTTTCTGACTTCTAAGAAGTTCATACTCATCTACTTTTCGTATCACTATCATCCTCCAAATGTCGAAATTTTAGTTCTACTTTCTTGAGTTTCCTCATGATCTTCTTGTACAGAATCTTCTATCCATCATGGTGAAAAATGCACAGAAAAATGAACACCCACCCTACCGTCTTCTTAGCCATGGCACTTAGAGGAAGAAGAAGGACCGGACTGCTAGCTACTACTGCTGCTACCGTCTTCTCGCTGAGCCAAGTAGTAGTAGGATGGTGAACAATAGACTTACATCCCGTTTTTCCTGCTTTTGGATCCATTTGATTGACATACATAGACTTACATCATTCAGTATTCATCACATGTACTACAAAATAACTTGCTGCATGATTTTAACTAAGATCGTTCCTCCCTAATCCTTCCTCGTTAGCAGGTGGATGAAGAAGTTTAGTTTACTCTTCTAGGAGGAATAGGTAGATGCACGCAGGAGACGGACCACCACGGGGGCACCAGTCAAACTAGATGAAACCGATGATCAACATGTTGAAACTAGATGAAACCGATCAAACCAGGTGAAATCTACGACCTCACTTACACTTGCATATCATGAGCATGAGCTTTGAAATTATTGAAACCTTCACGTACGCGCTTAAGCAGCTGGCTGGAGCTTCGGCATACCGATTGTTGCGCGCGACCGCGAGGGCCGAAAATAAGTTGGCTCAAGGAAGAGAACCAGAGACCAAAGTTATAATTCCGAAAGCACTTCTTGAGACTTGAGGAGTACAACAAAAGTCAAAGCAAGGTGATTCATCGTACCACTCCTTGAATACAACCCCGTACAACTAGTTCTTCACCAGCAGACCCTCTATTCATCTCTAAAAAGAGCTTCAGTCAATTCTAAACAAAAGATGCGAGCCGCGAATTACCAGCTTTCCTTCGGGAAAGATATGGAACGGCCACAAGATTACGCCAGCGACGGTCTGGACGCTATAGGTTTCATCCACTTCTGGGGTATTTCTCCGGCAACCGATCTTCTAGGGGATTTCACCGACGTCGTTCCGCAACCAGTACAGGATGATCCAGAAGGATTATCTATCCAGGGAGGATCTTCTTCGTCGAAGTGTAGTGCATCTTCTACAAAAAAAGACAAGAAGTCCACACGCTCAAGCTTATCGTTAGATGACATGTTGAATGGAGTTACCTTGGACAGTGCTGCTGGATCTTCAGAACCGAAGTTAGGAGAAGATGAGGATTACTATAATATCCTAATCTCAGGAGGCGCAGATTTGAGGCACGTCATCAAAACGGTTGCGAAGTGGCACTTGAAAAAGTCGAAAAAGAAGCTGAGATTCTTCTTGCATGATCAACAGGTGCACAGATTTTTGGTAGCTACGGATAGCTGCCATGTAGAATCAATACCAAGAAGATAGAAGAACCACGAATAGTAGAAGAACCACGACGACAGGTTCATTATCCTCAAAGGCCCTCTGACCCTTCAACGAACCCCATCACAACAGGTCGAAGTAACCGCGCGGCACCTCCTTTTTCTCCAAATCCTAACGAATACCGACTTGACACCCCGTGACCGTGCGGAACTGTTCTTGACTCTATACGGAAACGCTCTCGTCCGTGACAGAGACTCCAAATACTTGAGTTTATGGCTTCGTTCTTTTCGAGATGGATTTGTAAGTGCTTGTCTTGTTCTTCCACCCAGTTTTCGTCCTCATATTTATTACCGTTTGTCAAACATCAAAAAATGAAGGCTTCTCTGTCAATTCTGACTTTCCACTGCTGTGCTGAAGCTCTGAGTCCTAGGCTCCGTGTGTTTTCTATCCGTTGTTAAAAGAATTCCATTTCCTTTGGTCTTCCTCGGTCTATCTCATTATTACCGTTTGTGCAGAGGAGCTCTAATCATCGACCAAGTGAAGCGCCTCCTTAAAGTCGCTTCCGAATCTTCGGCAGCAAAAAACGATTTTCTGTCTGAATTAGTGGACTTCAGTTGCCTCAAGTTCAAGGATCGGGATGCGTTCGAGGCGGTTTTGCAGGGTTGGAAAGCCGATGTGCCCTTTGACGTGGAGAAATTGCGCGACGATCGCTTGAGAGGCCATTACCGTGCTCGCTACGAGTGGCGGAAGAACCTGCTGGATGGACACTATTATGAATTGTGAATAACCATCCACGTGGATGGTCTCAGCGTCATTTTCAACGTGCCTCACTCTAACGTCTCCAAACAAGTATAGTAGCTGTGTCGTTCGTGCGTCATGGACAAATTAGATACCCTTTATGGGCTATCCTCAGGATATTGTTGGTAGACCTAGACGTCGAACAATCAAATAACCCTGCTAATGACCACATTCCTCAAACAACTCTAACGTCTCCAAACAAACATCAAGCCGATTGCCAGCATTATCCACTGGTATCATTATCGCGATTTTGGACACACTGGTGTTGCTTTCGAGAGCCGGTTGGGAAGCTATTCGGTGCCCAACCGCACACTAGCCAGCTATATCGATGGAAAATCGAGGGAGAAGGGAACCAGCATTCTTGTGCGTGGGTAATTTTATTTACCAGAATGCTACAAGTTCAAATATTATCAGGGACCTCTACGGACAACTTTCTGAACACACATTTACCAGAATGCTACTTGGTGTTGATCTTCTTGAAGATTCCTGTATAATTCCTTGTGAACTGTTCCCTCCTTCCAAGCACCCACAAAAGTGGAATTGAATGATCATATCTATCATACTAAACCCTAAAAAGCCGCCCTAGGCACGACTAAACCAGGTTCTGGGCAGACATTGTGAATGGACCCTATTTTGCTTTTGGTACCGATGTACATAATCCTCGGGATAAAGTGCGGCTTTTCAAGAGGAGCCAAGAGCAGCACCGCAACACTGCTGTAGACGTTAGTGAGTTCAACCTGGAAGCGTGGATCAGGTACTTCATCTTCTTGATGTTTTTACTAGAAGACCATTCATCTTCATGTGATTTTATAGCATTTCGGTTTCGCTTTATTGTAAAGTTTCTGGCTTCAACATCATCATCACCTCACGCTCCACATACTTACGTAGAACTATCTACTTCTTACCATAGCCATATTTGAACTACATCCACCTCGTGAATAACACGCTTCTCCACCTTGTGAATAACACGCTTGCTACACAGAGAAATGCAGACCTTCGAAGAATTCAATTTACCTCCGGAGAAGCCTGAAGAAGCAGAGTTTCCTTTCCATGCGTCAGCAATGGACGATTTACGGGCAGGAAACCGCATCGAAGAGGTCGACGCTGATGGAAAAGTGAAGGAGCCGGAGAAACCGGAATGGGCCAAAAAAAAGAGACTCCCTGCCATGGAAGGCTGTAAAGTCGTGCTATTGACAGGAGATTTGGTTATGGAACCGAAGACGTGCGTCTTTATTGATTAGAAGTAGCTTGTGTTTACCGTCGCGACCTGGAACATTCATTTTCATATCTACTTGCTAAGTGATGTACAAGATTTGGATCTAGAGTGCCGGAATTAAAAGTTCAGCACTTGTTGCTCACTGTTTCACCACCCCCCTTTCATATCCGAGGAGAACCTGAAGAAATCGAAGTACGAGCAAGCATTTGACCGCGTTTTCTTCGGAAATATGGCAGTTTTGCCTGTCTTAGAGGCAAGTGGCATGGTCGGGTCGGCGGCAGCATTAGCAGATGAAGAGAAAAAAGCGAATAAGAAAGACGCAGAGACGAAAGAAGAAAGTCAAGAAACAACTTCTGCATCTAGTACCTCCTCTACAACCCCAACTACGAACCACTTCGCTCGAAGTCTGAAACCCCAATGCGTCGTAACATGCGAAAGTATGAAATATCAGGTGCATTTCGAGGCGCGCATGAAACTCGGTTTCAGACGACGGATGCGGGAAGCATTTGAAAAGCTTGGTATGGAAATGCACAGAGCAGACCGACTTCCAAATCCAAAGGATGTCATTCCGGAAAGTTATGGGTGAGCATGGGAAGATTGGCATCATATACTACACCAACAAAAGTATCACTAGCAGGTGCTCATGAATGCTTATTTCAGCTTCCTTTTACTAGTATGTGTCGATCATTAAACCCGAAGTAGTACTCGTAGTACAACGAGGAGCAGAACCACAACCAGGCCAATGATCTGCTCTAATATTATCGCGCGCGAGAAATCGAATTCTCGCTTCCGAATTTTGTACATTTCGCACCTGGCGACGTGTTGCGCTCAACATGCAATGCTGGCGCAGGTGGCGGTCAGAAAAGCAGTAGCAGATTAGATGAATTAGATTTTGACTAGATCATGAAGAGGAGCTTTTCTTTTCTTTTCTGTACTTGATGTGAAGAGACGAAAAAGACTGCCATATCTTGATCGGGAAGAGGAGGAACCTGTGAATGTATGGCTTTTCTTTTCGTAAAGAACTTGTAACGTTTAAGGTAAAGGTCTCCGGCGATTGAAAAAGATGAAAAGCACTGAAACTTCCCAGATTTAGTGTCCGTTCTTGCACAGATAAAAAAATTTCCATCAGACACAGTAATGTGTCTACAAAAACAATGTGTCTACAATGAGTTTCATGTTGTCATTGTTGTATAAAACGTGATGTGGGAAGATCTTTACTGAGAACTTTTGGTTTTCCAAGCAGAGCCCCTGCAAAAAAGTAGTATACATCAGGCTCGCTCCGACCCAAGTGATCTTCTATCTTGAGTGTTCGAACAGCGCCCCCTCCACGTTGTGCGACAAAAAAAGGGAGGCTGCTAGAGGCGGGACCTGGAGAGACGGTCTCGTCCGAGTTGCAAAATAGAAAGTCGCGTCTATACTGCTTAGATGAGAAAAAGGCAAAGTCACCAGTGTGACGTTGTTGATTTCGTTGGAACTTAGTTAGTTTCTCACTGTCTCCTGTTTCATGTGACGCAAAGCGAAGATGAATGGGCCAACCATTTCGCATATTAAACACACACTTGTAGCGCTGTTCTGACCGATAAAAAAATAATTAATAATGCAACAAGACAACTTCTACTTCTGATGATCGACTTTTACTTTTTCACTTTTATTCAATATAATGTTTTTCCATCACATGTTTACTCGTTCGACCACTTTCATACTATTCATGAGGTATTATAAGTAAGTAAGAACGAGAGAAGTCACGAGATGGTTTGCTTCGGCTTTTTTGGTGGCAAAAGCCGAAGAAATGCCGGGAATCCGCTTGTGGAGCAGGCACAAGCCGCGCACTTGGCCAGGCTCAACGACATGCAACATAAGCAGGACGCGGAACACTCAGCTCTATACGCAACGGTGGCGCTTTTCTCGGAGCTTTTTTCACTGGAGCCAGAGAGCTTGCCAGGAGGAAAGAACTCGAAGGCGTACTTGTTTTTTGGAGGAGATCAGGACGCAGCACCTGATGTGCTAGATTTGTAGTAATTCATCTTCAAGCTGCTAGCTTTCAATCACCTAGTACTCCTTGATTCTAGTCATGAAGATTTGCATTTGTGAATTATACGTTTTTCTTTCGGATACCGATCGATCATGATTTTCTGTTTCATCTGACCTCTAGGTCTTCTTCATCCGCCTCTTCCTCCTTGATCTCGCTTTCCGAACTTGATCAAGAGCAAATTAGACAACTGGAGACTCTGCGAAGGCGGATGAACCAGAGCCGCAATGCGGGTGGTCAGATCGCGCTCTTAGCACCAGAAAGTCCGCTTCGGCGGTTCGTCTGCGACTCCTTGTTGAGGAAACACTCCTTTGGCCATTTAGTAGACCTCTTCGCACAAGCGGCTGAGGACAACACTCTTCCAGACTTCTGCCAGGATATCACGCCAAAGGACTTGGTGATCGGGCTTTTTTTAGGTTCATTACCAGACGACTTGGGCCATTTTATCACGTTGTTGTGCCAAGCAAATAGCATCGTGCCTCTCTGCTGGCCAGTAGGGAGTGGCAGCAAGCAGAAGTTGACACAGAATGTGCTGCTGTCGCAAACGAAGCAGAAGCAGCTGATGGAGATAGGCGGGTCAGGAGGAGGCGGACCAATCTTTGGCGGCACGTGCGTGAATTGGGACACATTTTTGTATCTACGAACAGCCGTAAAATCGAAATCTAGTGGTCTCCAGATGGTCCAGAGCGAGGCCGCTGCACCGGCTACAGTCAGCAACCATCGCGGAGAGAAGATCGAGACATCGAGTAAAGCATCTTATGGCTGGTGTCTGGATAATTCCTTAGAGTTGGAGCTAAGTAGATGAAGAAGATTCCTCACGAAAACAATCAACGTCTGTCTGAGTTGGTGCTCGTTTCATGTACATGCTTAACATGATCGGACGAAGCTAATGTTGGTGTTGTGTGATACGGCATTGCCGCAAAAGTAAGTCAGTAATTATTTTCTTTTCGACGATAACAACCCTAAAACTTCTACCTCTAACCCTCCTCATCTTCAGCCAGCAAAGCGCCGAAATTACTAGTATGGCACGGCACTGCGCTTGGGAAGACGCATTTACTACAGCAGGCAGAGATGACCAACGCGAGTCTGATTAGTCAAACTGCTTCTCATGGGGGCCTTTTAGTGTCCGCGGATGATCTAGGAAAGGCTGCTCTGGTGCACAAGGGGTCTATCGATCTCTCAGCGTGCAGTAGTCTGTTGCCAGGCCAAAGCGAGCTGTGGATTGCGGATGTCCACGTGCATGCAGACATGACGCGTCACTACGAATCTGCCGCATCTTTAGTTTCCGAGTACAAAGCGTTGTTGTCGCAAGCGCCTAGCCCGAGTGACGCAACGAATGCAGCTGGCGGTCCTGCTGGTCCTACAGAGCAGCAATTGCAAGAAGCACGGATGATGCGCAAACAGAAAATGCAGGAATTTCGAGCACTGGCGACCCAAGCGAATCGAGGAGTAGTGCAGTCTGAAGACTTTAATGCTGTGGTATCGACCCTAGTTAGCCATGGGGCTTTGTGTCTGCACGTAGACGCAGACGATTTTGACCCAGAAAGCGGTGAGATTTTGGCGCCTTTGATTTTATGATGAGGTCGTTTTATCTAAGCATTCGATTTTGTTTTGACTCTTGTTGAAAAAAGGTGGAACGATGCTTGAAGACAATAGTAACTGCAGAAGTATCCAGATGAAGACGAAGACATTTTTTATTCTAGCACCCTGTCTGAGCCCCGCCCCTTTATTTGACGATTCTAATCCCCACCTCTCTCCTGCCCAAAGCGGCAGTTGTAGTCTGGCGCGATTTTGAAGAGCAAGCTCACGCTGGTCTGGTCGAAAAAGTTCTTTCTAGGAATGCGAAGGTGCTCAAGAAGCTCGCGAGCACTGTAGTTTCCACGACCGGTCCTTCTTCTTCCTCAAGCAGTAAAGGATCTCCATCAGACAAGGATAAAGAACCAGCGACTTTGATCCTGTTGGAAAACATGGGCTCTTTCCGGTCACAAGCACGTGCAAACGCGGTAGTGAAACAGTTCCGAGTAGAGCTGGCGGCAGCGTTGTCCCAGCGAAAGACGTGGCCTGATTTGCCGAGCCATCTAGACCTGCAGGCGTCCTTTGAGGCAAACCAGCAAAGCTACGAATTGAGCTTGCGGAAAGAGATGCTAGACGCAACGCGGAAATTGAAGCTGAACTTCGGAATGCAGAAGATCTGTGAGAAAATGCGTGCAGCGGAAGAACAAGAGAGGCATCTGCCGTGGCAGAACAACAACGAACTAGATGAGCATATTCAACTAGCTTTAGAACTGGCGGATCGCACGGAAAGCTTGCAGAAGAACCGGGAAACCTATTTTGGCAGGGGCTTAGACGAGATGACCCTCTTTTTCCTAGACAAATTGCTCCTTTCAGCAGACATGAAACGTTTGGAGAATCGTTCTTTGCCAGTGCAAAGGGCTTTGATGCAGAAGAGTCAAGTGGATAGGATAAAAACGTTCGCTGGCAAGTTAGAATTCCTTTATTCGAAGGACGACTTCGCAGGAATGGAGTCGTTTTGGAACGAGATTCAAACCTTTTACCAATGTGCAGTCGACATTAGCAATGCGGGTGGAAGGACGACGGCAGGGGTGGTGAAAGAAGGAGCTTTGTGGTATTGATGAAAGTGGTTGGTGTTTCAGTCAGTTCTACATCCAAGAATTCACGACTTGGATATATGGCTTTTGCAAGGAGCTAAGTAATTGTAATTCAGTTTTTGCTCGAGACAAGCAGTAGCTGAATACAATATACCAATGTTCTTGAGAATCTCACTCTTCACATTCACTCATCAGGAAGCAGCTCGAAAAAGCTCGTTCCTCCTACACTTCTCTTATCGCACGGCGCGGCGCACCCATGCAACTTTTAGCTGGTAATCCTCTGGCGATCTCGAGTCAGGCTTTCCTAGCACAGGTCCTCCGGGATTTAGATATGGAGGAGCTTGCGTCACCATCATCACAGAGAAAGCTACGCGTCATCTCGGTGATCGGCGCGCAATCGTCAGCGAAGAGTACCCTGATGAACTTCCTTTTCGGCTCTGAGTTTGCAGTGTCAGCAGGAAGATGTACCTGCGGACTCTACGCGAGTGTGTTTTTCACACAGAAATTCGCAATCCTGGTTTTGGATTCAGAGGGGTTGCTAGGTGTCAGCGATAGCAGTCGAGGAGATATTTTTGATGGGCAAATGACTTTGATGTGCCTCAACTGCTCTCACGTGGTGCTGATAAATCACAAGGGAGAATTGTCGAGGTACTTGTTAATAATTCATAATCTTTTACTAGTAACTAGTTGTAGTGCTCCTTCTATTTGGTTAAAAATGGGAATCTTGACGTTAGCATCCGAATGTTTAAAAAGTGTGTAGGATTTTTAAGTACAACGACCATGTCGTCCCCAGCAGCAACTCACAACTAAACACGAATACCAGGCAACTCCAAGACCTGATCGAGATCTGCCTCTTCGCTATGAGGCATTTGAAGATCAACAAGAATAAGCCCAAAATCGGTTTCGTCCTGAGAGATCAGCAAGATAGGAGTGTCGAAGTGCATCGACAGATGCTACAGACGATGAAGAGCCATCTCCACGAGTCAGCTGGAAAATTGGGGATATCGTTGTTATGGTCGTACTGTGAAAAATAATAGGACTCATGATCTACTGAGAATTCAAAAGGGAAGATTCCCGTTGCGAGAGGAGCCAGAAGTGGTCTATATTACACCTATTTCACGCTACCTTCAGCTTTTTTACCTTTATTACCAACAACTAGCACGCACTACCTCTAACAGGCGAAGACCTGATCCGAATAGACGACACCGCCGTGTACCTGCTTCCGAGTGCGTACGTGACTGTCAGAAAGCACAGTTGCGAAGTTCAGTGGACTCCAGAATTGTTCAGTCAGGAAATTTTAGCTCTACGAGCTCAAATTACGGCGACAAGAAATCTCCCATTTATTTCAGAAGCATCTTAATAGCCCCGTTTTCAAAGGGAAAACGGGCATCAAGATGAATCCGAAGATGGATTTCTCTTAGTTCTAATCGAATCTTCAACATGTTCGATAGCGAGGACATGGAAAATGTGTGGGATAACCTGGAGAGCTGGTAAGAACCTCCGATTACAAATACAACTCAGAAGATGATTTCAGGTGGAATCTCTCAGTCTTCTAGAAGTAAAGACTTCATCTTCTGTAGGAGTTATGCAAAGTGTAGTTACAATTTCAAATGAATATCAACAAAGGTGTGCAACATGCTCGAACAACATGATTGAAGCAACAACATGGATCCTCTCTCCTACTTCACTCCCAAGGTACGCCCACACCTGTCATGTATGGGACACCCTTGTACGGTTCGGGGCCAATTTGCTTCACTACAAGACGATTCAGGAGATAGAGGCTAGAAAAGACCTGTATGAACTCGCTAAACAAACAACACAGCAGATCATGGAGCAGGACCAGGATGGTTTTAGGGCGCAGTGTCACGGAACGACGCAGATGTTTATCAAGAGGTACTCGTTGCTACGATGTTGTTGTACTAGAAGTATCAGAATTGGATCACGGTGTGTTGTACCAATGACTATGTTGGTCGATTTCATTTTTCTTATGAAAGTAGCTTTTTCGTATCAAACGTCATACTTCTAAAGGAGGTAATCGTCACGGTCACTACTTCTGAAGCAGGTTATTTCACTGCATGACGTGGCCAACACCTTCCTTCCCCTTCTACTTCATAAATTCTTGCCTCCACGTACTACTTCAACATCCGCAACAGGCTCCAGGCTTCCGGTTCCGACGATTCACTTCAAACAGACATGATCGATCTAGAGTTCAACCGATCTCTCACTAGTCTGCGTGATGACTACGTCCAGAGAAGTATGGTTTTGTTTAACCAAAAGGCGAACCAAGACCCTAGGTTTCTTAAGACTTGTGGAACTCCATTTCCATTTTGAGAAGCATGATCTGGAGCCTGCCGCGTGTAATAAGGGGCAAACGGCTCCAGGAAGATGACTTTCAAGATGGATTTCGGGAAGGTCTAACTTTCATGAGACGATGAAGGAAGAAGCCAGGAAAAAACTAGGAACACCCATGGACTGGGTCTTCGAAAATTACCTGTACTTTTTTTTTTGCATTTGCAATGGCTAGTTCTTGTTTTTAGCACCATTTGGTTGAAATAAGAAGGATAATTTGGAGGTGGTCGATACTAGTTCATCCCAGTCGTGCTTACAGCATCTGCTTCTTGTTACCTGCTCCACTACATCCTGACTATGATCACCTTCTCCTGTCCACCTTTTTCCAACAACAACAAGGTACACCTGGAAGCTCTCTCTGAAGAAAAAGACGGATGAACAGGCCATGCACAAGATGTGGACGCATTTTACGAATGTTTTAAACCAGTATTTGTCCGATTCGTCGCACCAAGCCACGTTGTCCGAAACGAAAGCCCGAGCTTTGTTCGCCAGTGAATGTTATGGCTGGCTCTCGTGAAAACCTGGCTCTCTCCATCTTCCTTTGCTATTTGTATTAAATTGGTCACTCGCATTTGTGCCAGAAAATGAATTACGAAAAACAAAAACTCACCTCCTCTTCTAACACACGGACGCTTATGAGGAGGCTTTCCAGGACCGATTAGCCAAGATTGCGAAATCCCAGGAAACCATCCAGTACGAGCTTATCATCCAATTCAACAACGTGGTCAGCAAGCTGATGCACGAAGGGGGACCATTCTCGTTGCTGCAGGAGCAGGGACCTCAGTAATGATTCTTGTGATTTAAGTACTTATGTGCTGGTGTTCGATTGGACACAGACACAAAGAATGCAATTAACCTCCTCCCATAAAACGACGATAGTGTTTTCCCCCTTATTTTCGCCTAGAGGTGTGCCGCAAATCTTGAGTGGCGTTCACTTTTTTTTTAGGTGAAGGTTTAGGTCCCGCGACGCTCAAAGCACCAAGTAAAACAGCCTGTTAGTTTTCACCTCCCCAAATCTAGGCTTATCACGTGCAACAACTTACGTGGTCTTCGATTGGACACAGGAGACACAATAAAGTCAGTTGAAATGTAGATGTTCCAACTCTCTTTTCCCTCAAAACGCCACTAGATACCTCTGGCGCAAGCAGACGCTTTTAGGAGAGCGAGATGACGAGTGGGAGAAGAAGTACTTCCATGAGGGTTGGCGCAATCGCATCCAAAAGATCCTGAAGGGGGAAATTCCGAAGGGCGACAAGACAGAATACAATCTCAAGAACTTGCAGATGTTAAGGCGGGCAATGCTAAAGACAAAGACTGACTGTTTCTCATAACAAACTTTGTTTGATTGATGGAGCGCATTTTTGTATGTCCCGGTGTACCTCTAGCGTGTAGCCCTTCCGACAATGTATTGTATGTTCCGGTGTACTTACTTCTACGCTGGATGCAGAATAAACTACGAAGGTTTATATATTGTAATTCGATACCACTCTAAAACTAGCACTAGAAACACCGAACTTCCTCCGCGAGCAGATCATTCCGAAGCTGCGAGCCATCGTGAAGCGGGTTTTGTACGAGCAAATCGTCTTTGCGGATGAGATTGATCCTTTTGCGCCATTAGGAACGCCAGCAGCAGAGGGAACGTCCATTGGCGATTTGAATGCGTATCAAGACTAACTTAGTGTGCTGTAGCTTGACTGCTTCCGTTGGCTTGTGCAATTGCGACAAGAGAAGTGATGCTGCAAGAAAGCAGTAGAGATTAGGTCATGATTGATGACCTTGAATTTATAGTGAGTCGTGTATTTTTTAGGCTTAGCCACTTCACTTAGCCACTTCACTGCAGTTGTAATATACCGAACACCCACGACCACAGGTCTTTCGAATCCGGTAACGCAATCAAAAACGACAATCAGCAGATGATGGATGAGAAGATGATCATCGACTGGTTTAGACAACTCATGGATATCGTCGTTCGTGTCACGGAAAAAGAGCATCTTGCGCCTTTCTTGATCAGCTTGAAGAGGCCACAGTACTTTTTAGATTGATTCCGGTAATATCTATCTGCATTTTGATGTAGTGTTTCTTTCAGAATATACTAACCATGCCTGATTTTGTAGTGAAACTACTCTCCTGGTTACCCGCCCTATCATCTCCAGTTCCACAGCATAATCTCTGTCTCGTCATGTGCAACCTCTAGTCCATCTTCTGGTCTCCACTCACTACCACTTTCACAGGTTCATCCATTCCCTCTCAACGCTGGTCCGCATCGCCGCTTATGAAAAGCGTCTCAAGGAAGAGGAATCGCAAAACCAGAAGGAGATGGATGTTCTCCTCGACCACAAGACCCAGATCGAGGACCACTTCTTGCTCATTATCAAGGCGAACTCGAATGATGTAGAAGTCGCAAAGAACTTCGCAATGCGGTATCACCAGAACGTGAAGGTGTATATCCAGCAAGAAATTCTGAATCTGTGTGCGGAGATCAGGGAGACGGTACTGGGAGATATGCCAGATCCAGCCAAAGCGTACGAAAGGGCCTATCAGCAGAGTTTCGGTGCTAGGAACTATATCGAAGTTTTGGAATACGTTTTGGATGTCAACGCCTACGTGGAAAAGCTGTTTTTGATCATGTTTGCGAGAAGAAAAGCTTATGTGGTGGATACGAAAGTAATTTTTAGACAGAAGTTTGCTGATTCTGATATTCGAATTCGATCTTGATGCTCATGCTAATAAATTCATTGGTCAAGGAGCACGCGATGATCGTGCTGCAGCTTTTATCGATGATGTCCGGGTCGTGAAGATGCATGTTGTTGGTCTGTTTCTAGCACACCTCCTAATACATAGAAGAAGAACATCAAACCACAGGTCGCTTCCCTTCGCGAACGCGTTAGAACGATTTACAAGCTGATCTTATCAATCTGTGACCAGTGGGCCCATACTGCAACTCGGGGACGCGCAATTCCAGGTGGCATCGCTGTGCCTCAACTCGTTGACGGTGTAGCCGTCACGAATTCAGCCGCAGGCGCTCTTGCCGCTCTAGATGCCGTTGCTGATCAGCGACCTGGTTTGCTTGGTGCTGATGGGGAAAAAGAGGAGAAGGGTGGCAGTTCCCTACGAGTAGACGAAGATCGCGATGGCGAACATAATGCTGCACAAAGCGATAACTTTCAAGATGCTAATTCCATTATGGCTGATGGTGAGGAAACCCGGACCCCCCGCGTAGCCTAAATTTATAACTTCAGAATACGCTAAGAACACTAGACCACACCAGGAGGAGGATGTTACTTTGCCTTCTTCGTGTGCAACATCAACAATTTTAGGTGGAATAGCAGCTGTACTAGTAGTGCTCGCTCCAACAATGGGAATGTCAGGCGTCCCTCCCACCTTTCTAACCCCAGTGGCATGCTGTCACCATCCACTAATACGCCTTTTACGACTGGAGCAGGTGGTGTGCTAGTTGGAACTGGCGGTTCGAGTAGTAGTTCCACAGGATCCAAGCTGACTCTGAAGGATCTCCGCGAATTCATCGCACAGACTGCCATGGCTCAACAGCCAACGGCAGAGGACCTTCGATTAAGGCGTACAACTGGTGTAAAAAGCATTTACACTTGATCAAGCATTTAGTAATAATTTTAGACTTTGACCCCTTTTTGAAAGGGAACCGAGCAAAGAAAATCAATGGGGCAAAGATGAGCTACTTCAAGGTGAATTGCGTGCAGCTCTAATTCGAAGGGAAGCCCAGGATCCCGGTAATGCGGAATTTCTAGGAGAAAGCCGCAATTGGAAACAAGATAATTTTTAAGGGTACTAGGTTAAAGGTGCTTTTGTTACCGCTTGTTATGGCTCTACTCCTAACCCTAAGCGGGACAGCCATAACAAGCGGGAGAACCCACGAACACCAAAAAGGGATAAACGAACACCAAAAACCTACCTCTAAAATTTGTTGAAAGCATACAAGGTCGTAGTGGATCGGATTCCAGAGACTGCGGAATTTCCTGTACGAGACGCCCAGATTTTCTGCTCTGCATTTCGACAGCATCTGTTGCAATTGCAAGAAAACTTGGAGGAGAAACTGGATGCTAGACGAGGGAATATCGTCAATCTTGACGATTTGAATCTGCAGATGGCGGATAAGGATGCAAACATCGTCTGCCAAGAAGCGCCGGCTGAGGATCACGACAGGTCAAGCACAAATAGCTGGATCGATGACCAATTGCAGAAAGGGTTGCAATTAAGGCTTGGTTGGCATATTGACAAGTATAACTTATTGAAAGTTCTTATTGACTACACCAGTATTTAACTCGGTATTCCTCGTCGATGCTGCAAGTGCATTTGATATCATCGAAAGCTGCAAGATCAATTTACCAAGCTTGTTCCTCGACTACGTTTGCTCCAATTACATCCTCTAATCCCCGAGCAATCGAAAACGGCATGGGGCATGATCAAAGGCTGTTCCGCGCGATGTCCACTGTGCGGATCCAAGTGCGACCAAGTCGGAGAACATGCTAGACACAGGTGCACGCATCACTTGTTTCCAGCGTTTCACGGATGGATGGACCGGCAAAACGGTTACCCCAGTTTCCACTACTGTAAGTCGAAAGAAGCTTTCGAAGGTACCTATCAGTGCAATGATGGCGAATGGCGACCATTGGAGGTGTTTCTTCGGGAAACGCACGAAGCCTGGCTCCCATTCTGTGCGGAAGAGGATCAGGGCAGTGTGAAAGACATCTCTTTGCTGCAATCATTATGGCTCCGCGTCGTTAGTAGAGTAACAGTAACCCCTCTCAAAAAAATACTGATACTAGCTACATTTTTGATATGCGAGTGTGACGAGTTGTGCAGGTGTATCTTCCCTATGGTCGTGAGGTTGTCTCTATTACACGTAATGAACAATACCAGAACAAAATGCATCTCATTCCCAGAAAAGTTGTTGAGATCCTGAAAAGAGAATATGAGACACTCCTCGTCCTCCTCTAACACCAGCCTGGACGAACTGCAAGATTCCGTTGCTAGAATACTTCAAGCCAATGGTTGACGAAATGCCTGCAGAGTGGAGCGCTTTCTACGAACCTGATAGGGCGTTGCAGTTGGCGGATCTGCGCAAAGCCAAGGACGTGATTCGGAAAGTGCGGGAAAGGAGATTCGTACCGGAAGAATATTACAAGAATCTTAAGTAGGAGGGACAGAAGACATCAGTGTAGGACATAGTCTAGATGTTGATGAATCATTCATGTCTAGAAAATGGTGCTTTTGGGAGATGATAGAAGCGATCTTCTTGCAGTAGAGAAATTAACGACCATTGAACAAAGTATGTAAAAATATGGCTCCTTGCTGGGAGCTATTTTTTATGAGGCTAGGAGTGCTGCAACGCGACTGATTGTTTGATAAATATCCTTTTTTTTACAACTGAAAATTATCGTGGCAAATGATACGGGTAAATATATGTCGTGTTGTCGTGTGCTAGTACAACTTTGAGCGGAAAGTTGCATGCTGAGACGGGGGCGCTGCCTTCTTCTGCATGATGCCCAGGGCTAACTAATAGAGTCATAGACATGTCGAGGTGTACTCAAATCATCCTAGAATACAACGCTTCTCGTAGATTGAAGGAACAGAAAGTGAGGGTTTTACAATGAAAAGGCTAAAGTGAACATTTCCTGAAACAGCGTCACAAAATGAAGTGGAAAAAACTAGGAATTAGATAAGTAAAAGAAACACAGAAGTGAGAGTGTCGCCGCCAAGGGTCGCAGCTTCAAATATTAAGGTTTCCCGAACAGCGCACGGATTTCTAATATTCGGCAGGTACTCTGCTCCCAGAAATTGTGGGCCAAACTTCGGCCTCGTAGTCGAACCCCTGACGTTTAGCATAAAAACTTAAACTTTTCAATTGTATTAATTTACCTAGGCTTTGGAATTTATTGACTCGACGCCACTTTGTGCCTCTTCTGCTACCGGTAGCACGCTGTCGGCTGTTTGTGGTGCTGTTCTTCCTCTGTCGAGTAATCTATACCCGCGCGCGGTGTGAAGCCTTCGAGGTCTACAAGGAGCCCAAAAATGACCGGGGCCAAAAATCTGAACACTGGGCAGCTCTGGCCTGGTGGGTGTGTTTATAGTTAACGGAATCACAAGAACCAGGCAAAAAGCCCAAGATAAACACAAGACTAACCCCGTTCGTTCTATTTTTTCCTGCGGTAGTCGTCCACGGGGGCACTGGCTGGCGACTAACGCTCGAAAGTGCCGGGCTCTGTCTGGCTGTCCCTTCGTGACAAACTGCGAACGCCTTCGTGTTGCATAATTTTTAGGCCACTGGGCGAAAGAGGAGAGTCAGACGAAGGCGGAAGTGGCAACCTCGTGGGGAGAGGCGGCGGACGTGCTAAGCAAGTCGTCTCTTTGTAGGTCCAACATCTAAGAACCAGAGCAAGCAAGCAGACTACGCCTAGCAAGAACAATCAGAGTTATTCGGCAAAGGAATCACTACATTTATAGTGATTGATTCCATTTCTAGTACAACAAAGACGAAGTTGTTTGTAAGAATAAAGCTGCGAACTACAGTTAGCAATCAAACAAGCAAGCTAACTCCAGTTCTTTTTGGATTTTCTCTTTTTGGCTAATATTTTGTGATGGATAGTTACTCACCATAGTTAGACCATGACACCCCTCCGAGGAGCAAATTATAGTAGTTTTACAACTGGTCTAACTACAACAAATCAATGGGTTTCACAATTAAAGGAGGACGCGACGACAATCGTCAAACACCTCATGACGAATAAAAAGTAGGACTACAACAATTTCTAGGAGGCCTTATTTAGGATAATTTTTCGTCCCTTCTGCATTATTTTCATGTCATACATAACTGAAAGTAACGCATCATGGTACGAACATCATTGAAATGTTACCGCAACGCATGGTCATTGCCTCACTGCAATAGGAGGCTCCAACTGGTCTCTGATGTTTCATGACGTCATGACTGTTAATACGACAATACAGTAGCACGGCATATACGGGAACCCTCTAAATCTGAGTTTGATTCATGTAGAGTCACCTGCCAATCGTTTTGTTCATATTGTCGATAAAGGGCTAGCTTGAATAAACATCGACTCGGATGACAAAACAAGGTGCGCGAGCGCGTTGGTGCTGGTGTTCTCTGTGAGAATCAGAATGCGTAGCTCTGTCCAACAGCGAGTTCAAGAATAGCTTGGCATACCTGTCCTCTACAAATTAAAATACTTTCCTGCATTTCTTCTTGCATTTCTTCTACTGAATTATAGGAAACAAGAGACACCTTGTCCATTCGCTGAGCGAGTCTACTTCCAGTTCCACCATCAAGGATATCCACCACCACCAAAGAAAAATGAGAGTGTCTGTCCTTGGTTCTCTTGCCGCCCTGTTGGTGGCTCCCGCCTCTGCTGCGTTTTCGCTAAAAAAGGACTCTTCGAAGAGGAAGTACAGCGTGACGACCAAAGTTTCGATTTTATGGCATCGGGAGGGAATCGTCATATTTGCAAGGCAATATTGACTTCAAGTAGAACTTCTAGTCAACAAGCTACAAGCTCAATTAGAACTAGTCAGCAATACAACCTTCAACAAACTAGAAGACTGAGTTGTTCATCTTCCACTGATTCGATTGTGATTGTGTACATAGAATAAACAGGCAAATCACGACGACTTATAAGTGAAGATTATGGCCTCCATACGGCCTACGCAAGTCAACCCCATCAAGACGATTTCGAACAATTATCACCCAATTACACGATCAAGCTATCAACCCCGAATCCCCCTTCTAAACCCAGACGGAGAAATCATCGGAGAAGGAGATGGCTTGAACAACGCTGTGAACCAGTGTGTTTCGGACACCAGTGACAAATTCTCAGAAGTCGAGGTGTGCGGATGTGAGGTGAAGGTGTCTGCGCACCTAATGACACGATGCTCGGAATATGCGACGTATTCAGAGGAAGTGGGAACATGCGATTGCAGTACTTTTTAGTAAATTTTTGGTATTCAGAGGGAGTTGGAACATGCGATTGCAGTAGTATACTGGTGATATTAGACTGTCACTTGAGAGAGACGAGGGATTAAATTCTACTGAAACTTGATTCATGCAACTGCATACGAGAAAAATTGTTGTTCATGCTTAACTTGTTGCACACTATCTATCATGTGTCTTGATGTTACTACAAACAATATAACCTGAGACGTTCTTCATCAAGAACAGTCGAATCAAAAATCTCAATCCACCCACAGGCGTCGAGGGTTGCGTTAAGAAGAAGCTCGTGCACGGACGCGATAACCATGAAATGAAGGCGATGTCCTACCAGATTATCCCGTGCTAAGTACCTGGAAAATATAGAGACGATGCCGCACCAGTGAGGCTGATGAAATAGCGAATTTTTCTAGCTTTTCCAAAGAACAAGTATGTCACATTCGTTTTGTCCCGTACTAGAAAGAATATCTTCCAACGTTGCTGGCGTGCACAGACTGTAATTCTCTTTTCAATCTCTTTTCCGATTTTTCACTACCTGTTCAGATGACACCTACTTTTTGATCACGACAGATTTATGCAGATAACGCAGACACGATTACAACTTTTTGAGACTTTTATTTTGACGACAGATTCATGGTGGAAAAGATATCTTTTGGATTTTGAGTACTACTGTGTATACGTATAAGATTCATCAGACTTGTATTTTGTCGCTTCTGGCAGAATTAATGCCGCCAACAATTTGGTTGGGAATAGGATACGGAATGCAAGCTCCGGCTAGCTTTTTGCAGGTTAAGTATTCTTCACCTCTGACGAGAAGGAGAACACCCTTTCTTAATAGAGGGAAAAGAACTTTTTGTGAGAGTGCACTGATCGACGGAGTTGTTGTGTCCTAAATGCAAGTAAGTAGCTCCGCTTTTGATACCTAAGCAAATTTGAAATTTCACTGATAAAAGTTGCGTATCACCTCCAAAAGTGTCGCAGACAATCAAAGTCTTTGCGGTTCTTGAAAAGAGGGTGACTTGAGAACACAGCATTCCTCCTGTCAATGCAGCAGAAAGGGAGTTAGCCTTCTATAAATGACTTCAGGCCACCTCCACTTTGTGAGAAGGTAGTGACAAAAGTATCCAATTCCTTGAAGAAGGGTAAAAAAGCGACACTATTCACATGACCCCAGCACTGCGTGTAGTCGCTGGACACGAGACGACTACACGCGCGCATGGAGCCGCTGTGTCGTTGATCGGGTCGAAAATGAACCATCACACGTAGGAATTCGGATTTTATGAGCGGATATCAGTACCCGAGTACGTAAGTGGCTCCTACTAGCGCAATCATGCCGCCAGCGCAAGAACGCCTCCCCGTCGTCAACGTCTCTGTACCAACGACAGTATGTGGGATCCGAGTCGATCAGATTTTAGCATACGAGACGCCCAAAATCGTCTCGATCCGCAGCCCCAAGTTGGGCGCATGTTACTTTTTTCTGGTGTGTGCGGCAGTGAGCTACATTGTGGGGTATCAGATTCTGTACCACAATGAACATTTCCAGTTGTTTGATGTAGAAGGGAAAGTGCGGGTGAGTCTCCAAGAGCCAACTTTAGCTGGGTGTGATCCGGACGAAGATAGCTGTGCTGATGACTTCACACCTGCGGCGGAGTTGGCTTATTGCAGTACGGGTACTGCCAGTGGAGAAGGAGAACGAGGAGAAATCGGTAGTGCTGCATCAACCTCTCCATCCTCTGGTACAAAGAATCGGACAACAGTAGAGGCAATTTCAGCGGCAATCAAACAAGACAAAGATGTTACCCAGCGCCGCTGCATCTTCCGAGATCAACATGCCGTTGTTCCGTCTCCAACAGGAGAGAACCTCTTCATTCCGACTCGCATAGACTTCCGGCGAGAAACGCAGTGCCCCGAAGGACCAGACTCTCCACAATGTACGAAACTGTATACGACTGATGGGGAGCTGGAACAGGTATGAAAAAAAAATCGGTGGTCGCAGATCTCAACTGGCTACTTTAGTAGAGCAAGTGAGTTCCATAGCCAGACACAAGTACGGACTTTTCACATGACAGCCACAATCAAGTGAGCACTTTCCCCATCATGAGTCCACTCTCAATCTTGCTTTCCCCACTAACTCTTTTTCGTTTTCCGCACTAACTCTTTTTCGTTTTCCCCACTAACTCTTTTTCGTTTTCCCCACTAACTCTTTTTCGTTTTCCCCACTGACTCTTTTTCGTTTTCCCCACTAACTCTTTTTCGTTTCCCCACTAACTCTTTTTCGTTTTCCCCACTGTCTCTCTTAATCTTGCGTTTTCTTAGCGGATGTCGAGGATTTTACAGTTCTGTTGGCGCATACGTACTATCGCGAGAACCCGGCGAGTCCTAGCGAATATCTGGCAGGCAACAATGCGGTGCACCAAGGACTAGTGGAAATGTGCGTGGACGAACGACAGATAAGTCTGATTTATGTACTGTTTTTTAGTTCAAGAAGAGGAGCAAGGTCTTGAGGGCGAAAATAACAACTGAGATAAGCAAGTAACTGAAATAAGCAAGTAACTGATCTTCAGAATAACCGAGATACTGATGAGAATGAAGGGTAGCTGTGATGTTAAGCCGCCTCCCTCATTTCCGTCAGTAACTCGGTTATTTTGAGCTTTCGAGTGCGTGAGTGTTCGACTGGGGAAGCCTTGTCACGACTAGGTATGTTGTTTCCGAATAGATTCAACTCATCACGATCTACTAGGATCATGACCTACCATTGTTTCTTTGAAAATATAGGTGCTTCGTCGGTCACGGTTGTTTTGTTCGTATCTCTATCTCGCACTCTAATTTTCTGAAAAAGGAGAGCAAGTTATCACTAGGACAAGGTCGAAAAGCTCTTCCAAGAATCCGGACAACGAGCATGAGGAGGACTGGAAAACAGGAGCAAAAAGGAAACGCAGACAACAGCGAAACACGAAGAAGAAAGGCTCTTTTCTTAAGGCTTTCGATATAAAATTGATCTTGTTCTTGTTCACAAACCATTTTCCTAGAAGATCTGTTGTACCTCCAATTTCTTAGAGGACCATACCGAAGCAGAAGTCGATCCACGCAGGGAAGTCGAGAAACTTGGGACGGCGTCTCGGGAAATGCTGGAGTCCATGATCGCTCCATTCAATGCAGCACATGATTGTCCGCCTCCATTGGTAAAGAAACGAGTTCCGATTCCGTTTAAGGCCAATTCATGTTGTAAAAGAAGCCTAGTTCTGCACCAGAGCTGCCAGAAGTGCCACTAGGGTTCGAACTGACTTATGACATGATTTCTTTGTTCATCCCTTTCCTTTTTGTTCAACATCCCTTTGCTCTTTGTTCAACATCCCTTTGCCTTTTGTTCATCTTCATCCCTTTGCTCTTTGTTCATCCCTTTGCTCTTTGTTCATCCCTTTGCTCTTTGTTCATCCCTTTGCTCTTTGTTCATCCCTTTGCTCTTTGCTCTTTGCTCTTTGTTCATCTTCATCCCTTTGCTCTTTGTTCAACATCTCTTTTCTCTTTGTTCGAACTGACTTATGACATGATCCCTTTTATTTGTATTGTCTCAAAAATCCATCGTCTAACCTTCGCATCCGTCCCGGCGCTTGTCTTTTTGGTGACATTTACGACAAAAGCGACACGCTGGAGGACATCGTGGAAAGTAACAGTGGCGATGCGGAAGTAGAGCTTCTACTACAACAGAAGGAGAAGGAAGAGGATGCAACAAGAAGAAGTACTACAAGTAGTCGTGCTACAAGAACAAGTAGTATTAATAGTAAAAAGCATGTTGAGCATGAGAACTTTGGTTTCCTGTATCAACTACACCTTCTGATACATCGTGCTTTCAAGAGAGTGCAGAGATTCGTGGTGTCGTTGCAAACCGGGGTTGACTTAGAGGATCTGTGGACGCGGAGGTACATGCAGATTCTGTATGAAGAACATCTACTTCGACTACGTCGTGATGACTTGACAGCTGTCGATGTTTCTCCTTCTGCAGTTGCAACCCCTACAAGTTTCTTGCAAGAAGAGCAACGTGACGAGGAAGAAATGGAGATGAAAAAGGGAGAAACAGAAAGCACTAGTAGACGAAAACAAGATTTTAGTCCTCCTACTCTCTCATCACGAAAGCAGCGAACAAACCGCAACGCCAGCGATGTTTTCAACATAGCACGACGCAGAAAGGCGCTGAAGATGTCGAAACAACGGACGACTTCTACCAGTAAGGCGTCATCTCCTACTTCCAGGAAGTTTTTGCCAGAAGCGTCATCTCTTACTTCCACGAAGGTACCACTACCAGGAGACAACCAGGGCACTACAGTAACGACCTCTAGTGGCGGAGGGAAAGCCCTCTCCTTCTCCAAGAGACCCCAAAAAAAGGACATGTATGCTCTGAAGAACGGTGACGTGTTCTCACTCGGCCGCCTACTTGCGATCGCAGGTGTAGATCTAGATCGACAACGCGACACACAATTATGGTCAGCTTCTATCCACCTATCTCGGCATCTTGGTGCCCTTTTGCCCTGTATTCTCAAGAAATACAAGAAGGTAAAAGGTGAGGCGGGCGAGATGCATTCTCGCACACGCTAACAGAAGGGAAGAGCAAACGAATGGCAGGGACGCAGCTGGAAATCGTGGTGGAATACAGGAACTTATACCCTTGGTGGAGTACGTTCAATCCGAGACCTGACGATCGCGCGATCGAGTATTGCTATCGAGTGGTGGAACGACCTGTGGGCAGTTTCAAACATGAGGTCTTGACAGCGCAACAGCCGAAGGAGTATCCGAAATTATGATGGTACATGATGATGATTGAGGATCCAACTATTATTTGCTAGCACCATTCACTGAATTAGGAGGCGCTTGTCGCTACCTGTATTAAAATTAATCCTATTCATCTTATTCAGAGTTTTTTCTGTTCTGATCCTTCCCTTGTTGAAAAATACAACTTTACCAGTGACGAGCCTTATTTGTGGACCTCTTTTTACCACAAAAATGACTGCTCCAGTGCAATCGTCCTCTTTACGAGCATTTGCTCTCTGTCTACTTTCAGAAAGAAGAAAATTTCTTCTCCTCCCTTTCTGTCCTCCTCCTCTAATCCCAAAGCGCCTCATCGAGAACCAGCATGGGTTGTCATTGCAATTTCGCGTTGGTGGAAGTTTCGGGTTTTTGAATTTCATTTATCTCTTGGTCATGCTGACTACATCCTTGGTCTTGCTTGCTGGAGCGAGGACGTTCATCGACCTCTGCGCATTGTACCTCTTTCCTGAGAGGAAAAGCTATAGAGAAGCGAAATACGAAGTAGCGGAGATTGAGACGTTTACGAGTACCGCTTGAAGAGCTGCTAGTAAGGAGTTGGAGTCATCTGAGCAGTAAACTGAGGACGAAGCCCGCGTGCAGGACAAGGGTGATTAGTAGTGCTTGAAGAACTCGGTCGTGTGGGTCTGAGGAGGAGCATTCCTTCTCTTTGGTACAACTAGGGATAGAAACGTTTACCGTTTAGTAGTGCATGATTGGAGGGTCCTCATCCGTGACTTACAACGATTCGTCAATAAGTTTTTCCTTTCTTTGTTTCTTTCTTCCTTCCTTCCTTCCAGTGGATCTTCCTTCGGATTTGGTTAGCCCATTTTTTTCCATTTTTTTTCCAAAAAAACTAACAAGAACAACTCGAAACCTACTTTTGAAGTGCGGTGAAGGCAGAAAGAGATGGTAGTCGTGGTCTTCAGTTCGACGTGTTGAGGCAACGGTAGGGTTGTAGCCCATCAAAAGAGTCATGGGAAAATTGTAATTGTACTCTTTTCGTCCCCGCCTTCTCTGAAACGGCACATCAAAGAAAGTAGAAAATAGGTGCAAACTGGACTCAATTCGTATGCATCCACACGTGGTGATTTAGACTTTTTCGATGATCTTGACTTGATCAAGAAGACCGTACAAACGTAGTTCACGACAGAAAACTGGAGGGCGCAGTTGTGCATAAAAGGTTGTTCTGGACAGAATATTGACAAAAAACGAGTCTAGACTGACAGCCAAATCAGAAGTGTTGGTGTACCTTTTTTTTACCTCAAAAGCAATGCGAAACGATCCACAGCATACGACAAAGAATGGGTATGATGAAGCATATTACGCCCGCGAATGTACTACAGCTAGTTGTCGCGCTTTTTGCGTATCTTCCGACTGGCTGGCTTGCGCTGGCTGCCGTGGGATCCAGGAAAGAGAGGCAGGGGGCGTCTTCGATGCCCATCAATGAAATAAATGGGGAGCACGACTCGTCTGCCTACATCCGCCGTGAGAAGTAGAAGAGAAACATCAAAGGCGATTATGCTGAGCAGCGGCACCAGTCTCTGGTGGAAGAAATGGACGGAACAAATACCACGACACATGCGTCACGCAGCCATAGCACTACGGAGGAGTTTCTGCTCCAAGAAGGCGCACACAAGAAGTATGGCCCAAATAAGTGTTATAATAGCAAGGTTCCTCACGTAGAATCTGCTTTGTTGGTACTCAGAAGTTGTTACCTCTTTATAAGTCAAGGGTTGTACACAGGCATAAACATTTACATAGGAATAGGATGAAGGACCACATCACCAAGACGGCGGGCGTTCCTTGCATCTACTAACAAGCTCGTGGTCCTCCATGCGGACGAGATTCTCAGTAAGTAGAAGAGATTCTCAGTAAGTAGAAGAGATTCTCAGTAAGTAGAAGAGATTCTCAGTAAGTAGAAGAGATTCTCAGTAAGTAGAAGAGATTCTCAGTAAGTAGAAGAGATTCTCAGTAAGTAGAAGAGATTCTCAGTAAGTAGAAGAGATTCTCAGTCAGTAGAAGAGATTCTCAGTATAAGTAGAAATAAGTAGAAGTGTTCTTTCACCATGCTAACAAGCTAGTGAAACATGCAGTCCTAACTTCTACTTCCTCTAAACCTGCTTGGGATACGCGGTCCGTGATTCTTTGACGCATCTGCAACCTCGCGCTGGTGAGTTCCGCGTGCCGTATGGGATGTTATGCTCCTGTAGCTATTATAACTCTTCATCTTGTACTCCCACTCCCTCATAGTACTTGGTACTTCTTGGATTCACTGCTGTGCGCCTTCCTTTGGCTAGTTTCCAAACTTCCCTCTTCCTCACCTCCATACTTTCCCGTCTTAATATAACTTGAATAAGTATAATAACAAAAGCAAAAGAGTAACAGACCTCAACTTCTCACTGCTTTTTGGAAATAGGAAGAAAGGGCAGCTGTTGAAAGATGAATTGTTGCGGAAAGCCTGCTCTAAAGATGTTCGCTTCTGCAAGCCAGGGAATCATTGAGGAGGATGACACGCCGAGTCCGAGCGCCTTGCCGGGGAACAATCCTGCTGAGAGCGCCATGATCCCTCTCTCTTAAGGGTAGTTCATCGCCATCCGCCCATGTGGACTATACTGAGCGGAATCGCCCCTGATCTGAAAGGGAAAATAGAGGGGAAGGGGCAACTCACTCGACCAGGGATAGCGAAAGAAAATTGCCCCTAACTCATTTACGGCTTCAGCGACGACGAAGAGGAGCTACTGACGTGCAGATGCTCCCACAGCGCTGACCACGGTGGGAAGGACCGGCCCATGTACTGCTAAGGCTTAGGTGTCGCAATTTGTTATGATCATCTTCTGAAGCATCTTGGAGCTGTCCACCTATTATAAGGGGTCTTGGAGCTCCTGTCCACCTTCTATTATAAGGGGTAGTAGGGGACAACAAGATCAAGAACCTGTCTCCTTAGAGGAGGGGACAAGAGCAGCTCCAAGAAGTAGACATAAGTGAACAAGAACAGCTCCCAGAAGATGAGTTCTTCCCGCAACATCATAATCAGCGGCCTCAGTAGAATCATCATGAATCTAAGTAGTCGTGACCAGGAAAAGTATGGCTTGTGTTACTCCTACATTTAATGCATTACAAACTCAGGCTCAGCGCTAATACTGGAGCGTCAGCGTGACGAAGCCGCTTCTGCTCACGCGTGCGCTCCTCTATCCCAGCACAACTGACCTACGGCGATTCAACAGCGTTGAGGTTCGGATGGGCGACGAGAAGGAAAGTCTTTCGGGCGACTATGTCGAAATGAGGGAATACTTAAGGCAGAGACCAATATTAAAACCATTTCGATCCATAAGTGGATAGCTCGATGGCCTGACTTTTAAGGCCGGAGGTCGTCTGTGGTTTCCATCGATCTACTTAACTATCTTGGTTGCCCAATTCTTGAATTTCTACGTAATATGTTTCAAAGCAGTGGCTCGCGAGATGTCTCAGTAGCGTTTGTGATTGTTAGGTCAAAGATATTGTTTAAGTGTAACGCTCAACCAAGTTGTAACTTCTCCTCTTGCTTCCGTACCGCTTCGCACTTAAGTTAGTAGTTTGAAATCTTGCGTGAGTTAATAACTCATCATCGCGACGAACAACTCCGACGCCCTTATCTATGGCAGTCTTCACTGAACTTTGTGCGAGGTTTATTGTGTTGCATTGTAACAGACATGGGCGTGCCTCTCCCCAGACTTTTTCATTTCCGATATAACCCAAACGACCCTCACTTGTCTCTAGCCCCTTCACGCTTAACACGTTATTTTTTCTGATATATTAATTTTCACAGTCTGATGCGTTTGTGTCCTACCGCATCTACATCATGTAGTCCTCCACACGCGGCACATTGAAGAGTTCATCTGTTGTAAGCAGAAGAGAGATCTCTGTCGAGAAGAGTGAGAACTCAGGAGTCAGGAATTTCTGTCCAGAATACATTAGGGTAGTAGAAGATGAGAGATCGTATGGCAAGTAGGCTTCTGTTGCGGAGAGAGACGATAAGACCCTTTTCGGCATTTTTGAGAGGCCACAGAGGTACGCATGTAAGTCTACTGATTCGCGAAGAATAAAATTGCAAAGCAACAGTTGTGAAGAATCTGTATGCTGAGTGGAACTTCATTCCTCGGTGAATTTTTTATGCTTTGTATGATCATTTATTGTTTGCCGAGTGTTGATGTAGTTGTAGTATGACCTTGTTATACAATTTTCATCTGGAGACTTTGTGTAAGTACAATTCTTGATTTGCAATTTTCGCTTTCGCATTTCATCGACTGTGAAATTGAATCATAAAAACAGGCAATCGATATTCTGCTTTACTATAAATTGTACCATGATTATTCCCACAAGCTTTGCCAATTTCGTATGCCTGAAATTTTTATTCCACTTGGCTCATCATGTAAATGCGGTAGCCCCGCATTGGTCGTCGGACTGATAGAACAATACCTGTATAGACCTGTACTATGTATACGTCTACTTATTATTGTAGAAGTCAAACAAAAGCGTGTTGTTATTATATCTGGAAGATATTCTACCACGACAGCTTGCTTCGGCTTCCTCCTCTAAGGCCTACATTATCAACGTCCTGAGGAGCTCAAGAGAAAAAATGCATTTCCTGACGTTTTTGCGGCGACGGTGTTGTGGTTGTGCTCAATGAAGGTAAGCAACCACCTGTTGGACTCGCTACAGCACTTCTTCTAGAGGAGAAATCAAAACAAAATCAACCTCCTCCAGCCTCCAGCCTCTACCATGGCTCCAAATAGTAAGTCACCGCCAGGAAGAGGGGCTGCCGCGCCAGCGCGGCCACCTCCAGGACGAGGCGCTCCAGGGAAAGCAAAGTCGAAATCTCCTCCAGGCCGTGGAAATGCACCTCCTCCTAAGGGCAAGGGCAAAGGAGCTGCTACGCCTGCAAAAAATGAAGCTAGAAAATCTGTTGCAGCAAATAAACCTCCAAAACCGGTCCAGAGTGACTTGATCCAAGATTAAGGCTTCCACAAATCAAGAGCATCTTCAAGGAAGAGCATCTTCCTGGGGCCTCCGTGCGTTTTAGACAAGGGGGGGATACTTTTAATAAGGAGGTCAAAAAGGTTCCAGGATGCATTTGAAGATGAATTTAGGCAAGGTCTAATAAGAATTGATCGAACTCCAACCATCGGTGAAGGCAATGCTGAAGCAACATCCACAGTTTGAAGCAGCCATCAATAATGCACCTGGAATGGCGGAGCTACTTGTCGATGTTGCAGACTTAGCTGCGGTCTTCACAGCATCTTCGCCACAAATGTTTGATGCCGTAATGAATTTCCCTCCGTTGGCTGGGTTATTGGGGAAACACGGTGTGGCGTTGGCGCATGTTTTAGTCCAAGAGCCGGATATCATAGGTTTTTTCGCGGATTTGGACTCACAAGCTGTGGAACTCGGTTTCCTCAGTGCTTCTGGTGCGCCTTTGGTTGGTAAAAGCAACAGTCCTATGGATGAACTGGCCGGTATATTGGCGAAGAATCCGCCAGAGCTGGCAAACATCCTTCTGCAAAGACCAGATGTAGTGATGCCACTGTTTCGGAACCCTAAAATTGCAGCGCCAGGCTTGCTTGGCAATCCAAATGCTTCAGTGACGGAGTTAGAAGCACTCGTAGGAGGACATCAAGGAGATGTTGAAAGTGGAGGAGGTAAACAGGCTAAAAATGGTAAAAAAAGCGCTTCTACTAGTCAAGAAACGGAGGTACTAGAGGATGAAGCGGAACAAGGTAGGATCATGAACGATGACGAAAAGGACAAAGCCAGAGACCTCAATGACTCAAGTCCGGCCAGTGGTCGTAATCCTGGCGCAAATGATGCAGCGTTCCTGGACGAAATGAGTCAAGAGGCAGAAAATGGTAATAAAAAAGGAAATAGTAATAGAGCAGGAATAGCTATAGCAGAAGGTGAGTCCGCATCTGGACAAGAACGGAACGCCGTCTATGGTGACCGAGCTGCTAGTACAGGGGGTGAGGATATTACTAGTGCTGATCATCGTGCTGGCAATAAAAATGGTGCAGAAATTACCAAAGTTGTAGCATCCAAAATGCCTTCAACAGAGGGTGAAAACGACCCGGAAGCAGCTCTAGAGCGTGCACGTGGTCGTGCTCGACGCCGTCTCGGCCAAGAGCGCATGGGTGATGCTCCTACTGTCCAGGATGGGTCCGCTTACAAGCTGATCAGTGACTTCGAGCAACTGGAAGAGCATTTTGAAGGCTTAGAGGTCCACGACAGCGAGTTCATCAAGAAATTGATGTCCGATAAAAAAATGTCGTTCTGGAAAAAGGCTCAGGTCCTAAGAATGGGTGGGCGTTTCAATGTGATGTACGCAGACTACGAAAAGCGTGCCGAAATCCGCGAATTGGCGAAGAAAGAGAGGAAAGCGTTCCTCGCAGCTGCCAGACAGGAGGAACTACACGCAACTGCAAGAGGTGTCCGTGCAGCGGCTCGCAAAGGCTTGGCTCCTGAACTCTTCACCGAAGCAGCCAGTGGCCCAAAAGGTGATGAATTATTGACGAAAAGCCTTTTGGTGCGTAACAAAGAACGAGACACGAGGGTGAAATTGGATAAGGGGTTCAAGCTAGCCGTGAAAGAAAACGCGAACAAGTTGTGGTTCGTTGGCAGGGATCCGGAGACTCTGAGTGCTGCTTTTCCAGTTGGCAAAATCCATGCTGCGCCACGCGGGTCCGCCGTTCACGGCAATGCCTATTACGAAGACGTCTACCGCGAACACTACCACGCGAATAAGCGGAAAGCAGCCATGAAAGAATTGCCACCGGATTTTGAGAAACTTTTGGCAGTCTCCTTCTTCGCAGGACAGCCGCCTCCAGCGCCGGATGTTTTATCGGACGTGGAATCCGATAGTGGAGCGTCGGTTGACAGCATTTCTGGGGTTGTCAAATGCGCTTGGGACTCTAGGCGTAAACATCCACGTTACATGTATCCGCGAGACGTCGCAGTGGGATTTTCGGAACCACTGCGGCCAACGACTTGGCCCAGTTATGTGCATTGGGTTTGGAAGAAGCAGAAAGACCGCATTTTGGGCCAATTAGCGACCGAAAAAGCAGAGATCACAGGGTCTGGTGTCAGTACAACTAAACCATCTGGAAGTGCTAGAGCACAGAAAGAACGTGGTAGGTCTAGGACACGTCGTGGGCGTGGTAAACGTGGTGGCAGTAGTTCTGCGACTGGAACGACAACTGATACAGGACAACAAGATGGTGTTCTCGACAGCACAACAACTTCAAGATCCCGGTCACCAGACACATCAGTTGGAGTTCATCATGACTCTGCTGGTGGCTCTTCTGATGGGAGCGGAGCTGGTTCTTCTTCTGGGTCTGGATCCTCATCTGGATCTGGTTCATCGTCAGAAGTGTCTGCTTCCTCTGACGGTAGTAAAAAGCGGAGGAGATGGCAACAAGGTAGAAGTTCACGTTCTCGCTCTCCTTCTGCAGATGATGGGAGGAACCTCCGAGGTAATAAAGGTATCAATCGCCAAGATTCTTTTGCGCACGAGCACGATAAAGCGAGAGAGGACTCTCTTGAGATCGAGGATCAATCAACAGTCTTGAAACAAGCACAAGAGCTGTATCAGTACGTAGTCGCTTCGCAGGACGAAAAGCACGCTACAGAGGCTTTACATGGCATGTTGGGGTACAAATTAGAGCGCATGACCCGGTTCACCAATCAGTATCAAGAGGCTCACAAGAACCGAGACTTGGGGGTCTTGTTTGCTTCCGTGATGGGGACATCGGCTGATCAAGCAAATGCTGCGGTGAAAGACGCGATGGGAGCTGCGAAAGGAGCGGTTTTGGACAAAGACACTCTAGCCGCTCACTTGTCGCCTGGTGAACAGCCACCTACCTACAAGTCACTCGGCCTAGGTCAGTACGCTCACGGCGTCTTGCAGGGTGATCGCAAATATGTGGCCGGAAACAACCTCGTGACAGCTTCTGCAGAGAGTGTGGAGGAATTTTTGATAAACATTTACGGTCCCGTGGAGTTTAAAAAGCACATGCCTGGCGATTTGGCGGTTCAGCTGAAGCAAAAACGGCTCGAAGAAGCGAAGAAGAAGAAGGAGTTGGAACGCGAAGAGGCCAAAAAGAAATATGAGGCAGAAAAAGCTGTGAGAAAGGCAGCTGAGGAGGAAAAAGCGAAGAAGAAGAAAGAAGAGGAAGAGGCAAAGAAAAAGGCTGAAGAAGCAAAGCGAAGAGCTCCAAAGCCTATGACGCCCGCTCAAATGAAAATGGCTGCTCGCAATCCCCTCTACCATCTCGCAGCACCACAACAAGAAATGCTCACAAAGGAACAAGTACACGACGATATCTTCGAAGCGTTATTGGTAGAAGATGACGACCGTTTAGAAGAGGCTTCGAAAGGTGCGACGACTGTCGTAGAACACGCAAAGCAGTTTATGGAGCAAAAGGGCGAACGGCTAGGGCCAGACTCTCTCTATGACACAACTTTCATGGAGACAGTGAATAGACGAGGCAGGAAACTGGAATTTAAACCAGGTGCTAGGGGTGACGGAGGCGGCTCATCAGGTGGCCCTGTCCCGAAGTCTATGGCGCCACTGGCAAAGAAGTCTAGAGTACCGCAAAAAAGCATGGCTGGTGGAGGACAGAAGAGCATGTTTGGACAGAAAAGTATGGTTCCTCAAAAAAGTATGGTTGGGGCAAAGAAATCGATGTCTCCAGGAGGTGCGAAAAAATCGATGTCGCCAATAGGTGGGAGGAAATCTATGTCGCCGCCAGGGGGAAATCCTATGAAGTCACATGCCGGGGGAGGTGCGATGAAGAGCATGGCGGGAGGAGCGATGAAGAGTATGGCAGGCGCCGGCGCGATGAAGAGTATGGCAGGCGCAGGGGCAATGAAGAGTATGGCAGGCGCAGGCGCGATGAAGAGTATGGCGGGTGCAGGGGCAATGAAGAGTATGGCAGGGACAGGCGCAATGAAGAGTATGGCGGGTGCAGGGGCAATGAAGAGTATGGCAGGGGCAGGCGCAATGAAGAGTATGGCAGGGGCAGGCGCAATGAAGAGCATGGCAGGTCCCTCACCGATGAAAAGTATGGCTAAGAACGGGAACGGAGCAATGAAGAGCATGGCCGGGCCACGACCTGGCGCGATGAAGAGCATGGCCGGGCATGGTAGCAAAGGTCTTGCTTTGCCCACGGGTTCGCCGAGAGGGTCGCCTAAAGGCTCCCCTAGAGGAGGTGCTCCTGCTATGAAGAGTATGGCCGGTCCGGGAGCTGGACCTATGAAAAGTATGGCTCTGAATGGCAACGGATCTGGACCTATGAGAAGTATGGCAGGATCCGGGTCCGGGCCGAAGGCGTCTCCTAGGGGTGCGCCCGGTCCAAGAGCGTCTCCTAGAGGGTTTGGGCCGAAAGCGTCTCCTCGAGGTGCTCCTGCAGTCAGAAGTGCTCAGAGCATGGCGCCTGAGTCAGGAGATGACAACTTCGGTAAGACTTCGCCCAAAGGCTCAGCGAGAGGTGCTCCTGCTATGAAAAGTATGGCTGGACCTGGGGCGGGAGCTATGAAGAGCATGGCTAAGAGCGGCGGGGGACCTATGAAAAGCATGGCGAATAACGCAAGACCGAGTACCGCAATGGGAAAGAGTTTGACCGGCGCTGGTGATTCGGGAGAAGATAGTGCTGGGGGCAAGAGCATGGCCGGTGCCGGTGCGTCAGGAGAGGACAGTGCTGGGGGCAAGAGCATGTTGGCATCGCCTAGGGGTGGAGCTATGAAAAGCATGGCAGGCCCTGGAGGTGGCGGTGCTATGAAGAGTATGGCAGGTGGACTGGGTGCTATGAAAAGTATGGCAGGTGGAATGGGTGCTATGAAAAGTATGGCAGGTGGAATGGGTGCTATGAAAAGTATGGCAGGTGGTATGGGTGCTATGAAGAGCATGGCAGGACCTGGAGCTGGCCCTATGAAAAGCATGGCAGGAGGTATTGGCCAAAGCGGTATCATGGGTAGGGGTACTACTATGAGAAGTATGGCTGGTCCAGGGTCGGCGGGATCAGGATCACCTCGAGGGGTGGGATCGAGTAGAGCTCCATCAAGATCTCCGAGAGGAATGAAGTCTCCAGCGTAGACGGTAATGTCGATCCTCCTCTTCCTCGTTATCCTCGTAAAAGCCATGGAACATAGTCTCCAGAGTTGGATAACGACATTCATATAGTACTCATCAAATATCAATGGTTTGAAGCTGCAAGAACTCTTCAAGCAGAACACACGAAAATGCTGTAATGTGGTGCTTTCACTTTGCCTATCTGTAATATACAGCGAGTGTTCCTTATTGAAGCCTGCAAAAGGACGCCCATTTGGTGCCAAAAAATTTTGCCGAATAAGTGCTAAACAAAAATAGCATCATACATGTATCAACAGCTGCCCCACGAAGTTCTTTGATGACAGTAAACTACCCGAGTCCTCCAAGTCCAACAAAAAGTATCAGAATACGCTAGCGCAAATGTCTGTGGTCTTGTTCTGCAAATTTGTGTACTCACTAGCAGGTCAGCTGTATAACCACTATTACGAGTGCTCACCCATACTAAGTAAGTACTTAGACAATACAAGAAAGATGTACCCTACTACAGCGGACCTCACCGTACCGAAAAGCCCCATACGGTCCAGATCACCGAGAGGAAGTACTACTTACGCTTGACCACGTGGTTGCATTTTCATCACACGGAGTTGAGAATTCCATCTACTTGTTGTTGCTGGAGAATTGCAAAATGGCAAATTAAGGGGCTCTTTACAATACATATTTATACGAGGACTTCACCACCATTGTTTTCCATCATCTCCAGGTATAGTCTCCCGCGATCATGCTCTAGGAGGCGCCACCAGCAGCAGTAGTTTTTCCTATACGTCTAGGCAGCAACAAGAGATAGTGACCGCTTTTACCGAGAGTATGCAGGAAGCGCTGCAGAACGCGAGGTTGCTTGGTCTGCCATACAGCGATAGTTCTAGTTATGGTGGTGGCCATCTTTTGAATGAATGGCAGCAGGATTGAATTGAATGGTGGCAGGATTGTGAGAATGAGTTTGAGAAGTTTGCAGCTTGTTATTTGTAGCTGTACTTCAACTTGAGAACAAGAAGTGCAACTTCTACCTTGATGTTGTACTAGGTAGTGGACCTCTTGATGTTGTACTAGGTAGTGGACCTTTGATGTTCTCATTTCGTTTCCAAGTACGTACTTTGCAGACCACTTTCATCTCTCCTTTGAACGATATGTATGATCTTCTTCTAACCCCGCGGCCGGCAAAAGGAGTTCCTTTCCGAGTTTATGCGACGTTACGAGCACCGTGTCCTGCAGGAAACGCGACAAAGGGCAACAGAGTGGGCTACATCAACAGCAGCAGGAGGATCCTCATATGAAAGGAAAAAAAGTTGTACTTCTCATTCTCAAGAAAAGAGGCAGTGTTTCTACTTAGAACAGACTTAGCTACAGAAGAACAGCAGCAATTTGTACCTACAGTTACTCTAGAGGATGCAAGAAGAACATCTTTCCATACCTCTTGAGGATGTTCGCACTCTAGAGGATGGTGCAAGAACATCTTCACTCTAGATGTAGATGTTCTTTGCTGTTTCTTGAGGATCATGAGTACGCTTTTTCCACCTTTCATACCTGCTCAGCATCCAGGATCGCTCTGCCGAGAAAAAGCCAGCAAGAGTTGTTGCAAGAAGAAAGCTTGGCTTTGGCCGAACAAGAGCAACGTTTTCAGGAAGAAGAGGCAGAAGCAGATGCAGAAATCCGTAGATTATGCCAAGAACTGGCAGTAGCTGTTCGTAGTGCTGCTTCAGCGGCGTCATCAGGTGGCTCGGCCGTTGGTGGTGGGGGCGCGTCGTCAATGACGTCAAATTCAAGAGCAGTAGGTGCCGCTGACACTAAAAAGTCTGCTTCCTTAGAAAAGACTTTGCAAAGCATTAATGACTTAGCATCCAAAGACTTGGAATTCCTAGGAGAAACATTGGACATTAGAACCGCGCCAGTGGATGTAAGCGTGACAGGAATAAACGATACTTGATTTTTCCTGATAGATGTGGTATTCAGGCAGTGGTCGATCTTGATGCTAACGAAGAAATGTGAAACTATTGTGTCGGAAGATCATGATAAGTACGGCAAGGTTCAAGTTGAGACGAACAAAGTCTCGAGCACGCTTGGAGGTTCGCATCCTGCAGATTGCCCAGGCGCTTGTCCTATTAGTTTTTGGGTTCAATTCTTGCCCGATCAACGGAGAATAAGATTAGGAAGTGAGTCGGTGACAACTGAGATGGAATACGACCACAAAGGGGGCGAGTGATAGCTTTTTCTAGCTCTGAGCGATGAGCGACTGAACCATACATAGAGGGTAAGGAGAGCCGAAGAACTGCGAGAGAGCTATGCGAGAGCACTGTTGTGCGAGTGACTATATGTGAATATTGGTGATAAGAGCGTGAAGAACAGGTGGCCGTAACGCTAAGTCAAGTGCCATTCCGTAATGAAACTGAGCACCCAATCCAATGAAGTCGTGCTAAGCAGAACGTTGAGAATATGAACAGACGTAGGTCTTCGTGCTTGCCTTCTACAAGTGGTCGCGGAGGGCCGTTGCTGGTGTTGGTTGGGTGATCGCAGGTGCACAACTTGTTCAGCGCAGGGGCCTGCCGGGACCGGGAGCAGCGGACAAAAGATGATTTCTAAGGAAATCGAGATGAAGCAGGACAACGGCGCCAGGAATCACTGGTGTCGACGAAGGAAAAGCATGAGGGAACGCGAGGAAACCGTTTGCTTCGAAGATGCGGACAGACACCAAGCTTCATTGCCACGCACAGGCGGTAAAGAAGGGACCGTTGATGTTGTGCGAGCCATAGGAGACGAGAGTTCTCTTTGTAGTTGTTCCACGTCCAACGACATCATGGTCAAGGAACGGAAACTTGAAGAACATGGCAAGCCTATCGAGGATGCCTATGCCTCTACTTCCACTCCAGATGAATCTGATTCTCGTCTGCGCAGATTCACTAAAAAGTTTGTGGCGATCGTTCTTCTCCTTTTTGTTTCTTTCACACAGCAAGGATGCTTGCCACCGGATTGGTCGTGGTGTCAGTGCGATTTTCGTGACAACTACTGGAACCACATCATTAATGACTGTTATGAAACGATTGAATTTGAAGAAGTAGTGATGTAGTAACTTCAACTGCAACTAGCAAAGTAGTGATCATGTACTAACTTACTAACTTCAACTAAGTAGCAAATGTTGACTCATCTACCACTCCATTTTTTACTTTGTTCCTCCTTATTCTAAAGAGTAGATTAACTAGTAGCAGATGCAGCACTGGTCGTTAATAGCATGCATATTTTGTGCCGCAGTTTCATCCACGTCGTTCCCAAATGATCCGCTTCTACTTCTCTTCCCCATCAGCACTTCCTCTAATCCTTGCACGAGCTCTATGCCGATGTGGATCAGTTTACGGCGAATATCCGCAATCCCGAGAGCAAGGAGTACAAGTACTTTCAGGAGATGCCTGAGGGGTTCAATTGCCCCAAGGAACAACCCACGGTCTTTTGGAAAGCATGGCCTCAACTGGGAATGACTAGAGGATTGATAGAAAACACAGCTGGTGATTTGTGGATGCCAGCAGCGAGGGCGAGGATAACAGGTCTTTTTTTATTTTAGCTTCTTTGTCCTTGTCGTGTAAAATGAGGAAATGCAGGACTCCAATTTGGGGAAAATCATCATCGTAGGTTCGTCTTTGCATTCAATTTCAAACGCATGATGCATGGCACATTCAAGAGCCACAAGAAACAGGTACATGCATGGCCGGCCACATGGCTTTGCTCCTCTTGTGCAGTCAGGGTGTCCTTTTCGAAGCTGAAAAACTCGAAGGCGGACCCCAGATGAGAAAGCTCGAGCTCTTTTTCGGCTACATGGTGATTCTGCGGGATCTGGGTCAATCAACGGAATTTCGTCAGTGCATGGGCATGGAAGGCTGGCCATTCAATTATGGATTTTTACCAAAGCAACTACATCCCGCACGACTGCCGTTCTAGTGGCTCTTTTTTCATTCAGTAGAAACAAAAGAAGCGCCACGATGAGGAACGCTCTTATCAGGATGGTAAAGTAAATCTTCAAGTCAAGAGTCTTCTTCTCCGGGATTATGCGATCAAATGGATAGGACCCGAGGACAAAGGTGTGAATCCGCAAGCAGCTTACTATGCTGGAGGGATTGATATTTACCAGATGTTGTACTACACCAAAGCAGAGAAGCTGGATCGCGCGTCTATGTTGCCAGGAAGAAGACCCTGCGTACCATACAAGAATCCGGAATGCTGGAAAAGGAAAAGCTTGCTACTTTATGATTTTGGACAGGAAGTATCTTCATCTGATTGTGTCAGACTGAACATTAATTAAATACATAGAATTAGAAATAGAATTGCGATTGCGATCCAACAACAACATCTACTTCTTCCGTTGCTTATTCTAATCTCCTCTCGAGACGTGCGAGTACTGCTGTTCGAATTTCCAGCATAAAGGCGGACGTGGTGCATCCTGGTGTTTTACGGACTATTGGACGTTTGAGAAATGCTGCCAGACGGACATGTTGGACCTCGAGTGCGAAGAGGAACGGACCGGTGAAGACGGAGGTTGCGTAGATTGCAAAAAACAGATCATATTTAGTTAAGGTTGGCGTGGAAGTTGTAGTTGGGTTCATTATCAGATTTCTGATCTTCTCAAGTTAGAGGTCGCGCTAATCCATCTTCTTGAGGCGCATCCTGGACCTTTCTCCCTCAAAAAGCCCCTCCAGGATGCTTTACGAGATGGATTACGAGAAGCCTTAACCAAGGGGGAACAAATCGAGGGTAGTACTAGTAGATGATCTGCCACCAACTGGTTGTACTAGATTTAGGGGTTAACAACTCCAACTACTTCCTTGAGCTCCCACCTGCTAATTTAGGTGTTTCACACCTCCCGAGATGCAGCTCTACAAAGCACAAGTAAAGTATAACAAGGGACTGGAGAAGGATAGTGGACTTCGAAAGACTCTAGAGGAACAGATGAAGACGCAGAGCGAGCAACATGGCCAATTGATGGCTCGGGAGCAGGACTATCAAATGAAATTGCAGACAGCTAATCAGAAGTTGGGGATTTACGTTACGGCTCTCTCATAATGATTCATCTTCGAGTTCGACGTTCATAGATGGATTATCTCCTGGTAGTCGTGGTGATGTCTCTGCTTCCTTCTTGGATTTTGAGACGTACTACGAAGCTGAACGAATATTGATAGGTCTAATCACACAGCCGTCATCCGAAATGTGACGAAGCAAGCAGCGGAAGCAGAGCAAGAAAACCAAGAGGGCATCTACAATCAAAGCTTCAAAGAACATAAGTACTCTACCTCGATCGTATCTCTCATCATCATCAATGTCTGTAATCTCAGTCATCATCAATGTCTGTAATCTCAGTCACCATCAATGTCTGTAATCTCAGGATACACATGATCCAGATCCATCCTCTTCACCTATCAAAAATCCTTCACCTGTCAAGAATCCTTATTCGACCTCGTCCCTACCACACCTCCACACACAGTGAAACCTATTACGAAGCAACGCGAACACATAGTATCATGAGTGAAGCTTTGAAACAATGGACGCAGGGAAAAGACACTGTTGCCAGTGCCAAGGCTCGCATTGCCGCAAACGTGACGGAAAAAGTTAAGGCATGAGAAGACTATTTTCGATCTAGATTATCTTCTAATAATTGGAATTTTCTGATTTGCATACTTTTACTTAGGTAATGAACTTGATACTCATACTCGTCTACCTCACCCCTCTCTAATCAAAAGCGTTACAACAATTCTCTGCGTTCCACGATAGAGGATTGCGCTCGCCGTGTTATTGCCTGGGGAGAACGACGAACCGAACGCGATCAGGCTAAAGAGCGTTTCGACAACGCAATCACTTGGGAAGCCAGCAATAGAACCGATTCGACTGCAAGAAATGCCTCTGCATCCGAAGCTGAGACCTCCCAAAGCGGCACTTTTGTGCCAGTGAATCAAAGTAGACAGGCTGCGGCAGACGCGCTGGAAGCGGCCGAGGCCGAAAGACTAGCAGCGCAGAAGGAGCTGTCCGAAGCTGAGCAAACCTACAATGCTCAAGCTGGAGTGAAGGAGCGGGCACAGAGAGAAGTGCCGCTGAAATACGGGACATGGCAGGGATTGTTGTCGGGGATAGAGCGAGAGACGAAGGAGTTGGCAGGTACTACCTTCAGATGAAGATGTGTCGCATGATCTTCATCATTATTAGTTGATGAACATGAAACAAGACTTCTTTGTTGACGAAACACCGCGGAACACCGATAGCGCTACCTACGTCAGGCAGCTGCTACCCACATACGCCGCCCGCTGCATAGGCCGACAAACCCGAGCTGGCGGCGACGAGAAGGCAACGCGCGACGAACAAGGCTCGACGCAACATAGTCGCAACGGCGACCAGAGCACAAAACGGATGCAATTTAAGCATATCACTTTGTGTAGCACCCATGCAACCAACATCAATCTTTTTCTACCTTCAAGGAAGAACTGTGAACATATGTGAATGTCCATCTACATCTTTATTTCAGACGCCAGAACTCTCAAGGAGACGCTCGACGCGAACAAGACAGCGACTGCAGATAGGATACGAACCCTCGAAAATGAGTGCGTTACAAAGTGCAAGGAAGTGCCGGAACCTGAAGTTCGCTGTCTCCTTGACGCGCGACGGCCTCCGAAAAAGGCGAAAAAAGAAGCGACAGCTAGTGCTGACGGAGAAGCGACAACTAAGAAGGTGATGCAGAAGGAGAAAAAACAGGTAGAGAAATGTGAAGCAGTGAAAGTTCCGTCTGGTGCGGCAAAATGTGAGGACTTGAACCAACACTGTGAGTATTGGAGCAAGAATGGGTATTGCGAGCAACGCGCGAAGTATATGGCGAAGAACTGTCCTAAAGCTTGTAACGTCTGCGAAACATCTTCAGAGGAGAAAGAGGAACAGAAATGCTCCATGGTTGAGGAGGAAGTAGAAGTAGAAGTAGAAGTCGATGTGGCTGGAGGCGTAGCTGCTCCTGTTGCTGTTTCAGAAGAGGAAGATCTTGAGGAAGATGAATCTGAAGGTGCAAAAACCGAGCCTCAGTATTCTGAGGAAGAACTCTCGACAGCTGAACTGCGTACAGCGAAGGAGAAAGTTGCTGAAATCGATGGAAGAAGGGAGGAGATAAAGGCGAAAATCAAAGAGTTAGAAGGTTATGGAGAAATAACTTCGGTTCTTTAGAACAGCGTGCTAGACTTATGCTTATCATTTACATCGGATCTTAAAAATGGCTCGATAAGCGCTAGTACCATCTCGTCTACTGGTATCCTTCTATGTCTACCTCATCCTTGTACCTCTACCTCCTCTCAGCACTTGAAACTCATGCTCTTCTAACACTCAGGGGTGACATCCGCAGGTGAGGTCGTAAGTGACCGTGTCAAGGTTCGTACTGACGCGGAAACGGCACTTCGCGAAGCCAGACAGTTCGCTGAGAAGAAAAAATCGGAGGTCACGACTGCAAATGAAACCCTCCAGGAGACGATCCAAACCCGTGATGAAGCCGCAAGTAACGTCACCTTGGCAGAAACGTGGGTGACTGGGAATCAGACCAGTGTGGAACTGGCGAAGCAAAATGTAACTAGTCTGAAAGCAGAGCAAACGAAAGCTGTGAATATGATGACCGCGGCAAAGGAGAACGAAAGGAAAACGGAGGCTTTTTTGAAAGACCGTGTCGCAGCGAAAAAGCGCATTGAATTGCAACTCGATGGATTGAAGTCGAAATTAGACTACTACAACAAGGAAATCAAGGAGCTGAATGGAACGGTCAGTGCGGAGGTACTTTTACTAGCTTGCAGTACAACTTCTCTCCTGATTTTTTTTCATCATCTTTCAACGATTCATTGGACAAACACTTCGAGTTTCGATTCTCGTTTACTCTCCTGAACACCATTCATAATAATCAGTTACTTATTTACTCATAAAACCACACCCTACAACTCAGGTGAAAACAGCAATTTCAGATTGGTTTGGTCACGAACACGAGAGTACCTTTTTCAGTGCGATTGGTACGTATTTGAGTTCAGCGGTTGACGTATTGAGTACGTTTGTGGGCACTCTAGGTCTGTCAACTGACGAAGCAACGCATATGAAGGAGATCGTGCGATTGATGGATCAAGAACGCACATTATGCAGCTCAGCTTGTATTCAGTTTTCTCGTCAAGTAGAACCTACTTCTCTGTGGTGCCCTTCTCCCATGGAACAAAAAGGAAGGGTGCCAAGATCGAGGGAGGTGAGATAGGTTCGAGTACTGCACTCTAAGCACAGCAAGGAAGCAATCAAACGACTTAGAAACCGAGTACGAGTCGATTCGTGACATGAGTCAAAGCGAGAAGTTTCTAGAATCCCTCAAAGCAGAAAAAGTGAATATCACAGTGTTTCTCCGGAGTTTATTGTCGGATATCGAGACTGCACAAGCAGTAGTTGGCGAAAGGGAAGCAGCGGAGAAGGAGGTGCGCGAAGTGGTCCTAGTGGCTTTTCAAGCGGCTTTGACTTATGATTTGGATCAAGTAGAGCTTTTTTGTGTTTGTAGTTTTGAACATGAAACTAGGGAATTTCTAACGATAATGATTACTGTTGTACTACTACTTCTGTCTCAGTGTAGTTGTCGTTCTTGCGGTGCTATGTATTGGCAGACGTGTAGTTGAAAATCTTAGGGCAAACGTGTTGAAAATCTTAGTTGATGATATGAACATTCTAAGCTTTAGCAGCGAAGGCGAATGTCACTTCTGCAACGGATGCTTTGGATTTTGCAGAGCGCAATCTAGCAGCCGCTCTAAAGGCTGTAGAGTCCAAAGCGGAAGCTGAAAAGACTGCGATAGAGTCTTATGGAGAAACTCTGAATTCAATATTATTCTTCTTGGTAGTCTTCGTCTTGGTCTTGGTCACTCTCACTTTTTACATCACAAGAAAGAAGGAGGCCGTTTTCTAATCTCCAGTCAAAGAAGCGGAAGTTTCTCTGCAAGGAGAACGGGAAAAGGTAGCGAAATGGCAGAAGAAAGAGCAAGTTTTGGTGACAGAGGAACTGAAGCCAGCTGAGGAGAAGGTGGCTGCAGAATTTCGGATAGCACTGGGTAAGCTGGGAGACAAAAAAGAGTGGGAACGGAAACAGAAGATCGCAGAAGGCTGTGGCATCAAGTCTTTATGACAGGTTTCTTGGAAGTTCGTTAGTCTGTTCGTCTTGGATTCCACAGACAGGCGTTTTGGTTTTGCGTATAAATAAATGGAGAGATTTGATGGCTGAAGAGACTTCTGAAGTTGTTTGAAAGGACTTATTGAAAAGGCGACACTGTCACGACTACCGTTTCATTCTAATTCCCTCCTCGACCTCGGATGCTGACTCAGCTTCTTCCGTCCTCGGTTTACCAGACTCTATCTTGAACTACTTTTCGCGTGACGAGCCGCTTCTGAAGTCTTTAGACAAGCAGCTACGAGGCTTGAAGCGACAGGCACGCACAACTGAGTCACTGATAGTAAACACCACTGCATCAATCGACACGAAGCGGACTGGTATTGACGCAGCGAGAGAGGCAAGCAGCACAGCAAATGCGACACTAGTAACCGAAACAGAGAAAGCTAACTCTTTGTCGTCTGTAAGAGACGACAAACGGCGCATCGTTGAAGAGAAAGCGAAAGTTATGAGCTCGGGTGGGATGATAGAAATGTACTTCGTTGTTGTCGATCTTTTTATTGGTGACTAAGGATCTTCTTGAGACCAGCAACGAGACTAAGAAATACCGTTTGTTCTTCAGGGAACTATGTCTAATCCCTCATACATAACAAAAATGGAACTTACAACTAGCTCAGCCACACATCATGATTGATAGGTCTAAACCCCTTCGCGCCCAAAAAGACCAAGAGCACGAGAAGGCTTTGGAGACCTTCAGGGAAGTCGGCAAGGACATCCTCACGCTGCAAAAAGAAGCAGAGATTAGTCGCGTGAACTTCTTCCGCGCTCTAGATCAACTGGGACACGCAAACAGGACTTACCTGAACACCGAATTCCAACTAGAGCTAGCGGTGAATGCGTCGACCGATTGTTATGGACTCACGTGTGTTATATTCATGCTCATCGGAGCCTGTTGGAACACGCACAATTGATCGCTCCTAGCATTTGTGAGGAAGAAGTAGCATATTTGCTCGAAGATTGTTCCAAAAATCATATTAACTGTTGCTTAACAATGATCCCTACTCTCTTCTAATCCGCCAACACGAGTCGAGCCACCTTCGCAGGACAACTCGATGCAGCAATAGCCGCAATCGCAACTGCACATGCTGAGTTCGCCAAGATAGAGGAAGAACAGGCGGTAGCAGTGAAAGAGCAGTTGTATGACGAGACGAAGGCTGTCTACGCAGACAGAGCGAAGATAGAGGAAAAATATCGTCTGGAGATGAATAAGCAGAAACAAGCTTTGTTATGGACCACAACATGGTGAAAAATCCAAGGAGTACATGTACAAGCAGGACAACATGGTGAAAAATCCAAGGAGTACATGTACAAGCAGGACAACATGGTGAAAAATCCAAGGAGTACAAGCATACTCAGGTCCTCGTGTTTACATTCTTGCATTTGGAATTAAATTTATCCGACTATCTACTCTAACCCCCGACCGGCGACGTCGACGCTTGCAGCAGATCGACACTGAGCTCGAGATGGCTCGTAAGTTAGCCGAAAAACAAGCGAGCAAGGACGCCATGGCGGCCGCGGAGGGCGCTGTCTTTGCTCAGCAAAAGCTCTTTGATGAGACGACCAAAGCAAGGCAAACTACAGAGGAAGGAATACATAACAACACACAAGATGTCTACAAAGCCATGGAGGCGATTAAGGAAGCACAGATCATCCACGACGCGCAAGATCCAGAGGACCGAAAGAGAAGCTTCGCCGTGGCGTGGTAGATTTGCTCATGCTGAAGCTGAACATGAACATGAAGTCGACGAAGACAGAGAACTTCTTAACATCATGTCATGATTGTCTCACTGTTGAATATAAAGATCAACATGTCATGCTCATGATTGTTGAATATAGTTGGAAGTTCTACATCACATGCTTTTGTTCTTGCTGCATATGACAACATCACTCACATTGCTAACGGGAACATAAAGATGGCCACCATGACTAAGTACACGATACAGATCATGAATGCAGCATGCGCATGGAGTCATATTAATATAGATACATACCCCTAGTACAACTATTTTTCTCTCCCCTGCTTATAACCCCCCGTTCTCCAAAACCCTCAAAAAACTGGCAGTGTTTTGAATCTAGGAGTGGAATCTCCACATTAATGCTATCAGATTTAATACTAACTTCCCAAGATGGAGATGGTGATAGAAATGACCAGAGTTAATGCAGGGAGTTCATATGAATCTCAATGAAGCAAGCAAGCTGATAGTCACTAGTTCTTTGATATTCCGTCAGATTTTATTTTCGAGTTACACTGATTCGAATTCTGATCTTGCCGTCTTTCTATTCTTGAGATTTTTGATGTTTTACGTCACTCAAAGTACAGTGGCACGATACTAGAATCATCGATCACCGGACCCTGCGGTGAGTGTGCAGGTAAAGGATAGCAAAAAAAAGTGTCATTGCAGAAGGAATCTTACCTCAATCCTGATGAATAAGAAAAGTTATCATGCGGGCACCTGCCATCGCCGCAGTACCGGCCCTCCCTCTTGTGTCCTCTACACAGGATATCGAAAATTCCTTGAGAATCTACTCAATTCGCCTTGCGGAAAGGCGACAACAAAATACAACATCAGTTACTCATTTTAGTCCAGTTTCAGCGCAACACCACTGAGCCTTAGGGATGTACTCGAAAACTAAAAATAACCGAGTTACTGACTGAAATAAGGGAGGCGGCTTAACATCACGGCTACCCTTCCTTCCCATCAGTATCTCGGTTATTCTGATCAGTTACTTGCTTATTTCAGTTATTCGAGTAGTTTGATGTGCTTCATGGACTCCGTGCCCGTGCCCACAACCTGTATAACTAGGTTTTCTACTAGAAACTGAAATACTTCTAAAAGAACGTTTCTACTGTTGGAAACTGAAATATTTTACGACTTTTACAACTTCTACTCCTAATGTATATCATATATACTTCTTCTATATGATATACATTCTAGAAGTGGTTGTCCAATTTAGGTAGAAACAAATCATGACTGCCCCATCCTCGTCTTGGCTAGAAGAACAGACGAGGCGGAAATGCTGCCGTTGTTACCGCATTTGTGCTGACGTATCGTGGCGCGTACAACGTGATAAAGAAGTCGCTGAAAAACGAGATTTTAGTAAGCTTCCGCAAGCACAAGTTGCTTTTACAAGTGGTGCGACTGCGACTTCATCGACGTGGTCATCGTCGTCCACCACGGCAGTTGTAGCGAATGGGGGTGGATGTTGTAGTCATCGTGCGAATAAAGGAGGTGCAAATTCTGCAGCTGGAGGAGGGGCTAGTAGCAACGTAGTGGATGCAACAACAAGAGCTGCATCGGAGTTATCATCTACTCCTTCCTCCTCGTGCAGTACCCTTGTCGCTCGACCGAGCATGCACTATTTTGGCCAAGTCCTCTACCCCAGTGCAGTCGAGAAAATCCGAAACCCGCATGGTCGTGAGAATTGTCCGCACGGTCCCGTCTGCGTGCAGTGCATAAAAGAGCTCGGAAGACAGACCTTGCCTTGCTGTCCGCTATGTCTCGGCTTCGTGCACGCTTGGGCGTCGCTAGAGAAAGGTACTGCTAGAAGATTTCGTGCATCATTGGACGACCCCTTAGCGGTAGTAGAGGAAGAAGCATCACTACGACAAATGTGGGAGGAGGAAAGAAAGTTCTCATTCCTCCTTGAAAATTATAATTTTCGGGTACTAGTAGAAAAGCTACAACAGGAACGACAGGCTTCATCTGGTATGCAAGTAGTAGAAAAGCAAGAAGCCTTAAGACAAGCTCCTACTTCTCAAGATCAACTTCAAGTAGAACTAGTGAATAACCATCAACAGCTACTACGAGAATACGGCATCAACTGCGAAACTGCTCTCGACTATATGATCCAACAACAAAGAGAAAGAATAGAACAGGAGGAGCTTTTTGGTTTAGCACATTAAGATCTCATCAACATGATATCGCAGATCATCTACTTGCTCCCCTACAAGAACTTTTTCATCTTCGTCACGAACAACAACATCTTCATGAACAGGTTTACTGCTTCCGCGCTTACCGCCAGATATAGCAGATCAGATAGCAGGCGCTACTTCTACTTCAGAACAAGCTGCGGCTGGTAAAGACGATAGGTCTATTGCAGCGAAAGCAGGCGCTCACGATGCAGGCAACGACGGCGAAGGCAATCTCACGGCATCCCTGAGGGATAGAAGTAGTACTAGAACAAGTTGTACTAGAAGTACAAGTAGTGATGAAACTACTAAAAGTAGCAAAACTACATCAAACAACGACAAGGAAGATTCGAAAGCGAATACCTTCTACTTTGTGCTCGCCAAAACCGCGACGGAACGTCTTCAAATATCGCATTCAAAGCTGCAATTGCGCTATCAACTTGCCTTCCAGCCAGCAGAAGATATCAGATGGCCAGCTCCCATAGATGAATCTACAGTGCAGAAAGTCAAAGGCGCAAGGTCGTACTGTGGCGTGCCGGTTTTGGTCATATCAGCACAGAAGGCGTGCAGTTCTGGTGCTACGTGAACTCTTGCTAAAGTAGACCGCTTACAACGACGAATGCAACATCCCACGATGGGCTCAGGAGGTCGTCAAAAAGCGCGAGGACATGTACTACTATCAGTGGATTTGCACGAACACAGAAGTTTGAAGAAACACAAATGTGTAGTACTACGCACAGTTCGAAATCGAGGTGCACCCAAAGCCTCGCCTTCCAAAGCAACACTGTATGTTCCAACGAATGTTGATGCTTGCGTCCTCACACACATCAATTTTAGCTGTGATGTGGATCACCGACTAAAAAACATTTGTTGCCAGATTCGCTATGTATTCTGATGCCCCCTCGCAAAGAATTCGCGACAGGAAATCATTGTTCTTTTTTTGATATATGTCCATTTCTACAAGGAAGAACAAGAATCTAAATTTCAACGCTCGTCTGTTGCGCGCCGTCGAAATGGACAAAATTAGAATCGATTTTGACTTTGACACTAAAATACAAATAGGTAAAAGGAATTCTAATCCTGCTCTAGGATTTCCAAAGACGTCAAATCAGAAATGAAGCGGACGAAGTTTGCGCGCCATCTCAAGTTTCTCAGCTCTGCGCACTGGAAAAACGCGACTGGGCCGTGGGTTTCAAACATGATTTGAATTTCTGTTCTCTCGCTCTTGTTCAGGATGATCAGCTCTTCCTTGTGGTGGTGACCTAGAATCCTCTTACCTCAGGCTGGCTTACCGACTACAATAAAAACCCATGTCTGTGTGAAATTCATCTAGTACGATCTCTTGTGGGCGGGTTCTTGCTCACTGGCTAGAAATAAAATTTTGGTTCATGGAAATTCAAATTTATCCGACAAAACACCAACACGATTTCGATTTGTTCTTGATATCATGCAGCGACTAAGCGACTGTGATTACGACACATGATGACATTATAGAGCAAAAGATATACCACTCAACTACTTGAAGTCTTCAAGACCAAACACCGTAACGTCGTTGACTGACTTTTAAGTACAAGTCTAGTATGTAGTACTAGGAGAACGACGTTGTACTAGTACTTCTAGGTCCAATTTCGATTGTCATAATATTGTCTATCAGTATAATCAGTTGAGCCAAAAGAGTCCGAAAAAAATGTTCGGTGGCCCAGGTTCCTCGTTGGGGACAGGCACTTCGTCTTCCTCCACTGCTCCTCCTTTTCCCGCTCTAGAAGCTAGTGCCCAAGGCCTCGCCCAACTGCTGCTCAAAACGGCGTCCCAGAATGTCCAGGAGATCAAAGCTGCTCAGCAGGAATTAGAGCGAATGGAAGAGACCATGCCACAATTTGGCGTCAGTCTTTTGCAGTTGCTCCACACCCTGTCGCAAGCAGCAAGCCAAACCCTGCCTGCGGTGAATCCCCAAGTGGATGCAATATCACATGCAGGTGGAATCTACTTCAAAAACTACGTGAAGCGGAAATGGCCATTAGCGAGCGGTGGAGTGCCTGAAGCTGATAGGAAGCTGATAAAGCAAAACTTAGTGGCGCTGTTGATGATGGCGACGAAGCAAGTGCAGGTACAGATTTTTAGAAGCTCTAAATTGCTTCGTAATTTGTCTAGAAGTACTTTCTCCATGTAAAGAAGACACTGACACGACCAGCTAAAGCACCTGTATCTTATCCGTTTTTTGATTTTAAGTAACCATTTTTCTTGATTCTTTCCAAATCCAAATCCACACCTCCACACCTCCACACCTCCACAGCGCCAACTCAGCGCCTCCATGGAGCTCATCGCCGAGTGTGATTTCCCCTTCGAATGGGAAAATCTTATCCCCGATCTGAAGAACTCGTTGAGGACAGTTCCGCATCAGAAAGCCGTCATTCTAGAAGCTTTAGAGCCAGTGTTGAGAACCTTCGAAGACGCCGTTAGATCTACCGATGTGCTGCGTAGCATCAAATATTGTGTCGAATCCTTTGCCGCAGAGCATCTGCAGTGCTTTAGGGAAAGCTGTCAGCGACTGCAGAGTCCACAAGCGTTGAGTCTAGAGCAGCAGGAGTTAGAACTGCGCGCTTTGGTCAGTTGCTGTGCCCTGTTTCACTCCTTAAATGTAGTCGATTTGCCAGAAGAGTACGAGGACACCATGAAGGATTGGTTTGGGGGTTTTCTCCACTTCCTCAAAGGAGCAGAGCATCAATCTAGTGCAACCGTCAGGAGCAAACCAGAATTGTGGGCAAAGCTGCGAACACAAATCTGCGAAAACCTGAGCTTGTACGTGACGAAGTACCAGGAAGAAGTCAAGGATCATGTTACTTCTTGCACTGCTGGAGTGTGGCAATTACTGTTGGACTTGGAAGCGGCAAGTGGTGGGATGTCGCCTTCTGGTGACGACGCTCCAAACGACCTTCTAGTGGCATCAGGGATCAAATTTCTTAGTGCCGCAGCAGGACAGAATTGGGGTGACGCAAGCCCCTTTGCGGATCAACACGCGTTGAAACAAATCTGCGAGAAAATTGTAATTCCGAATATCAAACTGCGACAGTGCGACGTGGAACTTTTTGAGGATGCGCCATTGGAGTACTGATTTATAGTTTTTTTCTGCATTCAACCTAGATGTAGATGTTCGGATTTAATCTAGATGGTCGTGTCGTTTCCCTGCTAAACTAACTACAGGAATATACTTTGTCAAAGTCAAAGTCGAACCACGCGTTCTTTCCTCCCCACATCTACAGCTTCATTCAGCGTGACATCGAAGAAGCCGATCAAGACACGAGGCGCAAAGCCGCCATCGATTTAGTGAAAGCCTTGATGCGATTCCAGGAGAAAACAATCACTGACATCCTGATGGCGCATGTCCGGGAATTGCTCACAAATAGCAATGCGTTAGCGTCAGCCCAAGAGCGGTTCTATTCTAAGGAGAGCTGTATCTATGTCGTGATGGCTATGGCAGTCAAGGGAAGCACAAGGGCGCACGGATGCACGATCGTCAATGGAGCGGTATAGATACATCTTTTGTTTTGTGTGTTTCTTCGTGGGACCTTCTTTCGTACTACAGGTCTTTTGGTGAAGATAATACCAGTTCTTGTCATCATCTCTTTTGCCTACTTCCTTTTCCAACTGCAACTACTTAATCCTTCCAGGTCCCAGTCCAAGAATTCTTCGAACGCGAGGTCGTCCCAATCCTGCAAGGCCCTATACCCGCAACGGAGGAACAGGCATCAAAAGAGGATTTCCCTCCCCTGCGCGCTGCCTGTATGAAGTTCGCTACGACGTTTCGGACCGTGTTATCTACACCAAGCCTCAACACCGCTTTGCCTTTGATCGCCAAGCACGTTCAACACCCGTCAGCCGTGGTGCACACTTATGCGGCGCATGCGGTGGAAAAATTGGTCATTTCCAGGGATTATGGTGCACCACAGCCGTGTAACTCAGCGGCTACTGCTGGAGTGAATTTCGCTGTTGGCACAGGCGGAGGTGGCACAACAAGTACCCAATTGCAGATCAACACGATGCAAGCGAATGCGCCATGCAAGTTCGAACCCAACGAAGCGACTAAGGGGTTGCTGACTGGCATGTTGGAGCCGATTATCACTTTGCTGTGCCAGAAACAGGGAATCGAGCAGAACGAGTATTTGATGAGATGCGTCGTGCGAATCTTCAGTTTTTTGAAGCAGTTAGCAGTCGAAATCGCCACTCCGATGTTGAACAAAGCGACCGAACTAATGGAGCAAATAGCTGCGAATCCTAAACATCCCCATTTTGCGCATTTCCTCTTCGAAGGCGTGGCTGTTATCATTCGAATCGCTGAACCAACTGGGAAACTAGTTGAGGTCGAAGACAAGATGCTCAAAGTTTGTGGGGCGATATTACAAGGGGAAGTGATGCGGGACTTTTTGCCTTACGTTTTTCAGATTCTTGGGCTGTTGCTGGACAGCACGAAGGAGGTGAAGCCAGTGTATCAAGAATTGTTTGGCGTTTTGATGATGCCGGAGTGGTGGAGCAAGGTCCCGAATATACCAGCCTTGGTCCGGTTGTTGAAGTTAAGACTTGTGATAGTCTATCACTGATAGATCCTTGCTTCTGAGTAAGTAGTAGAGTCAATGATGACACGTAATGTGAGAATTACCGTGGAAGCCGAACTCTTCATACTCGCGTAGATCATATCCCAGAGAATTTCTATAATTTCAATCATTTTCTTAGTTGACGGATTTTCATGATTGCGTTCCTGAAACACAATTCCTTTTCTTCTGCTCCTGCTCTAATTTCTGCCTACCTCAATCGCCATACCCATTTCCGCGCGTTGCTGGATTCCCAAATGGACACTATTCTACGACGATTCGAAGCTCTGTTAAACCACAGGCGAAGTGACGGCGTAGCTTTCGACCTTTTAGCAGCAATCTTTGCTTTCTTGCCCTTGGAAATGTACGAGAAGAAACTTTCGATCGCTATGAAGGTCGCACTTTCAGCGTTGATGCAACGGAAGCACGATGTGAAGCTCAAGAAACACTTCGTGTTGGCGATTGGAGTGTTTTCGGTAACAATTATAAATATATGTTGCTATGTTTATGTGTATCAGTATCTATTTTTTTGTTTAATTTAAGCTAGAAATTAATAATTTGTTGGATTTTCATTTTTGTTTTTCCCTAGGAGCATGTTGCAGGAGCAGCATGAGGTGTACCATTTCAATTTCCCTCACCCTCAATCAATCTCAAACATCAGCATAAGTACGGCGCAGAAGCAGTTGTCAAGCTGATAGAGAGCTTGCAAAGCGGCCTAGCAGCTCAAATTGTCGAGAATGTATGGCTGCCTGCCTTGGATCTGATGCTCTTACCGTCTGAGCGCAAAAACGCCTCCATTTCGTTGGCGAGGATCCTCTTTGTTGTTACTCTTTCGCCAGCCGCAACGCAGCTGGCGATGGGCAAGCTTGCGCGACTCTTAGGCTTAGCGGGGACTAGTGGAGGCATTGGAGCGGAAGATGGAGGACAGAAATACGACCTAAGTTTCGAGGGCACGTACAGTAAGCTGTCAAACGCGGATGCGGCTGACGGAGGCGATTACTTCAAGGAGATAGGGGATTATCGAACTTTCGTGAAGCAACAGTTGCAGCCTTTTGTGGGACAGATCCAACAAGCACAGAAGAATCAACAAGCCTCCGCAATGACTCTTCCTCAAGGCGATAACAGCAAGAAGGTTGCTGCGCGGGGTGAGGCGGAACGCTTGCAAGCATTAGTGTTGTTTTTGCAGTGAAGTGAGAAGGGTTGAAGCTTGTTCTTAGGGTGTTTTTGCAGTGCTGAAGCTTGTTCTTAGGCAGCTTCTTCTACTGAGGGTGAGGTCACACCGAAAAAGAATTATAAGTGTCACACCACAACTCCTGAGTCGTGCGCGCCATGTCAATGAATATTCAGGTGGAAGAAGATAATCACACGTAAACGACACAGACTCACAGGCTTTGCTTGTCGTCCCACAAGAATTCTTAACCTTATGATGTCACCCTCTAGATACAATTATAGATGAAAAACGCAAACAACAAGAACAATTGTCCTTCTGGAAGGAAAGGTGCTTTCGTGGGAAAAAGCGAAGAAAGAGAGCGCAGACTTGGTTGAGAACATCGTTTCAGCCTTTGACGAACGACGACGTTCTTATCTGAGTACTTCTTCAATCTTAAAAAAATGAAAAATAGAATAAAATGAGAGCAGACAAGAGTGAAGAGAGACAAAAGCCGTATGTAGGTATAACCCCTTCATGTGGATGAGTCTGATTCTGAACAGTGAGAGAGTTTCTGTCATTGCAGTTGGATCATTAATGAAAAGGAATTCCAGTGGCTCTCCTCGTTTATTTTCATTACTTCGAATACGTGGCTCTCGTTTTTCATTGGGAGGACAGCTACACGAACACTCACTCTCATAGTAGAAAACATGGATCTACTTCAAGAAGTTGTATGATGACCACGAGTTATTTTTATGGGCATTTGCGTATGCCATGTTTGTAATCTATCATGTGGATCCAGACGCCGTCCTCCAATTGATTACGGATGAAACTATGTACTGTGGAAAGCGGTGAGGACCACTGGTGCTTTTGCTGGAGCAGCACTGCACAACTAAGGTCGTGTCTTGACCCCAACGGAAATTCATCAAGGATGATGGGACCACGTCGCTCCAGTCGTAGTGTAACAAGAGCTGCAGCAGATGATAAGCCAGCAGGAACAGATGATGGTTCTCACGATCATTATGAAAGTAATGCAGCAGAAGTCCAGTCGTCCTTCACGGCAAGGCAACTACATTTTCTTCAACAACGTCGAAGTCGAAGAAGAAGACCAACTACGACAACCCGCAGAACGAATGCCATTCGTAGTACTGCTGTCACCCGCAGAACGAATGCCACTCGTCGTACTGCTGTCGTTCTTGTGGGGAAGCGCCTCTTCCTTCCAGTGGCACTTCTGCCACTACATGCGCATTGCCTGGGAAGCACCGACAAAGCTATCGGTGCAACGCCGAAGGTCAGAAATCAAATGATTGGTCCAGGGGATTTTGATATTATGGTGAACTACTACGTCCATAAAGTATCCATAAAGTACACTGCAACTTTCTTCACTTCTAGATGAAGTAAGATTTGGAACATGTACATATCCTTGCAGATTGTGATTTTACATCGTCCTCTGAAGATGATCATCTCCGCCTAGTAGAGGACGATGTAAACTCACAATCTGATGATGCTTTATTTGATCAAATGTCCTCCGCCTAGTAGGTACTGGTACAACGATTCAGGTTCTATAAATATATTTGTACTAAGTAAATTAACAATTTTATCGGACTTGTTTTATTCGTCGGGTGGACCACCTTCTCTTCATGATCATGTGCAAGACTGAGGCTAGTAGCTGTAGTCGTTGTTCCTACGTGCTTTGTTGTCTCGTGAAATCATATGTCACCTAGGACATATGAATTTGATGTCTAGTAGACAACTAGTACCACGACTAGCTGAAAAATCTAAGTTATGCGGAACAAGAGCAAAAGCGAACCCCAGAAGAGGGAAATTTGGCCCTGGAGATTTTGACGGCATTGATGTCGAAGAAGCCAGCGAGTTTGGAGAAAAGCCTAAAATTGGGTCAGGTTTTACCACAAGTATGCCGATGTTCGGTTTTAAGGCAAAGGCTGCTGCTTACAATACTAGAAGAATCAACAAAAAAACTGCGAGAGGTGGAGGCGGACATAAAGGAATGAGAACTCGAACTTCTCATAGTCTACTCTACCAATAATTATTTAAAACTAGTTGTAGTAGATCTAATAAAACTGACAACTAGCGAGAACAGGAATTATAGAATAGGTTGGTTCCTAGTTGTGGTTTCTAATGCAAATAGGAACAATGCTTACACCGTTTATGTCTAATGGCTTCCACTTGTTCAAGACGCTGCTCATTAATTTTAAAGAAAGTAGTCCACTCATGCGAGTGGTAGTTTTCATTTGCTACCTTTTTATTTCAGAAGTTTTTTATCTTTCAGCAAGAAAAACTAACCACAGTTGGTTCATATTTCTAACAAGCATGACCCTGGCAAAGAGGGATGGCGAGGCATCTTGACCACGTATGCGAAGGTGAGGGAGGATCGCTCATGGTTTTTCCAAGCTGGCGGTGGAAAAAATTATGATGGCATACTTACATTAATAACTTCTCTTGTCTCATCCTGCCCTCTCGTTCGTTGATGATCTCGTCCTTGTTGTTTTATTTCTGTCAGAAAAAGGCACTCTTTACGCCTTGACTCATTTACAAGTCCTAATCAATAGTAATTTCTGTGACTTACATTAATAACTTAAACTTATAATTCCTCGTAGTTGTATACCGTAGTAGACTTCTCTACTGCATGATGATACTTCACACGAATAGAACCCCATGACATGATGTGTACCATCTCTAAAGCTCGCGCGATTATCCTCTATGGGAGAAGACAGCGACAAAGAATCCATTGGAAAAGACCGTACTATAATTTTCAAGATGGATCCATGATCGTAGATTAAGGTCAGCTTTTTATTTTTTCCATCTTTCTCGGCATCTTGGTCCCCTTTTGCCTTGTATTCTCATGAAATACAAGGGAAAGGGGGTCGAGATGAGGGGACCGAGATGCAAGCTAGCAGACTCCAAGTAGAGAGCAGAGGATATATAAGGAAAAGAAAAGTAGTAGACACGAGTAGTCGACACGATTCTCGATGAAATCACAAGCCTGCCCAACTTTAACTTACCTGTTGTTCTTCTTTCTTGTTGTTCAGCATAAAAACTCGACTCCAAACTAACTTCTATTTTCCTGGATTATACAACGAACTAAAAGAACATCGGTAAACAAATTTTATTTTGTCTGCGCACAACTTGTATTCATCAGGGAAACGCGGAGGACCTGGAGACGATTCTGGAAGACGGCAGGATTTACCCCATTCACGATTATATCCTTACGGATCGGCCAGACGTTCCAGTTGCGGGAGAGTATATAAAACCTCCACCTAAGCCCGAAGGAGACGAGGAAGAGAAAGTTATGCTTGATTGGCCATTCTTAGAATAGAGCTTAGGCAAATCTGATTATTTCTCACCTGCTATTGTCTCGGGTTACCGGTAGCAGTCTCATAATTCGTTCCTACAGTCATTTAGATGAATAATGCCATCAGGGACGCACACACGACATATAACTTAGGCTTCTGCAACTTCAATAAATTCCACATTCCGTAAAAGAAATGAGCTCCTGGTGCACAACTTGTACAACTAGTACTTCTTCTTTGCGGATGACAAAATAATTCCTACTACTACTTAGTACTTCTTTAACAACTTTAGTCTTTCGGACTTTTTGTTCGTAGTCCGCTGACTCATCATGAAGACGTGAGATGAAGACGTGAGGCCTCGGAATCCGAAACCCTTGCCCTTACTTACAACACTAATTTGGATGAACAAGAACAGCCGGAACCGATCGACATCGAGGGTCTTGGGGTGCCGAATATCAAAGCAAGGGCAAGGGATTGGAACCGGCCAGCGAGTATCACGATAGATCTAGCAAGGGGAAAGAAAGGCGCGAGTCTGCTGTCGGAAGATTATGAGTCTTTTAGTGTTGATAGAAGATGACAGTCCTCGTATCTTCTGGTTCTGATAAATGATTTTAATTTTTTATGAAGGATCCATCGGAAATTCCGATTCGGAATCCTACTTTGATTTACCGTTAATGCCAACAGGAATGCCACTTCTTGATAAGATGCAAACAGTACCTACCAGGGAATTATGATGAATAAATATCTTGTTCTTCTACTCTTCTGCTAGAACAAGTCCTAGTTGTAGCTACTTACTGATACTGTAGGTACTAAGTATCTATACCGGAACCTCCGCGTGGAGATGTCGACAATGTCTATGGGGAGTGGGAGAAATGCGTGAGCGGCAATGAGTATTGGTACTACAAACCAACCGGAGAGGAAGAAGATCAAGCCTCTGGTATGGCCGCTCTGCATGATATGTAATGGGGACAATGTAGTGTGGATAGTCAGAAGGGGGACGACTAACCTGGTGGAGGTAGACGTAGAATGGGAAAATACTTATTCTATCCATTTCTATAATATGCTCTTTTTCATTTTGTTCATGGTGATGCTCGTCGCGTGTCTTTGAAAAAAGTTGTACTTGAAAAGGTAGCCTTGACCTCTCTCTGCTCTCTCTCTCCAGCATCCTCTTCCTCTATGATCTACATCTTCTAATCCTAGAGGCGATGGAGAACCAGGCTCGGATGTGCCGAATCCCTTGTTTTATGGGATGATCTAACTTTGACTTTCTTTATTACAAAAAGGAGATCTGCATCTGCGGATCGTTCCCGTTCGTAGTCCCTCGGGAGATGTGCTACTTAGAAGAACGCGCAGTTAAATAAAATATAAATAGCCAGGAAAAACTAATGAGCTGTCGTACCACCTACATCTTCAGCAGGAGAAGATAAACATATGCACAATGATGTCACCAACACTGATTTTCACCTGTACAACCATTACAAGTGGCATCAAAAATAATAGGAAAGATGACCTTCATCATCTAACTTTCCAAAGTCCAAGTTGGAGAGTCATTGGAGCAAGCAACGGTACGGGGAAAGCTGTATCACTACGTTGATGCAAAAAGTATACTGGACGATACCAGTCACAAGGAAGAAGAAGAACTTTTTGTTATGACGGTGCTAGTACTGATTCTGATAAGATTGAAAGCTCCTACTCCTAGCTCCTACGACGTTCGTAAGCTTTTGAATTAGAGGTATCTATGGGGAATGAATCTCACAGATCATCTGGGTCCCTTTTCCGTCTTATTTTCTTTGTCCAGATCATGACTTTGTTCGCGATGCATTTCAATTTCTTACCCTCATGATTAAAGTCTTTCTTGATCTTGTTTTCTTCTGTGACTACTTATACACAACTAGCAGATCTCTCTTCTACAACAACTTCTGTTTCACTTTTTGGGAGACTTTTTCCTTCTTTCTAAGATTTACATGGACGCCACGAGCGAAGCGGCTCATTTGCTAAAGCATAGGAGTCCTTGCCGACTGGCGCTGACTCAGTGGGGATGGAGCATCTTTCGCGACAATGATCCTCGATGGATGCTCGTCTGTAACGATGCAGAAAGCTGTTTTCAGCAGTTCTTATGAGTGGCTCTTCTGTAGCGGTAGCCAACTATGTCTGCTAGTTTTCCTAGTGGGGCCACACATAGATAACTTAACCTAACTAACTGCAACTATAGCTACTGCTTCTACACTTCTAAGTAACATATTGTTCTTATGATTGGAAGCCACTCGGTTAGTGTTAGTCCTCGTAGTCTAAGCCTAAGACCTTGTTATGGCTTTGTTCTGCGTTTGTAGATAGGTATATCAACCACCAGCAATAATTATTGTATCTTCAGTAGATGAAAATGCTTATTGTAATATCAGTACGTATAAATGAAAATGATAGATAGAAGGAAGATCCGTATTTCTGATGAACATCACCTTGAGTCTACTGAAAATTCTGTCGATTCTAACTCTTACATGCAGAGCCTGGACGCCTGATTTGGACGAATTCTTCAACGACGTCAACGCAGGCTTGCAAGAAACGCTAAGGGAGTTCAAAATTCTCGAAGATTGTACTGCTTGTTGATATCAATAGTGTTGTAAGTATATTATAAGCATGATATTTTTTCAAGATGAACGTGATTGATTGATTGATTGATTGATTGATTGATTGATTGATTGATTGCTATGGATGATCTTTTGTGGGCTAGGTCAGCGGGAACGCAGTCGTGCTCGCACAGTCCAGAGTTGGCCCTGGGTCTGTTTGTTCCTCCGTTATCCAGCGCCGCCGCTCCGCTCGTTAGACGGCCGCATATTGTTGATTGATTGACATTGTCCGGCGATCGGCCCGGAGTGCGGTTCTCTTCCTCAGCTCGGTCGTGAGGGCTCTTCCTTCATTAGCCCGACACAGCGTAAGCAAAGCGGGCAGAGTCCAAAGACCGCCGCAGCCAGTTTGCGCCTGAGGTTCTTGGTGATAGACTACGCTAGGTGACTAGCCCCGGTCCTTTTGCTATGGATGATCTTTATTTTGTGGGCTAGGTCAGCGGGGGCGCAGTCGTGCTCGCACAGTCCAGAGTTGGCCCTGGGTTGTTTGTTCCTTCGTTATCCAGCGCCGCCGCTCGTTAGACGGCCGCGTATACATATAGTAGATAGTTGGTCGATGAACGTGATTGGCTAGCCTCTGGTCTTTTGCCATAGATGACCTTTTGTGGGCTAGGTCAGCGGGAACACAGGCTGGCGTGCTTGCGCACTCCAGAGTTGGCCCCGGGTCTGTTTTAGTTCCTCCGGTCGTTGTCCAGCGCCGCCGCCCGTTAGCCGGCTGCATGCAGTTGACTGCTGAACGTTAACGATAATCATCGCCCACAGTTGTCATACTGAGGAACAGCAGTTACTTACCCTTTCTCTTAATCTAGTGCGTTAATAGAGTAATCTCTCTCATAATATCTTCCAACAACAACCTCTTGCCAGGCACATCAATCAATCAATCAATCAATCAATCAATCAATCTCAAAAACATACTTGTTTTACTATGATCTGCAACATAACAATATTAACATCATGTTAATGATAACCTAACCTAACTTCAGGGCTCATGCAGAATTACGACCTGGATGTGGACGAGCGCAAGAATGGACTAAAAGAGTTATGCGCAACCTTTCCTTGACTCAATGATTACCCCGTGAATGGATACTACACGTACTCCGATCAATATTTGAGTATTTAATCAATCAAACAATGAAACTACATGTTGTACATCTTTCCGTAACATCACTCACCTGTCTGTTACCTAAGGTCCTTTCTTCGACTATCTTTTACATGTTTCCGCATCACTCACGACGCTCACCCGCCCTCCATTACCCATCTGGCCAAGAATGTCTACTATGTCTTTCTAAGATGTGTTCAAGAAGGGAGAACAAAGATTCTAGCAATGCAGGAGGAAGAGAAAGCAAGGAGGAAGGAATATGATCAGCGAATACAGAAGGATAAGGCATTGTGCAGAGATCCGGTATTGTTCTTGCAACAGTCTTTTGGTACATACACTGATGAAGGTTAGTCGTAAACGTAGTAGCATTGGTTTGCCGCAGCTGTATCGTCATTTAAAACAGTAACTCTAGGTTGGTACATTCATTGATTATTCTTCCTAAACCAACGAACCCAAAATCATCTTCTGCTTATGTATAAATAATCAATTATCTGGAGGATCTAACTGGACTCAAGAAGAACTCCTCTTAACTACTTCCACAGCGTCCTGGTCCTCGTGACATAAATACACCTCCTACCACCTTACTTTTTCCTCAACAGCTTTTGACACCAGGCACGAGCGCCTCGACCCCGATGTTTTCGTACGGCATCGAGTCTCTGGTGAGACGGCATTTGGCCGATAATGACCAACCATACCGTGTGTGGTCTCTAGTTACGTTATGATACAACTCTTTTGTTAAAGAAATCAGTGAAATCTATCATTCGATCAAGTTCATCAAGGTGTTTCAAGTCGACAAATGAATATGATAGAAGTTGAACTTGAAGTTGTTTCAAGTCGACAAATGAGTATTTCAGTAGGCCTCTTCTGCCTCAACCTCCCTCTCTTTCATTAAGACAACTTCTCCTCTCTCTTTCTCGCAAGAACGTCCTTCCTTCAATCAAGCAGAACCAAGACAGCTGCTTCCTCGTCCCTTTTCCAGTCGTCACCAAGAATATTAGATTCATCAATCAAACCCTTTGTTCTTGATTTCTTTTCCTTTCTAACCTGACCCTTTTCCCATCCTCGTTGGTAGCAAATGTGACTTCTCCGCCTCTTCCCTTTTCTAGCCTGACCCTTTTTAGTTGGAAACTTTTGCTACCAAATACTACCTACTCCTCGTTTCTGGAAAATTTTGCTCCTTCGCCTTCTAGCAAAGTAAGATTCTTCTAATCTTCGCCATAACAAGAGACAAAGTAACGCAGAATCCTTTGCCGCATATTCACGCCGTCCCCCTGAAACTGACGCCCACGTATCTCAGCATGACCAGCAAGGAGGGATCCAAAATCCCAATCCCACCAGAGGACTTGCCCTTATGCAGGGTCTTTCTTGTGTAGGTGTGAAGTTTAGTAAGTTTGGTAATTCAGCTGACACCCGTTAATATTGCTGGGTGCATATATCATCATCATCATCATCATCATCATCGTCATCAGTTTGGTAGGAAGTTTGGTGTCTGTGTGAAGTTTAGTCTAAGTTTGGACGATTTATAATTCGTAAAACTGAGAAATTAATAAGAAGTGTGAAGAATTTTGATAAGTTTAAGGGTAAGCAAGTAGAAAGTGAAAGCTGGAGGTTCTCCTTCTCGATCCATAATTTTATTTTTTTTTCACATCCACGTACTACGCCTTCTACGTACTTCTAAAAGAAAAAAGCGTGAATATACAAGCCTCTGGTGGGGATAGAGCTGCGAAGGAACGCGGGAAGATCGAGTGGGGTACTTACGACACAGTCGATCGACCTGCTTCTTGCGAAAGGGGTGATAATTGCAGCCCTCCTCGATCCTTCGAGACTTCGCCTACGGGTACTTCTACCTAGAAGTTTTGTACCTAAGGGTAGAATTTTAATTTTTCCTTACTACTTAGTTTATTTACGGGTACTACTTGTATACAATTTACTTACGTAGCGGTAGTATAATTTAAGATAAAAGATTTTCTTTGATATCCACCCAAATTTGGCGCATTTCCGAAAAAACTACATCCCATAAAATTTGAGACGCAATTACCCTCATTCATGTGTTTCCAGAACCGTTTTGGTTTAGGTTGCAGGAGTAGAACGAAGCACCCGCCGCTTGTGAGAGATTAGACAAGCCCTTAAAGAAAAAGTTTGTGCTCATCTGCAGATTGATAATTTAAGATAAAAGATTTTTTTTGACTTCTATGTATGATGAATATTATGTATAACAAACAAACGGCTCTAGGACCTGTAGAAGCCCCTCCACTGCTTAGTTGATTGCAGCTCACTTTCTGGTTTACAACTGTTTGCTATCTTGCTTCGAGTTCGACACTAATCACGAGCGTTCACAACAGCATTTATTGACCAAAACCGATCAACTTCAGACCTGTCGGTTGTGGACGGGCGACTGGACTTCCATTTTGTATTATGGAGTCTGTACTGGTTTTTCGCTAAGTAATAATTAGAGACTATGCATTTGGAACAATCCATTCTGGAATGCTCATGATGGATACACCACCACCAAAAATCTTGTGAACAAAACTACAAGCGCTCCAATAAAAGCGCCCAAATATATAAGATCTAAATACAACAACAGATTGATGAAAGGGGCTTTTCATCTTAGATGATGGAAGAACTCTCTGGAAGTCGCCACACCACTGCAAGCACCTCAGCATCCCCATGCAGAATTTCTTCTAACTGCAGCTGCGAACCCATCGGACGCACGTTGGCGGTTGGTAAATGTACACATGTATTATTACGGTCGAACGGCGAGAAGACTGAAGGATGCGCAGATTCCTTATTTTAAGGCATAGTCATACTCATAACTTCAGGAACAAGCCGCTCAGTAGTTCATCCGCTAACTCTGAATTATAACTTACTCCAATCATATAAACGAAATCATAAGAGGACGGTAGTGGGATTCGTCTTTGACTTGTCTTCAGTCTAATTAGTGGCAAGTTGACGGGCAGTGGGACAACAGCGCGTATTGGGATTCGACCGGAAAGAGAGATTATGTGCATCTGTGGAGCTACAGGGGCAGTGACAGTGTGAATCAATGTCGCAAAATACTATTACCTACATTCCTTCCTTTTTTTTTTCTAGTTAGTTTCTTTGGCTCCACCCATACTATGAGGTTGAGGATTATAGTGGTCTTACTCTGCTGTCCCAGGCGTAGGTGCCGTCGGGAGAGGAGAGCACACTTCTCTAATGAACGGATGATGACTCTTCGGCACTGCAAATGTCATCTGCGGCAGCAACGGCGGCAGGAGTTGCAGCACCAGCGAGGGCAGCACCAGCGGGGGCAGCAGCAGCAGCGCCAGCAGCAGCGTCAGCAGCAGAAGCAGCAGCAGAAGCAGGAGCACAAGCACAAGCAGAAGCAGAAGCAGGAGCAGGAGCAGGAGCAGGAGCAGGAGCAGGAGCAGGAGCAGGAGCAGGAGCAGGAGCAGGAGCAGGAGCAGGAGCAGAAGCAGCAGAAGCAGCAGAAGCAGCAGAAGCAGCAGAAGCAGCAGAAGCAGCAGAAGCAGCAGAAGCAGCAGAAGCAGCAGAAGCAGCAGAAGCAGCAGAAGCAGCAGAAGCAGCAGAAGCAGCAGAAGCAGCAGAAGCAGCAGAAGCAGCAGAAGCAGCAGAAGCAGCAGAAGCAGCAGAAGCAGCAGAAGCAGCAGAAGCAGCAGAAGCAGCAGAAGCAGCAGAAGCAGCAGAAGCAGCAGAAGCAGCAGAAGCAGCAGAAGCAGCAGAAGCAGCAGAAGCAGCAGAAGCAGCAGAAGCAGCAGAAGCAGCAGAAGCAGCAGCGTCAGCAGCAGCGTCAGCAGCAGCAGCACCAGCAGCGGCAACAGCAGCAGCAGCAGCGTCAGCAGCAGCGTCAGCAGCAGCAGGCACACCAGCCGGAGACTCAGTTATGGGCGTTGCGATTGCAAACTGAGTGACAATACTTTTGATGTTTTAACGTGATCTAACATATGTGAAGATCTTATCGATCCTGATCATTCAACCTTCTTCTGGAGTAAACCGGCCAATATAGAGACGCGAATCGACTTAGAAAGGAGTCGTGCTGCAGAAGTCCTCGATAAACATGCGCTACATTTGATCAGAACGAGGATGTTGATGAAAGACGACTGCTAAGTGAAAATGGCTCTACAGATGTTTCTTGAGCGATGTCGTGAGGCTAGGCAGCAGGAGCTGAATCGTTTGAACAACATGACATGTTGAAGACGACCAATCGCGAAGATATAACTTTATATAATATTAATATCTGCACTCCTGCGTCCTGCGACTGAGTGGAAAAGAACTTCCCTATCCTCATCGTTGATAATTCTAAAATAATTGCTGCAGAGAAGTCGCGCTCATGGTGGCAGCGTATCAAAGATACAGCAGTAAGACAGATGCGTCCCTGTCCATTAATTTCTAAGGGAAGTAGGTTCCTTTGTAGTATGCCAAAGAAGTGCCTTTTGTGTACCTGCTGCAGAACCAGAAGAGGTAGATGATACGCATATTAATTATAAATACTAAATATAAGCTTAACAAAAATGCTTAAGCTTATATGCTCATATTTTTAGGACACCTCGTTAAGGAAATAAGTTCCTTAAGGAAGTTGCTTAATCGCACTATGGTGTCAGAGTCAGTGGCCGTTGCTACAACTTGGAAACTGCTGCTAAATGTAGATATTTTGTAGCAGAAGTGCCTATCCACTAAACGGAACTTTCCTTATTTTTCTCCTAACTTAACTAACTTCGTCTTTACTATGAATGTATTAATTACTTACTTAGTTGAGTTTTTTTCATTGATTGACGACGGCCTTTACTTCTCAACGCATACTAGTATTCAATAGTCATACTACTAATCATTCGTGCCTGATTATTTTTCGCGTAACTTGTTTTGATGTTGAGGGACGAGCCATGTTTTGAGCTCGTTGTTTTGGTCCCTGTGTTTTGCTCGAAAGCTTGTTAGGGCTTTCTGCATTTGAATACTGTTGGTTTTGTTGATTATATTATCATCCTTATGAATCATAGTTCCCTAGGTTCCGTAGGACAGGGGACGAGCAGGATTTTTGTGGTTCATTGATCGGGTATGGAATTAGGCAGACTGGCAACGCAATAATGGGAGGTGGCGGTCTGAGCAAGCGCAACATGGCCCATATAATGCAGAAGGGGACTGGAAAGTGGAACCCTACGGAGACGGAAACGAGCAAGACGGGGCTCAGATCATGGGTGGAAAGCAAGTTATGTTGGTGTCCGTGTTTTCTGGATAATTGACTGGCTGGGAACTACACCGTTTATTTGACTACGTATTAAGGCATAAGAAGTATTGTTGGATGTTGTTGTTCTCCTGTAGGTTGCTAACTGCCCAAAAGGTTCGCCAAACCGTAGAAAGGTCAGTAGAAGTTCTTGCCCAAGTCGCACCGCCGGAGGAAGACAAGCAAGGAACGGCAAACCACAACGAAGGAGGAAGTTCTTGCTTGAACACCACTAGAATCCAACTCAATCGAGCACAGTCACGCTGATGCTCTCTCACGAACTGTACTCACGTTAAACTACTCCTACCTAAAGGATCCAGGACCATCAAGATGATAAGCAAGGTTGATTGACCTTTGAGCTCTTTGGCTCTTCCTTGTTGTGTTCAAGTGCGCCGATTGATTCACATCAAGCCGCCAAGTCGGGAAGTGGAACACCTTCAAGACCTTACACTTTGGTCACTTCGAGCTGTCTCCGACATTCCCCCCCTCCCTTCTCTTCCGGTACCCCCGGAAGCCCGCCCTCTTCGCGCTCCTCTTAGTGAGCTGCGTTTAGGTGTGGGGTCGCCACAGACTACCCCCTGGGCGATTGAAGGTTGGAGCCGTTGGCGATGCTCCGTAAAACAGCCTCTCTCCCTTAGTAGTTAACCCCCCGCAGTAGCCCCAGTAGAAGCTGTAGTAGCTTTCGTGCCGCTGTAGCTCTTCGTCCTCGTCGTCTTCTTCTTCAGGCTCCCAATGGCTGCAGCTGGGACATCCTCCCACTTTGCGCCGCGGGGTCTCTGGTCTGGCTTCTTTGGAAAACTTAAGGTGAGGCAAATGGTGTCCCCATCTGCCGTGTAGGTATCCCCTGCTCTACCGGGGGGGCAGTCTAAAGATTAGCGCCTGGGGGTCTTGTCAGGGTAGTACTCTGGCGCTGCTTTAGTCTGTTGGTGTTCCTCGTAGTTATTAGTAGTGCTCGCGGCTGCGGTGTGGATGTGGTCTGGTGCGTTTCGTTGCGGAGCGGATGGCGCTGCGCTGCTTGGGGTTGTAGCGCCTCTAGCTGGCTGCTCTCCCCCGTTAAGGCTTTTCTGGAGTTATGGCTGTTGGCGTGGTAATACGTATAGCGCGGCTGCGAGCGTTATTGCTCTATGTTGCTGCTTTCGTATAAGTTGGGTGACACTACTGCTGAGCATCAGGCAGTGCCTTGGCTTGCGTGCGGGTCTTGGCTTTTCTTTCTATAGCGACAGACGGATAGGCACTACTGCTGAGTATCAGGCAGTGCTATTAGTCTTCGGGCTGTAGCTGTTGGCAAAAAAAATGGATAGGCACTACTGCTGAGTATCAGGCAGTCCTGAGAAGCCCTAGGTCATAGTAAGCATCTGATTCCCTCCGGGTGGACGGGGTGCGACCTTTGGTCTTGTTTGGTTCGCTTTGGTGTCACTGTTTCAGGGCCCATATGTCTGCCTTCTTGACTGTAGTGGTGGATCGACTATGTTTCTCCCCCCCCCAAGAGCGAAGCCGTTTTCATAAAGTCCAAAATCACCCACAAGCAAATGTAGGATCACTGCGGACAGAGACCAGTAGAACACGTAAGCCACTTCAAGTGACAAGGCCTTTTAACGCTCGGGGGTTATCAAGGGATAAGGCTTAAGGCTTTAGGCACACACTTCAGAGTCTATCTCTTCATACAGACAGAGAAACGACGACCCGGCGACAAAATAAGCCGCATTTTCAAGAGAATCCGAGTTATCAGGCGAAGGAACTTGTTTCGTTTTTCTTTTGTTCGTCATGTCTGGATTGTGCCAGAAGACATGATCTCGAACTTCACGGGGGACGTTATTCTTGGTTAAACTGTCTGCTTTCATGTGCTTGGTGGGACAAAAGTTTAAGCTATCTGCCATATCACATACTTTGTGATACCTCAGAGCAACATGTCTGCTGCGAGGGCGCAGCGCGTCGGAAGGGGATTGAGCTACCGTCTTAGCGGTTAGATTGTCAATCCATAAGTCCTCAGAGGGAGCTTTATTCTCGAAGAAGCCTTTGAACGAAGCAGATTCTGACATGATTAAGCCATCTGAACCGGCAACGAATTCTGCTTGAAAGGTCGAGTCAGAACGAACAGACTGCACTGCCGTTTTCCACATGATTGGACATCCGCGATAGTATAAAATCGCTCCTGAGACGCTTTTCAGAGTTATAAAGCACGTGGCAAAACTCGCGTCGGTAAAGAGATTCCAATCTTTCAACTTTCGGCCTTTCTCTAACATATTGCCATAGATCTCTTTGAACTTCTTTTCGTTCTCGGGCGAATAGAATAAGCCCACATCTGGCGTAGAAATCAAGTAGCGCATGACTTTCTTTACGCAGGCAACAATTGCTTTTGTTGGCTTCTTGGAGGCGACTTTCGACAAGCAGTTTACGGGCTGTGCTACGTCAGGCCTGCAGACCGTGACGACCCACTGCATAGAGCCTATTGCTTCTCGTAAGGGGAATTCACAAACTGGGCTTGTTTCGTCATACAGTGCAGAGGTCGGGAAGGATGGCGAGTCTACTGCCCTACATCCTTCCATGCGGAATTTCTTGCAAAGCTTCTCTTTGATATAAGTGCCCATAGAATAGCGGAGGCTTTTCTTCTTCTTGTTGTAAAACACATCTGCACCCAGCAGATCGTATTGAAGTTCGCCACCAAGGTGCTCCTTAGGTTCTATTATTTTCCCCGGAAATATATTGAGTATAGTCTGCACCTCAGCACGAAGCTCATTACGATCAGGGCCACAGGCTGTGTTGTCATCAACATACACGGCTAACTTGAGGAATCTACCCGGCACTACTGCGGACGGCTTGCGCCATAGTCCTTTTTCATCAGATTGAGTCCAACCCAGCAGAATAAGCTGTTTTTCGTAGTGCTTGGCCCAAAGCCTAGGGGATTGCGGCAGACCATATAAAGCACGGACTAGCTTTCTTATGCCGGTATCATTTTCCTCTCGCCAGATTGGAGGCAGACGCACAAAGATGTCGGAGTCGATGAGACTTTGCACAAATGCATTATCGATGTCAAAGACCTCGATCTCATCTCCTGCAGCAGCAGCATCAACTAAAAGATACCTGCTCGCGCCAAAACTAACAACAGACGCATAGACATCAAAGTCATGCCCTGGCTTGTATAGGTTGCCTAAGACAACAGCCCTGCACTTGTATGTGCCATCGCGCTTCTTTGAAAGCACTAAGGCAATTGGGACTACACCCTTTGCCGATTTGAGTTCTTGCTCATTGCATTTCCGCCATGTTTCGAACGCTTCTAACTTAGTTCTTTCTTTACCTATGGCCTGAATCCAGTGTGGGGATTCAGGTCCCTTTACAGCCTCTGACACTGATAACTGCACCCATACGTCCTCTATTATTTCCCCAGGCTCTAGGTCATGCTCCATACTTTCGACATAGAAGCAGTCTTCGATCACTTCAGCGAACTCGCCATAGAATTCGTCAGAGTCTACCTGCTCTGCCGTCTGCTTCTTCGTTCTTCTTTTTCTGCCACCTGGGACTTTGTCTTTAGACCCTTTAGGTCGGCCTCGTTTTCTTTTGGCCTGTCCATAAGTGACGTCTGGCTTTCTTTCAAATTTGTAACTTTGCTCTTCCTCTGGAGGATCATTGGCTTTTTGTTTTTCACCCCCCCCGGGCTGTTTATCACCCGCAAGCATAGGAATGCTCGCAGATGCACTTTTGTTTTCCTCACCGGGAACACATGCCGTGCTGGCCTTGTCACAGACTGGACTTGGGACGTCCAATAGTTCCACTTTCTTATCTGCACCAGGCGCGACGGACGGGGAGGAGGCGGACTCGCCCCCCCCAGAACCAGATGAACTAGAACCACCAGGCGCAGGCAACGTCGGAGCACAAGGCTGGCCGGCCCCGACCACCGAGCCGCTGTCCATCGAGCCACTAATTACATCTAGGATCTGGCGATCGTTAACGATCACACCCTCGGAATACCCTGGGCGTAGAGAATCTACATTATCGATGAGTATACTCTCGACGAACTTAACGCAGCGAGTCTCATAGACAGCCCATCTTAGTCCACCGTCTTTCTTGGTGAAGCGACCATCTGAGACTTAAGTACCTACCAGGTAACAGCTGCTCTGATCATTATAGCCGAGGATTACGCCCTTGATATACTTCTCTACAAGTTTCCCAACCGCTTCGACGGGTTGTTTGAGAAAATAGCATAAGCAGCCAAATCTCCTGAACTTCGAATCGAATTCAGTAGTCGCGTTATCGAGCTCATCGGGCTCTGTGGACTCTAAGCGGGAAACTTTCCGGTCAACTTGCAGTGACCCCTTCACTCTTAAGCGTCTAGCTTCATGGGGGGACTTCCCATTGAAGTGTGGCGCACGTTTGTAGGCTTTTCTAGGGATTCTGACCCATGTCCACACAAAATATTCCGCAGCATAGTCCCATAAGCGGAGGTCAACGCCTACTAAAATAGCCCTTAGACCGGGACCCAGCGTATTCATAAAACGCTCGCAGACACCATTCTCTTGCGGTGTGTATGGTACCGAGTGGGTCCAGAAATCGCTGAGCTCTTGGAGTGTATTTTCCCACTTCTTTGAGCGGAAGAGTGGGTCATTGTCACTGCGGACATACCAGACTACTTTGTCGGTTAAGTCCTTACTATCACTTGCGCGCAGCTGTTTGATCAGCTCTTTAACGACTGCATAGCACTGGTCTTTTACTTGCAACGGGAACACAAAGACGAAAGATATAATTGGGCATATTACCACTAAGAGCCATGAGTTACCTCTTAGACTTTTTGGCTTTACTGGGCCCCAAAAATCCGCGTCAAGTTGCTTTAAAGGCGTAGGGTCGATGTACTTTTGAGGTCGTTCACTACGGCAACCTTTTCGACCACCTTTCGCTAAGGCACATTCAGGGCAGAAAACTTTCTCACCTGGTATTGAGATGTGTCCACGACGCCTATGTCTTTCTAACTTGGACAGACACACTAGTGCCTCTAAGTCCTCTACGCAGTCGGCCAAGGCTTCAGCCTGGAACTGTTTGCTTCCCTCGGTAAGCTCTATGTTTACGCGGCGTCTTTTGGTGCAATCGGCTAAGCAATCCGTCGAAAAATTGCATCCGATAGTGACAAGGTTACTTATTCGCTCTTCAGCGCAGAAGTCACTTACCTCGCGCGAGCTGATGATACCAGCACCCCCAGACTTCGATGGCAAAAATAAAGCATCGTCTGGAAAACAAGGCAAAGCTGGTGGGTTATTTACCACTGAGATTTGAACGTCTGCAATGCGCGACTCTATCTTTGAAGGACTTGGCGGAGAATCTAATATCACTCGCCATCCAAGCGCATTCAGGGGAGCTGTTGGGCAAAGCCTTCCCACAGGCAGTCTTTCATGATAAATCCCCACTGAATACCCTAAGCGATTTGATCGCAGTCTCCCTATCCTAGGTGGATTCCCAGAACTTTCCAGATTGCCATCTACTCCACAGATCTTAACAGGGTTAGACCTGAAACTCACAAAGTCACTCAGCACTCGGCTGACAACATGAGAGGCCCCAGAATCAAGTAAATCGTCATCCCGAGGCTTGCTCTTTTCAGAGGGATTTGTAGACGAAGTGGAGGACGCAAGTTCCTTAGTCATCGCCGAGTTTATCTCTACACGGATCTCATCTAAGCTATCATCAATCTGACAGCAAAATAGTTCACTTTTATTTGGGTCATAGTCAATATCATCCATCTGATCACTGGTCCTGAAATAGTTGGAGTCAAAATCAGTTGTCAACAGCAATTTGTCTGAATAGGACTCACAGTCCATGTTTTGTCTTTGTTCTTCGGGGGGTACCTCGCAGGGGTAGCAAAGGGGAAAGGGCTTGTCTTGTTGTTCTTGGTCGTGCTGTGTACAGTTGTAACGTGCTGGAGTTACATATTTGAAATTTGAAGAAGTTGAATTGTATGACTTGAAGTTATATGTTGAACTTTTAGACACGTTATGACTGGAGAAACTATCTGAGTTCGAAGACACATTCAGCATGTTATAACTGTCCTCTTTTGTTGAAAAACTTTGCGTTGGTTCAGCTTGTGTAGACACTATGAAGCATGTAGCTTCCTTTCAGCTGCCATCAAGGCAGTCCTTTTTCTCGTTGTTGGCTCAGTGCTTCTTGGCAACACCCTTCGCCTTTCCTTTCCAGCTGCCCTTCACTTGTGCTGGTCCTTTTGGCTTTCCACCTGCTTTTTGCTGGTTCTTGCCGCCTCCTTTTTGCTGCTGTGCACCACCGCCTTTCTTCGTGCTTTTGCCGCTACCTTTGGTGGCTGCCGCAGCAGCTTGTTGCTGTTGCCACTTTTTCTTGCGGAAACAGTTGTCATCGGTGTGACGCGGCTTGTTGCAAAAGGTACACCAGCGGTTGTCAGAGGAACTGTTTCCACCACCACCAGCCAAGAAGGCACTTGGATTGGAACTAGAGGCACCGCCCGGAGTGTTCATGTTGCTGTTGTTCATCATCATCATCATCATCATGTTCTGATTCTGGATGAGCATATTCTGCATCGGATCACTAGAACACATCATGTTGAATGCAGAACTGTTGCCGTTGCTGTTGTTGGACACGGTCGCAAGGTTCATCCGTGCTTGGATTTCCTTCTGCTTTCTTGCTTGACCGCTGTTAACGTAGTCTTGAGCCTCAGCCAGCATCGAACTTCTGGCGGAACTCAGCCATCTTGTCATCTAGTGCCGGATCAAGAAGATTGGTCAGGATGTACTTCATCTGAACCTCGACCCGGTCTGCTGGTAGCATTGGAGCTCCGACCCGTTGCGCCTTAGCATACTGGTCGTAAGTCCAAACTTCTAGGTCGCTGTTTTTACTGAGTTCAAACTTTTCATTTTGAAGTTCGTTGTGCATCTTCATCTTGTCAATCTGCTGATTGGTGCTGAAGTGCTTGCGCAGCTGACGGTAAGTGTCCAGGAACGTGAGACAACCAGCATTGACAGTGATCGTCTTGGCTTTTCCTTGGACCGCTGTAGCAAGTGATGCTTCCATGGCCAAATATTTTTCCAGCTGTGCTGCTTCGAGAAGTGGATTAGCATCCTCGATCTGGTTCGATTCATGATCTACCAGGTTGATGAATTGCGGATAAATTCCGACTGACCGCACTAACATCTTGACAGAGTGGGCCCATGCGTCCCAGTCTTTTTTCTCGCTTATCGGCGGCAGACGCCAGGTAGATGACATCTTTGCTGTAGCCGCGGGGGAACACTAGAACACGTCGAACAAGAACACAAGTGTTGCTAACTAGTCTAGTGCTTGAGCAGAAGAAGTTTTTGTTCTGTAGTGGTAGAAGAAGTAGCCACAAGTTCTGCTTCAAGGTAGGAGTAGAATGTTGGATGTTGTTGTTCTCCTGTAGGTTGCTAACTGCCCAAAAGGTTCGCCAAACCGTAGAAAGGTCAGTAGAAGTTCTTGCCCAAGTCGCACCGCCGGAGGAAGACAAGCAAGGAACGGCAAACCACAACGAAGGAGGAAGTTCTTGCTTGAACACCACTAGAATCCAACTCAATCGAGCACAGTCACGCTGATGCTCTCTCACGAACTGTACTCACGTTAAACTACTCCTACCTAAAGGATCCAGGACCATCAAGATGATAAGCAAGGTTGATTGACCTTTGAGCTCTTTGGCTCTTCCTTGTTGTGTTCAAGTGCGCCGATTGATTCACATCAAGCCGCCAAGTCGGGAAGTGGAACACCTTCAAGACCTTACACTTTGGTCACTTCGAGCTGTCTCCGACAAGTATTTTGATACTTAGTACAGCTTATAAATATTTTGATTTTATTGGCCGGGATTGCTTGGATCATTGCTACTTTGTGGTTGTGGTATCCTGTCGCAAATAATAAGATTTCATCTGCAGGTGGCCGCTACCGCTAGTAGTATCATCTACAACTATACCGGGACTTGTAAACAATTTTTTTACTTTGAGTTTGATGTTGTAGAAAAAATGTACCCGACAATCTACTTCATAAGCACGAGCTGTTGCAGGTGTTCGTCTCCGGCAGTTATTATTCTAAGTCCACTATGATATGACTAAGTTAAACAGATCATAGTTCTAAAGAGTGGATGGCTGGACGAAAAAGACTCGAATGGGTGGAGATGGGCTTCGAACAGCAAGGACACAATCATTATTAAGGCTTAACGCAATTCATTTATTCGAATATTAGCAAATGACTTGTTGATTTTTTTTTTCATAAAGAAGGCGCAACCGCAAGTCATCTATTTGTGAAGCAAGAGGCATATTTCTATTTGACGTGCTTTCAGGGGTGCGGATGCGGAAAGCAACACCACAAAGATGCTCTCGAAGATGAGAATTGGGATGAGTGAAGGAATAAATGAATTGGGGAAGCTCTAATCTTCGTCGGTTTTTAAGCTACCATTAAGGCAAATATCTACTACATGTGGAAAGGTGTTCTTTCAGATGGTACGAAAGTAGAGGTTTTCCAGTTTTACACTGGTCCTGGAGTTCCTGAGTAGAAATAGAATTAGAATCACTACAAGATTTGCAAAAAAGAAATAGATTGAATTCTTCTGGTTATGCAAATGCATAAAGCGTTGATTCCTAAACCACTAGATGGATGCTCACAACTACATACTTAAGAATATGAGAGCCTGTCACTGATTCTCACAGTGTTGACTCACTGAAAACACCAATCCTCGTCTAATCTATGTGGGTATTGCAAAAACGTCAGAAGGTGGATGTAACTGGAGCCGCGCATGAGCTGGAATGGCATGACATCGTGGTCCTACATCAAGATGACGCATCCCTGCCGCCGCTCAAAAACAGAGGAACATTGGTTTATGGGAAAAAGAGAGTACGTCTGAGTAGACCGCGTCTAGAACAAAATGATATGTGTAAGCTGAGAGTGAGTTAATGAATGAATTGGAAAATTTGTAATCGAAACCGAATTCAAAGGCATGAAAAATATGTTTCCAAAAGATAGGCCAGCTGAGAAAATTGAAAGAATAAAATAAGTGGCAGTGAGCTGGATTTTCTTGATATATCGTCCTATCGGAGATATATAAACAATTCTTACAGTAACAGTAAGCGAGTCTGTCGTCCTTTATCATAGATGGGTGGTTCTATTTCTAACTACTCCCAGCAAAAGTTGATGGAGACAAGGACAAAGTGGAGCCTAACAATTTACAGGCTACAAACTATCCCCTTTGGAATTGGTGGAGACCCAAACAAGCGGATGAAAGTGGTACTATTATGCTAGCTGTGTCTTCAGTGTCAGATGATCATGAAGCGGATAGAAGAACAACTGAAAATGTTATTCTTTGTCTTTTTTACATTTACCAAAAGCAAAGAAAACTGAGTAAGCAAAGTAAACTTTTCACCTATAATGCAGCCTATTCTTCATCCTCTTCTTCTTGATTGTGCCTACCAGCTGTTCTCGCTTCCGATCAGGTGCGTCGTTCTCGTTGGATTTTCGACAAGACGCAAGCAACGCGCGCCCTGGGTTTTCTCTCACAATATAACTAGTTGCTGGATGTCGCGAAAGCCTTGGGCCTTCTTTGCGATGCTCTAGACTCTCGCGTTTGTCTTGGCTGGTGCCCGTTTTGTTCCCCCTTGCTGTCCCCACGTCATCTTTGTTTGCCTTTGCCTTCCTTACCTCCACCTCCTTGCCTCCATCTTCCTGCCCCCACCTCCCTGCCCCCGCGTCCCTGTCCCCTTCTCTTTGACTCCATATCCTTGCCCACACCTCCTTGCCCACACGTCCTTGCCCACACGTCCTTGCCTACACACCTTCGCCCTGATGTTTTTGCCTCCCCTGACACTTTCTAGCTAGGATTAGACACTTACTAGGTAGGATGGGACGCATTCTAGTCAAAATTAAGCGCTTTCTAGTTAAAACTCGACGCCTACTAGTTAAGATTTAAATTAATCATATGCTATCGAAAACTAAACATATTCTAGCTAAGACCCGACATAAATTAGTTAGAGGTCGACACTTACTAGCTAAATCTTGACACTAGTTGCTGCTAGATAAACTTCGACACTTACTAGCTAAAATTCAACGCATTCTAGTTCAAATTGGAGATCCTTTAGTTGTTGAAGCCCGACACTTACTAGTTCAAATTAGAAACTTTCTAGCTATAAGCCGGCGGGCGCTTACTGGTTAAAGTTATGTGCTTTCTAGTTAAGGTTGAACGCTTTCTAGTTAAGGCCTTACGCTTTGTTTCTAATTCTACTTCTAGTTAAATTTATACACTTACGAGCTAAGATTCGACACTTATTTTTAGTTAAAGCTGGACGCTTCCGAGTTTAAGTCATATACAATACTTACTAGCGAAAGTGGTACACTTACTAGCTAAAGTTGGACGCTTTCTAGTCAAGCTTAGACACTTACTAGTTAAAGTTGGACACTCACTAGATAAGACTATACATTTACTAGCTAAAGTTCGACGCTTTCTAGTTAGAAGGTGACACTTACTAGTCATAGGCCTTGCACTGGTTTTTTGTGTTTTTGATCTGAGTTGGATGAGAATGCGCTTAGGCAATACTTTTTTTTTTTACTCTTATTTTCCATGATCAATATATGATTAGTCCACTTCTATCCAGGTGGCCGTCTTGGCTTTCAGCCAGTTCCAAGAGAGCTAGCGGTAGCAGTCGCAAATTATCACGAAGATTCGTACAAGAAGAAGGGCGGCGACATTTCTTGGAAGGAGGTTGTGCTTAATCTTATGGGTGCACTCATCTCAACTGGTGTTGTATTATGTACATTTACAATAAAATATCTCTACAACTCAGATGCTCACTCCTCTTTATATCTCTTTTTTGTACAATTACAATAAGATAAAGCTTGTGTCCGCAATACTAGAATCAAGCAGCAGCGCAATTTCAGATCAAGTGCGCAATATTAGATATATGCCAGGGAGGGGGGCCTCCCCTGTCGTGGATGGCGCTGAAGCGCAGCATAGTGGTGGAAGAGAACGGCAAAAGGAACAGACAGAGAGCTATGGCGCAGCACAGTGGCGGAAGAGAACGGGAAAAGGAACAGACAGAAGGGAGGGACGCTCTCCCGATCTGTAGGGCACAGGCAGCGGATCGGCCGCCAAGCGTGTCGGCCGTTTCCATTCTTGTCCGCGCTTCTCGCTGTGGACGTTGTTGGCCGTCTTCTCCTCGCTATTGTCTGGTGGCGTTTCTTGTCGGTTTCGCTGTGTCTTTCGGTCTCACTGAGGACAAGGCGCAGCGGGGCACACAGGATGGGGCGCAGCAGGAGACCACGAGGCATAGCAGCAGACCACGACGCCCCTCAGGGGACGATAAGGCACAGTAGGAGACCACGAGGCACAGCAGGAGACCACGAGGCACAGCAGCAGACCACGACTCCCCTCAGGGGGCAGCCGCGCCGCTGGAGGAAACGAGGCACACCAATGGTGCCAAAACGCTTACCGCGCTGGCGGGTGTTCTGTAGGGTACATCTACATGCAAGGAGCCGCACGGGACTGGCGGTGGCCTTTTGGAGGCCTTCTCACCCGGCAGTCCTCGCTCCGCAGAAAGGGCCCGGGGCTAGAGGCTCCCCCCTTCGCCTTCCTAGATCGGGGGGGGCCTCTAGCCCTGAGCCCCGGAGCATATCTTTACAATGAAAATGATGCACCGCCCAAAGATGGCGATGGTTTCTTAATGCTATCGGGTTCGGGAATGCTAATGTTGTAGCGCACCCAGTAGCAGGGGCTGGCGTGTATTTATATGCGAAGTAGGCCCTCGTCGAATGTGTCAGTTCTTGTGTTTATCATTTTCTGCGAGACCAAATAGTATTAATTTGTATTCTGTCCTTCTCCTTGCCTTTGCCAGTCTGCAGACGAGAACCAATGTAATCGCTGTAGTACCACGGAAGGTTGCGTGGACCAAGTAATTTGACTATTCTCTCTGCGTGTGACGTTGTCGAAACATGATGAAAAATCACCGCTCTAAGCTCGACGGCGATGGCAGTGACACGACGATCTCGGAGAATAAACTTTGGATCCGACCTTCTCTCGGGGAAACGGCCAAGCAACTTGTTATGACGATGGAGCAAATCCAGGGCCGTTGGCGTTATTCAGTCACAACTGAAGTCAAATATGACGCGATCACTCATGTAACTTCGGTTTTTTATTTAGGAAGACAGGGCTTCTTTCTAGCCACTTCCCTCCCATCAACAAACCCCTTTCGTTTTTTACTAGCTTGGAGCGTCCGATAACATCCCTCCCACTAGGATCCCCCTCCTCCCCAAAGTAAGAAACTAAGCAAGGCAAAGACGTAAGCGATATGCGTTCTCAAATTTCGAAAATTTTCCACGTTTTGCCATCGTTTGAGGATGGGGCCTCGTGCGTTTGAAGTCAAGGGCTAAGATCCCGAAACTTTTTGACTTTAAGCTGTTCCGCTGAAATTCAACTTCTTGGATTTGCGTTTTTCAAATTTCGAAAATTCTCCACGCTTTATGGTCGTTCTGGGATTGAATTTTGTGCGTTTGAAGCGCTAAAGCCCCAAAGTTTTTGAATTTCAGCCCTTTCCCTGCCATTCAGTTTCTTGGGTTTGCATTTTTCAAATGTCGAAAATTTTCCACATTTTGGCGCCGTTTTGGGGTTGAATTCTGTGCGTTTGAAGTGCTAAAGTCCCAAAGTTTTTGTTTTTAAGCCCTTTCCCTGAGATTCAACCTCTTGGCTTCGCGTTTTTCCAACTTCGATAATTTTCCGCGTTTTTCGTCGTTTTGGGAGTGAATCCCGTGAGTTTGAAGTGCTAAGATCCCAAAATTTTTGACTTTAAGCCCTTTCGCTGAAATTTAATGCCTTGGCTTCGCGTTTTTCAAATTTCGAAAATTCTCCACGTTTTTTCGCCGTTTTGAGATTGCGTCTCGTGAGTTTGAAGCGTTGAGATCCCAAAGCTTTTGGCTTTAAGCCCTCTCCCTGAGATTCAGCCTCGCTCTTGGCTCCGCGTTTTTCAAATTTCGAAAGTTTTCCACCTTTTTTGTCATTTTCAGAGTGAATCGATTGACTTTGAAAGGCTAAGATCCCAAAGTTTTTGATTTTAAGCCCTTTCGCAGGGATTTAATTCCTTGGATTCGCGTTGTCAAATTTCGAAAATTTTCCACGTTTTGCCGTCGTTTTGTGGTTGAGTTTGAAGCGTTAAGATCTTAAAATTTTTGATTTTAAGCCCTTTCCCCCGAAATTCAATTCCATCGCTTCATGGTTTCGTGGTTTCCTGGGGTTTCCTGGGGTTTCTTGGGGTTTCCTGGGGTTTCCTGGGGTTTCTTGGGGTTTCTTGGGGTTTCCTGGGGTTTCTTGGGGTTTCCTGGGGTTTCCTGGGGTTTCCTGGGGTTTCCTGGGGTTTTCTGGGGTTTCCTGGGGTTTCCTGGGGTTTCATGGGGTTTCATGGGGTTTCATGGGGTTTCATGGGGTTTCATGGGGTTTCCTGGGGTTTCCTGGGGTTTCCTGGGGTTTCCTGGGGTTTCCTGGGGTTTCCTGGGGTTTCCTGGGGTTTCTTGGGTTCCTGGGTTCCTGGGTTCCTGGGTTCCTGGGTTCCTGGGTTCATGGGTCCATGGGTTCATGGGTTCATGGGTTTGGGGTTTGTTTGTTTTTGTGTCGGAGGTTTTGGGTTCGGGTGTTGGAGGTTTTGGGTTTGGGTGTTGGAGGTTGAGGTTTCCGAAGGGATGCGTTTGCAAAGTTTTATTGCTCTTAATATTAACAGCCTTTGTGCAGGGGTTAGTCTACTCTACGACCTACAATCTACTCCTCTCGTCATCCTTATTTAGGAAGATTTAATAGAGACCCTTGGCCTTACTATGATCCCTATCCTGCTTCAGTTGTCCTTCCTCGAGGGTCCTATGCATGTAGTACTACTTCTAGTACGTTCAGTAGATGTAGAATATGAATCTGTATCTGAATACTTCCATTTCAGATTACCCTACATCTGCAACATGCGTGAGAAGTACGCACTACCACTACGTGATGTGAAAAGGCACAACTATGTCTACTTCTAATACCTCCGGCGGAACGGAGAAAACAACAACATCGAAAAACTACCTCGAGGATTTTGCGGGTGTGAGAAAGGTGAAGCATTACATGAGCCACGAGTTCTACGAAATTGGTGACTCCTTTTTTATGAAAACACTTTTTGGTTGTAGATTTTGAGTAGCCTTGTTGCTTGGCCACCTGTGTATATATCGGTTAGTTTTCCCCCATGTATTCTGGGTTAGTCCATCCATCCGATATGTCTACGCTTAAGCGATGGCGTCCCTCGCTTATGCGATTCCAAGGTTCGCTTAAGTAGTGACTTTTCTTGCTAAACAAATGATTTGACAAACGTTGAAACATTCGATTCAACATTTTCAGGATTTGTTTTTATGGTTCAAAAATTTTTCTCTGAGCGCAGTTCTACTCTGTCTACTCTTTGTCTTTGTCCACCTCCCTCCATCATTCAAGTGCAAGCTATCTAAATACTCCATAGCCCACTTGTTGGAGTCCACTTTTTTGAGTCCTTCTAACACTACTTAGGCTATTGGCTTTTCTCCGATAGTAGTAGTTTTTTGGCCGTTGTGACACGGTCTTCTTGCTCTCCCGGTATGTAAGTGTTTAAGTGGGGTTTTGTAAGTTGTTGAATGGGAAGCAGCCTGTAGTCCTATGGAAAAAAAAAAGAAACTACACAGATCTTTCGCGAGCAAGAATGAATGAATGAACGAAGGTTCCTCATTGGTGTATAATCTACTTCTAATCAGATTCGTCCAAATATGTGGCCTGGAGCCGGAACATGTTACGGCAAACAAGAATAAGAATAACAGAGCTTGAGTTCGCCAACTACTGGCCTTCTAACACTAGCTTGATTTCACTTCTAACACTAGCTTGAGTTCGCCAACTACTGGCCTTCTAATACTAGCTTGACTTCAGCAACTATTGGCCGACGTATGGTCCCAAGGATGCGGATCATGGAGGACGGATGGTGAGTATCGCAATTCATCCCGGACCCTTGAACTACAAATGGGTGCCGAAGAAAGGTATTACTTGTAGTTGCTCTTTTTTGATTATCGTGAACTACGAATGGGTGCTGCAGCAGCCCAAGAAAGGTACTCTGTTGATATGTAGTGAAGGGTATATATAATTTCTTGTTTTTTATTTTTGATTATGGTGCTACATCAAAGCACCAGTACTTTCGGAAATTTCATGTTGACGACCCACAAGTGTACTATTGTTCTAAGTACTAGTACCTCAAAAAAGTAGTGAGGACTCAAAGAGAGTTCGATCATGAAGACTACTTACTTTTCCCTGTGGTCTAGTAAGCACAGCTTTCAACCAAGTTGGTTACTACATATCCACCACTTGGAACCCAATCTATCCCCCAAGCACCAGAAATCTCATCGCAAACCCAATGTTGACTTCCACCCAAACACCAGAAATCTCATCGCGAGCTTATAAAGCTGTGAGGAAAAAGAGCAGTGGAGACGAGGACTCGGACGAAGAATTAGAAGAGGAAGGCTCCTTGGGTTGTTGTTTTTATGTTGACAGCAGAAATACTATTTATTAGAAATGGTATATATTAATTTGAAATTCTAATTCTTATCCGTTTTATGCTGCTTTTTTTAGGCAACATTAGCCTTTTTACTCTGGCAGTTCTGTTGTTCTCGACATCAATAGGGGTAAACACTTTCCCCATCTAACCTTGGGAGCTTCCAAGTGGCAAGAAAACTGCGTCAAGAGAGGTGGGGGATGACGACAATCCAGCAGACTCTATGATCGAGCTGACCGATTCCGATGGGGTCGAGGATGATGATTATGGCGAGTAGTCGGAGAATAAATCTGTCAACAAGATCTTTTAAGTGATCCACTGATACTAGTTGTAGACCACTTACTGAATAGTAGTAGTAGTCGCAGGAGTACTAGTCGCGGTAGTCAGGTAGTAGTAGTAGGAGTAGTAGTAGTAGGAGTAAACCTAGTCCACGGGTACGCCTGAGAATTGCACTAAAGGGCATAGCGCATCGATCGAAACGCGTCATGTTCCACCTCGTCATAGTTGGTTTCCACTTTTGCTGTTCTAGAAGTAGAAGTGGTGCTACAGCTCTAACCACGCGACAAAGCCCTGGAGTCGAAAACCGGATCTTTGCTAGCCGATGGCGATCTTTTGGGCGTCTCTGCTGTGTTTAGTATCGCGGTTTTAGTGGCCTACCTGCTGCAAAAGATGACGGAGATGAAGGGCGGTGGAAAGAACTTATGGGGGATTCAAACATCATGATGATAGTTGTATTTTCGATGTCACTATTAAAATTTTTCCCTGGGGAGAGGCATGAAGTAAGTGGAATTTTGAGTTTCATCGTACTCATCCGCGCAATCCCAACATTCGCTTCCTCTAACCCACCAAAAGAAATCCGAAACGACTACAACCTCATACAACACCCCGAACGACGAGAAGACAACTACTTCGACTACCTCTAGAAGGAGACCGTCAATGTCCAGTGAGGATGAGCAGATGCAGAAAGATGCTAGTAGTTTTGTTAAGGGTGTGGGAAATCCGTCTCCGAAGTCATCTGGAAGGAGAAAACAAGAAGAAAACGCGAGCCGGATGATTCCTGGGATGGATTTCATATGCCTCTTCTAATATTGTCGGCTTTCATAGAACTCCAACTACTGTCAGTTCATCTCCAAGTCCTCTGGACTTAGAGGGAATGCTTGAGGATGACGACGATCCCCAGTACGACACGGATGAAGAGCGGGCAAGTCTACTGCAGCGGCGAAGGGGAGGCGACGAGGCGTGCTAAGTAGAGTAAGGCAGTGGGGGTGGTCTTGGAACCTCAGACTTGGAAGCTAGGATTTTTGAATTTTCATTTTCATAGATTACTCTCAATACTTTGAGAATAGGTTTCAACTCAACGAACAAATACAAGTAGGTATTTTCTCGGCACTATAGCGCACTTTTAGTTTTGAAATTCGATAAAAAACACGAGCAGAAATTTTAGGTACAACGTAGGAGGGACTCGGACAGGGTCATTTCTAAGGTTGCATACGACAACTCACTGGGTGTAAATGTCGAAGTTTGGTGTAATAGAGATGCAACCGATAGGAAAGAAACACTGAAATTAAATCATCTTCTTGTTCCTAGTATTGTAGAATTCTTATGATACTTGTAGGTAAAACCAACACCGTCGTCGACCAAAGTAGTCGTCGCCGTGTCGTCGTATTCCAAGAAAATCATATGAAGATAGAACAAAGACCGAAGGGAAATAGAACATTCTTCTCCGCATTGACGTAAAGCAAGTTAGTACTGGTGAAGAAGTAGTCTAGAAGAGCAATTAGAATATCGAATTACACAGGAAAATCGGAGGACATTCCACAGGCACACGAATGTACAGACACCACTATGAAAATTTTGTAAGCGATATGATGCCACGTGGGGTATGACCGATAAAAAGTGAACAAGATAAGTACCTTTGGTGCCATGATTAAGTTAATGTTTTTTTTGCAAAGAAAAAGGTTTGATTAAATGAATCCACTCCTGAGTAGGACTAAGTAGTCGGAATATGCTTGGAGGACACCTCATGGTCTCCGTTTTCTTAAGAAATAGACGATACCAAGTCGAAAATGTACGCAAAGCAATGTGCATATCTCGTTTGATTTTCATCGTCGACCCGAATCACGCCTGCCGTCGATCCCTTACAGCTTACCAACTCGTCCTAGATGAAAGAAACAGTAACAATAATCATAGGTGGATGATTGCAAGTGTGACTTGCTAGAAGCCCGTGGCGACGAACTAAGTAGTAGCCTCCTGTGTCTTGATCGGTAAAGACGATACTTCGGAATCTGCGTTGCAGTCCACGACTGTCGATAATGAAAATGTAATTTACAGACGAACATATTTGCACTACATATCTCCTGTGAAGATTACATATCTGTTCAAAAGTCATCACGCAATCCCAGCAATCGGTACCTGCAGTGTCCCGGGTCATAGAATAGACAGGTTATTTCGGTTGTAGGGTGTTGAATCGGGTGAATCGGTGTGTCTGTGAAATGTTTGCTTTGTCTGCGCCCACCGCTGCTGGTGCGTCGAACTAATCGCAAAATTTGTAATTGTAATAATCGCATTTTGGTCTAAAATGCTGCAGTCTGTGAAAGTTCTTGAACAGCTATTTCATCTCAAAGTGAAAACCCCATCCGCATGATCCCTATGGACGATAGTACAAGAAAGTGATCCTTAGTTGTAGATGGAGTAACATTCACATGACATCAACATGATTATTTGTAATCACTCACCACCGAGCCGTAGCCGCAAGTAACATAGGCTGCGCCTTTCTTGATGAAAAACGAGGAAAGATGGCAGAATTCGTAAAAATAGGCACTTCCCTGGCGAGCTCAACCTCATCGGGAGACAGGCGGACGTGGAAGAGGAGCAAAAATCCTAAACACAGCATGGATGCTGAACAAGATCATAGTTCAACATTCCTAATTTTTTGGCAACATCCGCCATCCGCAATGATCGGCGATCAGGCGAGTGTGCTTGTACCGTCCATGGCCTATCATGGAGCTTCTGCGACGCAAATATCTTCGTTCCTGGATCTTACAACTTCCAGTGCGGATCGTGGATGGGATGTTGACGATGTTGATATGTACACGAGGAGGGACAACGTCGTGATCAGAAATACTAGTAGAGCTTTCATTTCTTGCATAGAAGGCGGACGAAGGGCATGTTACAGTCACTTCAGACGAAGACGGAAAGGCGACGCAGCACCTCTTAGCTTTTTTGAGCTCGGTGGACCAAGAGGGATGAAAGTCTTTGAAGACACTGATGATGTATTTGATCAGCTTTTCAATAAGACGAATGCAATTGGCACTCGCAGAACTATGGCACCAGTCGCTGGAGGTAGATCTTCAACCTCGTTCTTCCCACTTGCGATCGCACGGGCCGGACTGCAGACCTTAGCAAAGATGCTTGCGCCCGTGTTAGCAAAAGGAGCCAGGAAAGCAGCTTCCGCGGCAAAATTTAGCGCGAAGATGGCGGCTAGAGGAGTGAAAAATGGAGCAATTGGCGCCAAAAAGTTAAGGGTTTCCACATTGCATCCTGCACTGCCATTCTTGACTTCTTTTCCAGTACGGAAGAAGTGAAGCATAAATAGTCTGATCTAAAAAATGAATCTCACTGCGCAACCTTTAATGAAAGGAGCAAATGCCACTGCGCGGCTGGCTGTAAAAGGTGCAAAGGGCGCTCGCACTGGTATGTCGAAAGGATATGCTGGTGCGCAAAAAGCGGCAACAAGCGCCGCTCGTCTCAGTGCCAAAGGAGCAAATGCCACTGCGCGACTGGCTGTCAAAGGGGCAAAGGGCGCTCGCACTGGTATGTCGAAAGGATATGCTGGTGCGCAAAAAGCGGCAACAAGCGCCGCTCGTCTCAGTGCCAAAGCTGGCAAGGCAGTAAAGCTAGCAGCGCTTGGCGCCAAAAAGGGAGCCGTCTACGGAGGAAAAGGTGCAGCGAGGGGAGCACAGGTTACGGCTGGTCTCTCAGCAAAAGTTGCACGTGGTGTTCGCCGTGGCGGGATGAAGATTGGCCGCGCCACTGGGATTTCGAAGTTAAGACCGCCTTGCGTGTTGAGAGTAATGGTACTAGAATCAGAGTTTGATTTAGGTCCATCCTTTTGCTTGTGAGGTGATCTAGACGAGGTGCCTTTTCTTACGAGAAATGAATAGATTGATAGATCGAGGACTTTTTTCTAAGACCACTAGAACTAAAAGTATCTGTTTTTGCCTTCTAACCACTCCTTTCGAACTGATGCAAGCTTTGTGCGGTGGCGGCGACCGCAGCTTCGGAAGAATGATGGGTTTGCATCCCTGCAAATCTCTTTAAGGCTACCGTTGAAACATCCTCAGCGCCATCCTGCCTTAACCTCGTTTTCTTTCCTTAACCTTATAAGGGGAAAGGGGCTCAAGGATTGGCTCAGGGATGCGACGCGGTAGCTCTAATCTTTGGAGGAAAAGAGTTGTAACCTAGTCGGGGCAATGTGTGGACAAGTACTGAAGATGCATTTTCCTCAGATGGCCGATGGGACGAGGGCTCGCGTAGGGAAGAAATGTAATACAGCGGATATCAACATTGATAAGCCAAATCCTCTGGGGAAAAGCATGGACAATTGCAATGCGAGAATGGTCGATATGCCGTATCTGATGCGCAACAAGATCGCAGACATGCAAGGGAGCGCTATTGGGGTAAATTATAAGTATATGATTATTCTTTGACTTTGTAGAATTTATCTTTTTCATCTGACGCACTCACACTTTCTTCATCACACCAACACGTTTGTTCCCTTGTTCTGCAGCATGAAGTTACGATCTCAAGAAGGGTCCTCGTACTTTATGCTCGTCACAAATTTTCGCATCCATCCCCATCCCGCTCAGGTCTTCAAAAACAATTTCTACCTGAACAAAGCCTTGAATACGATCTTGGGTACTTCGTGGCCTGCCGACGCACCTCCAACGATGACCGTCTGGGGAACTTCAATCCACGGAAAGACCGGCTCTTGGTCCATGGATAGCGGCACCGAGTACATCTACGACCATATTTATCGGATTCCTCAAGTCGCGCGTGGGTTTCCTCCACCAAATCTGGTACGGTATGTTCCCGGTAGTATCAAAAAAATGGTCGGCGAATTGGAAGACGTCTATCTGGGAAGAGATGACACATATGTTATGGCCGCTGTGATTGTCGTTTTTCTATACTAGAGCAGTTTATAGGGGTGCCAGATCCGGGATGGGATGGATCGGATGGAACGGATGGACTTTCCACCATTTCAAGCAGGATCGGAAGAATCAGGGGGGTCCATCCGATCCATCCGATCCATCCGATCCATCCAAGTCCATCCTACACCCGTTCTATAAACTACTCTACTATACCTAGACTTTTTACTAATACTAGATAGTGATAGTGAGTACTCACAACTTCTAGAACTACAAGTTAGACCAAGAGGACATAGACAAAACAAAGCAAAAAGGTTTGAGTATCAAATTGCTGGCGCAGCTAGATTACAACTTGTGACGTCTATGATACGACCAGGACAGAGAGTCCTCCGTCAACCTTATTTGTGATCTCCCTAGAAGATGACTTCTGTCCCTGACTCTGTCACTCTCTCTCTCTCTTTCTCTCTATCTCTAACCCGGTCTGCGACAGTCGCGACAATCCCAGTCAATGCGCCTTGATCGGTGGTGATGTGTGGAAGTGCCTGAAACACTACGATGCGAAGCGTTGCCACTTCTGCGAGGATGCTGGTGATTCTCTCCGCTGTGACGTGAGAGGTTGGAATACCCATGGTGACTTTTGGGAGCGGGTGCCGATTTACCCCAGAGACGTCCTCGGCGAGATGTTCCGAGACGAATGGCGAGACTTCTACGCACGAGCGTTGCCGGTGAAATTATGGCTGGTCGTGGTGGTCGTAAAACTGAATCTGAAACGGAAAATATCAAGCACACACGTTGAATCTACTTCTACTTTTTGATCATGATCTACATCTACTACATGTTCATGTTCAAGAACAGTTGTTATACGATCATCACTATCAGTCTCAGCTTCTTAAGCTTGTTCTTTGTACGATTAATTTAATAGAAGCAAAGACTGTTCTTGAACATTGACTCCATGTTTATTTTAATACGGTTTTCTTTGCCTAGAAACAAGTCTCCTCCTCGTCCTCCTCCCCAAAGAAACCCTAGTACTCTAATTCCTGTCGAAATACCAAAGATGATAACAAGGAACGTTACGAATTTCAAGATGATGCCATGGCATATGGTGAGGGACGCGCCGCCCAACACTGGGGTATTCGACCGCTTGACAACATTGCCATTTGGCGACGCGAATTTGACCAATATAGGGGTGGGGGTGAGGTAGTTCCTCGGGGGAAGAAAGCTTAGCATGTGGATTGTAGGCATCCTGAACCCAGTTGAAATGTCAATCCGTGTTTCTCTCCAAGAGTTTCTTTTGTCTCCACGACCAGAAGATGACTTACTTCTAGAAGTACTAGCCTAGAGCGACGCGTAGCTCATTTCCGCACTAGAATCACCACGCACCATCACAAACCAAAAAAAAAACATGCCGGCGCACGTGCAGGCACCGGCCTAGAATTTGCTCTATGCAACCACAGAAAGGAAGCCCTTCCACATCCTGAAGGATAGCCAAAAAGGCGCCGGGAAGGGGGAGCGACGTTCTGGGATCTAGTAACGTCCGAGAAAAGTAGCCGAGGCCGCTGCCCTCTCTCCTTTTATTAATGTCCGAGAAAATTGGCCGGGGCCGCTCCCTCCCTCTTCTTCTATATTTGTCCGAGAAAATACCGAGACCGATGGACAGGGGGAACCGCTGCCCCCCTCTTCTTCTATTGATGTCCGAGAAAAGCCGAGACCGGCCCGATGGATAGGGCGGCGGCTGTCTCTCTTTCTCTCCTTTTATTAATGTCCGAGAAAACCCGAGACCGATGGACAGGGCGGAGGCTGCTGCCCTCATTAATGTCCGAGAAAATTGGCCGGGACTGCTGTCCCCCTCTGCTTCTATTAATGCCCGAGAAAAGCCGAGGCCGGTGGACTGACTCCAAGGCGGCGGCTGTCCTCCTCTTCTTCTATTAATGTCCGAGAAAAGTGCCCGAGGCTGCTGCCCTCTTTTTCTTCTATTAATGTCCGAGAAAAGCCGAGACCGATGGACAGGACGGCGAGCGCCCTCCTGTTCTTTTATTAATGCTTGCCCGAGAAAAGCCGAGGCCGATGGGCTGGGTGGTGGTTGCCCTGGTCTTCTTCTATTAATGTCCGAGAAAAGTAGCCGAGGCCGCTGCCCTCTTGTTCTTCTATTAATGTCTGAGAAAAGCCGAGACCGATGGACAAGACGGCGGGCGCCCTCCTCTCCTTCTATCAATGTCCGAGAAAAGCAGCCGAGGCAGCTGCCCTCTTTTTCTTCTATTAATGTCTGAGAAAAGCCGAGACCGATGGACAGGACGGCGGGCGCCCTCTTGTTCTTCTATTAATGTCTGAGAAAAGCCGAGGCTGATGGGCTGGGTGGTGGCTGCCCTGGTCTTCTCCTATTAATGTCCGAGAAAAGCAGCCGAGGCCGCTGCCCTCTCTCTTTCTATTAATGTCCGAGAAAATTGGCCGGGACTGCTGTCCCCCTCTGCTTCTATTAGTGTCTGAGAAAAGCCGAGACCGATGGACAAGACGGCGGGCGCCCTCCGCTCCTTCTATTAAATAACGTCCGAGATAAGTACCCGAGGCGGCTGCCCTCCTCTTCTTCTATTAATGTCTGAGAAGAGCCGAGACCGATGGACAGGACGGCGGGCGCCCTCTTGTTCTTCTATTAATGTCTGAGAAAAGCCGAGGCCGATGGGCTGGGTGGTGGTTGCCCTGGTCCTCTTCTATTAATGTCCAAGAAAAGTAGCCGAGGCTACTGCCCTCCTTCTGTTCTTCTATTAATGTCCGACAAAAGTCGCCGAGGCTGCTGCCCTCCTCCTCTCCTTCTATTAATGTCTGAGAAAAGTCGAGACTGATGGAGAGGGCAAGGCACGGCCTACAATTTTGACCAAATTGCTAAGCTTTTGACTTTAGGCCATTCGAGTGAAATTAGAAACCTGACCGACCCGGGCGCGGTGTGTCCCTCTCTTTCTGATCCAGCGCGGGGGCTTCTCTATCTGGGCTGGAAGGTCTACAAATTTTAGCCAAAGTGCCAACTTTTTGACTTTGATCAATTACAATTTGGGCGAAATTAGAAACCCATCGCGCGCACGGCTTCCCTCTTTTTCGGCGTTTGTTAGTTTTTAAATTTTGGCCAAAGTGCTAAGTTTTTGATTTTAAACCATTCGGAGCGAAATTAGAAACCAACCGCGCGCACTGCCTCTCTTTTTTTTCGGCGTTTGTTTTTATATTTTGGCCAAAGTGCTAAGTTTTTGATTTTAAACCATTTTGAGCGAAATTAGGCACCTGGCTGGGCGCGGTGCCTAAGCCATCGGGACCTAAAGCATCGGGGTCTAAACCATCGGGATCTAGACCGTCGGGATCTAAACCATCGGGATCTAAAGTCTAAACCATCGGGATCTAAAGTCTAAACCATCGGGATCTAAACCCGCGGGATCTAAACCATCGGGATCTAAACCATCGGGATCTAAACCATCGGGATCTAAACCATCGGGATCTAAACCATCGGGATCTAAACCATCGGGATCTAAACCATCGGGATCTAAACCATCGGGATCTAAACCATCGGGATCTAAACCATCGGGATCTAAACCATCGGGATCTAAACCATCGGGATCTAAACCATCGGGATCTAAACCATCGGGATCTAAACCATCGGGATCTAAACCATCGGGATCTAAACCATCGGGATCTAAACCATCGGGATCTAAACCATCGGGATCTAAACCATCGGGATCTAAACCATCGGGATCTAAACCATCGGGATCTAAACCATCGGGATCTAAACCATCGGGATCTAAACCATCGGGATCTAAACCATCGGGATCTAAACCATCGGGATCTAAACCATCGGGATCTAAACCATCGGGATCTAAACCATCGGGATCTAAACCATCGGGATCTAAACCATCGGGATCTAAACCATCGGGATCTAAACCATCGGGATCTAAACCATCGGGATCTAAACCATCGGGATCTAAACCATCGGGATCTAAACCATCGGGATCTAAACCATCGGGATCTAAACCATCGGGATCTAAACCATCGGGATCTAAACCATCGGGATCTAAACCATCGGGATCTAAACCATCGGGATCTAAACCATCGGGATCTAAACCATCGGGATCTAAACCGTCGGGATCTAAACCATCGGGGTCTAAGCCGTCGGGATCTACACCATCGGGATCTAAGCCGTCGGGATCTAAACCGTCGGGATCTAAACCATCGGGATCTAAACCATCGGGATCCAAACCATCGGGACCTAAACCATCGGGACCTAAACCGTCGGGATCTAAACCGTCGGGGTCTAAACCGTCTGCCTTCGTCGTGTGTGTGTGGCGGTTTGTTTTTTTTTTGAGCGTTTTGAAAATTGGTTGTTTATTGTTCATTTTGTTTGTGTATTAACAATAACATTATTTCTAGATCGATGGCTGATGAAGAAGAAGAAGGGGTGTTGTGAGTATGTTCATTTCTCTGTCCTGCTTTGCTTCTCGTATCGTAAATGTCGGGGTCGGGCGTTACAAATTTCGAAGGCAAAGACCAGTATGTTCAGGCTCGGGGTACTGCAATCTCTAAGGTGGATGAACAAATATATAATGTTGACATGATATTATTGCCGCACCTCCCAAATCCAATCCCAAGCCACAAGAGAGTATCCCTTTCGTAGTTGCTACATTTGTCCATTTAGATTTACCTCCTGTAAGTACATTCTTCGGAAACATGGATTCATTTTTTTTGCTTATGCCTCGTATTCGTTCGTCAGCTAGATGGCTTTTATCGTGTTGTATTGCCATCAAACGGTAATCCTAAGAATATTATATATAAATTCATCATATTCTTGAGTATGAGTACTCTCATTCTCTATGATTATCCTCCTCAATACAAATACTGCTTTCCTTTTTTGTTCTGTAGGCACCCGTGAAGCAGTAATGCTTATGAAATTAATGTCTTGAGCTTGAAGTAGAGAACAATAGTGTGTGTGTTCTACCTAAAAGAAGTGGTGGCTTGAAGATCGTCTTCAGGCAAGGATCAAGTAAAAATGGCATCGGCGAAAAACGATGCGCTCAGGGTACTAACACTGATATAGTAGCTCCATGTTGGATGAATTATTGATTGTCCGCGTACTAATGTTTTAGTTTCACCAAACGTATTGATGTCTTCGCTTAGTGCGGGGAATTATTATAGATTTCCATACTTCTGGGTCTGGAGGTGGGGCCCCTGAAAATTGCTCTGGAAATTCGTCTGCATGAAAGCGTATAGTATGTTGATGAAAGTAGAAATATTACAGTAGTTACAGTACCACGTTGAAAGTAGAGGATAGAGATCAACATGAGATCTCACGAAGCGCATTGTAGACGGAATTAGTAGTGTAGTTGTGGTCTTTTTTACCCCTGGAGTGGGTACATTCATTCACTCACTCCTTATCGATTGCCATCATTGTCACATACTTACCCACACTCCTTTCAGGAACGCACCCTTGAGGGTACGTTGAATTATTACGACGAGCAACGATGTGTGGGAACTGCGAACGATAAGGCTATCGCCGCAAGACTAGGTGGCCACAACTGGAATATCATTTCCAATGGGGAATCAGATGAAATCTATCTTCGCCAGCTTCGAAATAACGACCACTACGTCGACAAAAATAACAGAACGACGAACAAGTTCATGCAAAGGAAAAGACAATTTCCTAGGTACTTCTATCTTGGTTCTTGGGATTGTTTTTCTTCATCACGCTTTGTTTGTTTTCTTAGCAGATAGACAGTAAGATGTGACTGAGGACTACATGGATGCAAGAAGTAGAAGAAGTTCTTACCAGTATGCAAGACGGTCTCAGCTTAGACTCATATTACATTCTTTCAATATTAAATTTACAACACGCCAACAGGGACCCACGCGAGCCAGTTAAAAACTCAATGACGATGCTAGACGATCACCCCAAAGTTGCGGATAAAGAATGCCGAAGATTAGAGAGCCATTTAGCGCAGTTGGAAAACCATCAGTCATTTGGGGACTTTCAGAGGAGAAGACACGAGCTTAGGCCTGGTGGCAGTCCAAGGCCAAATAGGAGAAATTTGACGGACATAGTATTCATTGCTTGATGTTCTTGTGCTTCTTATGATATAAGTACAGCTTACATATATTTGATGCTTCTAATATTAACAATTACATCCTAGTAATTGTAAGTAGATGAAAATAAAAGTTGAGTCCTCTTGATCTTCTTGGGATTTCGATAGATTGTCTTGTGCTGGTCCCTTTTTTTAACCACCACACCTCCACTATCACACCAGGAAGAGAAGCTGAATGCAACGCGAGTTCGAGGTAAAGACAGTTATCTTCGAAAAATCTACAGTGGAACGCAGCAGGAGGGACAAGGGGAGGGAGGCATCGCAATATCTGCAAGAAGTGATGCTTCGACGAGGTCGAGTAGTAGTACAGCTAGGGTGCGATATCCGGATTGGAGGCAATTGCAAAACGAGGTAATTACTATGTAGCTTACAGTTGTATCAGTAGTCGGGAAAAGTATATCAATATCACGGCTACTTTTACCGGAGCACCACTTGAGCGGCTTATTTTGATACAAATTATCCTACTCAACATAATCTGAAACCTATAATCTGAAACTGATCTGGGCATGGGCAACTCACCATGACCAATCTGAAACCTGTAATCTTCAAATTTCTTCACTTTCACAGTCTGCAGCTTTCTCGAAATGCAAGACGGCGAATACGTATTCGCAATCCCTCCACACATCCGAGTCCGGCGTCGACTTACTCGCGCAGCAAATTTACAGATCGAAACAGAGGTATAATAGACGTCTATTTGTTCTGCTTGTGATTTGTGTGGTGAATTGAAGTTTATTCGCGCTCATAATCTAGTAGAGGTAATTGTAATACTAATTTTTACATCCATCATTCAAGAAGAATCTACTTATAATCTTTAGCTTTACCAACATGACCTCATAGTCATAATTCTCTTACACTTACTTCTTGTACCAACAACTACGACCTCCTCCTCTATCCACCTTAGGACCACTCCTTTGACCTCTCTCCACCAGGATACCGAATTACGATTTCTCCGTGATACGGAAGAACAACAACTACAGTTCGGAGGACAAGTTGCTAAGAAGCGACAGCTATTACCGCAAGCCGCGACTGGCAGTGACAAACAACTCAGTGAAATATGATATGATCACGAACCAAGTGCTGCCATTCAAATATTCTTGATGAAGTTGTAGTTTGTTGATCCTTTCAAATACTCATGTTGAGGGGTTATTATTTGATCATGTTCAATTTGGCATAACCGGCAACGGCATTAGCGAGGTGCTACAGCACGCTCCTGCTGCTGCTACTTATCGTCGTGGTCACGACAAGTTTTTTGGGTTTAGGTTATCTTTCTATCAATCTGCTTAATCAATCTACGCAATGAGAAGTCTATGAATGCAATTTGAATGCAATTTATCGAGACAATCAATCGACTCAATCTCAATCTATCTACGCAAGCAATCTGCTCAATCAATTATCTAATATCAATCTGCTTAATATTCAATCGCCTAGAAGCATAAAATGAATTCACTCTTCTTTTCTCTGACTGTCGATGGATGATGATTGTTCCCACTCGAAAAGTAAACATGAGAAAAAAAACTCTCTTGAATGAACTTGAGTCGTCGTGGGAGGAAAGGAACTTGCGGGGATGCAGAGCTGCCTCAGCTATGAGTTTAAATCAAGCAACATACGGCTGTATTCTATTGTTGTTGCCTTAATACTAATACTAGTACTTGCTACAGAACTTATTTATCTGAAGCAAGCAAGCATGATTTTCAAACCGAGAAGTTGCTTTAACTTACTTTGGGCAGAAACAGACTGTATCTATAGATACTGGCACTGCACATCCACATCTGATTACTGCCACATCACTTAAATTAAGTTTAAGATAACAAACATCACTGAAATTGAGAGAAAGTTGAACTTTGAATTTTCCTGACGGTACAGGTCGCCTTGTGGAAGGCGAGTCGATTCCTATCCTTTCCTATTTCGCGAAGAAGTCATGTCTGTAGTCTGAGATCAGACGTCGGTGTTGTCTGTATCTATTGAGAGAAAGGGCGATCGTCCCTGAAAGGACTTAAATTTCATTGCTTCTGTACTATTCATTGTGAGTCGCTTGATCTGTGTCTGTCGAGTGCTCGGGGCTTTTCTAGCCTCAGTCAACTGGAGGGTCAACCACAGTTGTGAGACTAAACACAGGAGTGGACGTCGAGATGATAATGAGTGATGACCTTTTCACGGACTAATCAACCCGTGTCATCTATAGACATTTTGGCTACAACTGACAATTATGCGAGTTTCATCAGTCTCAGGAATGAAATCGGGGGCGTGGCTCTGCAGGACTATTGCTCTCCGTTGACAAACCTCCCGCTCCTTCTTAATGCGGCGCCGGGCGCTCAGGATCCGCAGCCCCTGCCCATGCTGCAAGGCCTGCGGGAAGAAATCGTCGCGAGCGGGTGGCTCACATCTGAACCCTCGCGGGCACAATGTGAATCTGATGTGGCGACCATTTCCTGGACGCCGACGCTAGCTGTCACGCTCAAGCAGCTTCAACGCAAGATCGCAGAAGCGCGTAAACAAGCGGGGCAGCCGCCTCCTGTTGTGACGAACGGTCCCTGGACGCTAGCTCGCGTGGGAGCGGTTGATCAATGCGAGGATGACTTGAGTGGTCGCACTTCGATGGAGTTCATTTTTGTGCCAATTGATGAACTGCGTGCCGCTGCCAAAGCAGTCGTTGCCGAGGAACTAGATCTGGCGTCTGAGCAAACCGTCGGCGAAGCCACCGGGCTAATTCGGGACAAACTGCGCTCCGCCAGCACGCTGAAAGTGAAGCTCCGGTTTGTTTGTCCTTCTGACGTTCAAGAGGGTCATGCGGCGAGCGATCGTTCTTTATAGTTTCAGTGTTCGTGACCGCTCATTTCGATGCACGCGACACGCAACACAGGACTCCTGTGTTGATTCACTGAAGGGCGTTCGATGATGTTGATGGATTGGAAGGCCCCAACAACTACTTAGCGCTACTTAGTAGTTACTAATGAGATCTTGCCTCTTGTCAGGCACTTCAGTCAAGCAATCAGTCAATCAATCAATCAATCAATCAATCGAGCCTCGGGGCGAAAAGTAGCGCAACTTTCACGCACTGTGCCTCGATGTGTTTCGATGCAATGGGGGCTACCTGTAACCTGAGTAGTAGTTTCGCTTTCCGGAACTGAGGTGGAGGCGCCATTGCACTTATACCCATAGAGGAGGTTCATAAACGTATAGACGGTATTTTTTAGACCAAGGGGGGGAATCATGGTGATGGTCATGGAAGCAGGCTGATGATCATGAAATCTGTTGGAACACCCGAACACGTCCAAGCGCAATATGAGGCTCTTGAGAGTAAATGGAATGATTATCGTTGCAATGTAACAGAAAGACGATCAGAACGGACGTGCCGAATGATCACTGACTGTTTAAGGCCCTGAAATGGTATCAAAATGGGTTCAATGTCATTGGGATATCATGAAGGGTCATAGTGCAGTTAAAGATCTGGGAGATCTTGCTGCTAATTCATGTTGGAATTCATTGAGTTCAAACGATGATCATAGGAGGAACTAACAAGAGTTCAAGACAAGGAACGGCATTGATCATGATCAAGGTGACGAGTGAGAGCAGTCATTTGACATTGAAATCAGGTTCGTTCGTTGGATCTTGAGCCAGTAATGACCATTGACCAACACCCCTCCTCAATCGCTAGGTGAGGAAATGACGAAAGTCACAAACGGTCTGGTGTTACCTGCTCTGACCCAGAACCATCACGATTCTCTATATCCACTGACGTCACCACTTGACCAACGACCTAACACCCTAAGAAGATAGAATAGGTAAGCACCGCCACGGAAGCAGAACTTGAACCAGACTCATCATCTTCCGTTTCCGAGTCACTATCATCTTCATCATGGTTACGGCTAATGACTGGATTCTCTATGTGATGTAATAATAATCTGCGTTGAGTAGATGAGCATGAAAGTTTCGTTAGTCCATCAGCTTTCATGAGGTGAGTAGGACAGAAAACTACTTTCTCAGCTGCGTCTCTAACTCGTAAATAACGTAACGCATAGTGTCTACTCTTAGGCTTCGTGTCTTCACTCTTTGCTGTCGAGATTGCAGACTGGTTGTCTATCCACAATATGGCATCATCGAGGGATGGCGATATACCAAACCGCGTTTCCACTAATTGAGTGGGTAAGGGATTGAAGAAATCTGTAAAATCATGCAGCTCGCTCATGACAATAGTGTCCGACGCGGCTATATACTCTGACTCTGCAGTTGAATATGCACGCACGGTTTGTGTATTGCGTTTCCAACAGATTGGAAAGCCCCGATAGTACATAATCGAACCACTGGTCGAGCGCATGCTCTTTATGCAGTTTGCGAATCCTGCATCTGAGAACCAGTTAGTATACGGTAGCTCTCTTCCTTCTGGTAGGAGCTTCTTGTAAATTCCGTTGAATTCTTCCTCACTTTCTGGAGAATAATAGAGTCCTTGGTCTTTTGTCGTAGCTAGATACTTTAATACTTTTCTACAGGCTTTTGCAATTCTTTCTGTAACGGGCTTACTGACATACCGAGCCAATGTCGCCACAGGGACGCAAATATCTGGCCTTGCGGTTGTCGATATCCAAAGCAGTGCGCCAACAATCTCACGCAATGGAAACCCGGCTGCTAGCTTAAGCCCCTCCTCAAGCAAAGCAGACTCGTCGAAATTTGGAGACCACACCGGCTTACCTAATGTTATTTTATACTTCTGTATAGTCTTCTCTATGTACACATTCATCAGGATTTTCACTGAACGTGCTTCCCGACAATAGTGCACAATCGCACCAAGAAAGTCGAACTCTAGCCATTCGAAACCCGTAAGAGAATCGACTCGCTTTGCCATCTCAATAGGTCGGCCAGGGGCGCGACTAAAGATCCGGTCGAGCTCAGACCGTAACTCGTGATAGTCAGGTCCAGTAGCTAAGTTATCATCAACATAGACTGACATCTTCATATACTTTCCTGGGTGCGTTTTGCTCTTTTTCCGCCACAATCCTGGAGCAGAAGGACACGGCTCCCATCCGAGTTCGGACAATAGCACGCAATACTTCTTGAACCAGGCTCGTGGAGCGTCCTTTAGCCCATAGAGAGCTTTCTTAAGCTTGACGATATCCGCTCCATGCTTCTCCGCCCACACTGGTGGAAGACGGCAGAAGACGTCACGATCGAGTTCAGCATTAAGGAACGCAGAATCAAGGTCGAATGGGATGACGAAGTCAGAGTCCGTCGCTGCTGAAACGAGTAAAAGTCTATTCGCAGCATGTGACACTACAGGGGCGTAGGTGTCGATATTCCCCGAACGATCAAGATTCCCGAGCACACAAGCACGAGCTTTGAATGTTCCATCACGTTTTACCGTGAGAACGATTGCTATAGGCATTACCTGAGAAGAGGTTCGCAGCTCCTCGTCATTGCAAGATGTGAGCGCCAGCCAGGACCTTGCCGAAAGTTTCCGAAAGTTTCCGAAAGTTCATTTCACAGACTTCCTGTCAGTCGATGAAAGCACCTCCCGCAGGATGGGCGGCCCTTCGTTCTCAGTGCATACGCATCCAGCTACAGCCCAAGCACACCACCCAAGCAGCAACGAAGTGCGCGGCCGCGTGCGTAGCCAATTGCGCTACCTACCTAGGTGGCTGGTGCACTCGCTACGCGTCAGGCTGCGCATTGGTTCCCGCGCGTCCTACATACTCGAGCGCCTCTGACTGTGCACGTCCGTAGCTAGTTTCTTCGTTTGTTTGTTAGGTGTTGAGGTCTCCCTCTGTCTTATCGTAGTAGTTGCATATATATACAAACACACTGGCCGAGTGGCATGCTTATACTCGTCGCGCATTCTTATACACTAAAAGACTGCCCACGCATCGCAGAGGTAACTATCTAAGAAAGCGCGCGCGTCAGTCTCTCTATCTTGCAATGTGTCTGAGTCAGTACGTAACGAAGTACGCAACAAACTACCAGCAGACTGGCCTTTATAAATATACACACGGAGGCGCATGGCATCCATCGACACACACACGCATAACATGCATGGATGGACGCACGGCGCGGATACGTCGTAGATAACTAACTAACTAATATATAAGTAAGTATATATATGCACATAGATACACACAGAAGCAGGCTGCGCGCCAGTCAGTCTGACTGTCAGGTCTAAGAAAGAGACAGAGAGAGACACACGGACGGAGCGAGAGAGTGAGTGGAGCCGACGGGCTAGCTAGCTAGCTACCTTCCTGTCGTGCCTTCCTACCTAGGTAGGTAGGTAGAGTAGGCGCTGACACACAGACAGACTGACTGCGTGTACGTAGCTAGCGCGCGGCACGGACGTGCGCCCGCCGGGGGGAGGAAAGATAGAAAGAAAGCGCGACCTATCAGTGAGCCACTTTATGACATGCGTGCGCGTCTATGTGTGTGCCTATGTATGTAACTAGAAAAACTCAGACAGCGACTTCGCTTAGATAGATTGATAGATTGATAGCGACAGCGGGGCCCCCGCCCTTCCTTCGATGGATGGATAGGTCTCCCTTGCGTGCTTTGCTTCGTTCCTTGCTTGGTGCGTAGGTTGGTAGGAAGGCTGCGCGCGGCTGCCTACGTGCCTTGGCTGCTTCCTACCAACCTACCACCTACGCGCCTACCTTCCTAGGAACGAAGCCAATGAAAGTAGCTTGCTAGGTAGTAAGTAGCGTATCTATGTATTTAAGAAAGTTCGCGCGTTGCTTAGTTAAATAGACTGACTTGGGTCGATAGCTATGCTTCTAAGTGTGTGCGTGTCTATGTATCTATGTACGACAGCCACGCGCGCACACTATCTAAGTAAGTTAGCACGATGCGCGCATAGTATGCAATGAATCGCAGCGCGCTCGCCTCGGTCGTGCGTGCGTATCTATCAATCTTGCTAGGTAC